TTGCATCCAATTAGTTGTTTTTAGATAACTCACAGCTTACATTTGTATAAAACAAAACAATGAGAGACCAAATAAAAGCAGCTGTCAATAGCATACCAAAACAGAGGCAGCCTACAATGGGACATCAAAACAAAAGTGGTGGGAAAGTGGTGGAATATATGTTTTTACTTCCTATGCATTAATATACAATGATATGAAAGTTTTTGAGTTGACGTAGTAACACAAGAAGTGAAAGAAAACACAGACATTAAGCAAAATACAGATGTCCGCATTAGAGAACTCCTATATATACACTTTGACTACCAGCTTGACCAGAGTCAAACCTTATAGCCTTAACCATCTCCCTCTTTCAAAGAACATTGCTGAGAAGAATTCTTAAGCTTCCTCTATCCGTGCCTAATGGGTGTTGACTCTCTTGGGAATTCAAGGGTCACAATAAGGTGCCCTTAATGTTTTGAGGGTTCTATGTTATCCTCTCTATTTTGGTGAACAAACAAAAAGTTAGAAGTCCTCAATTGTACTAAACTTATAAAAATAAAAAATAAAAAATAAAACTACTGTCAACTTATAGGTCCTTCAAAGGCAGAACCTTGACTCAGAGAAGTGAACTAAAAAGAACTAGGAAGATCTACTGAAGACTCTGAAGGGAAATTGCATGAGTAGCTATACAATTGTTATTTATGAATTTCTGTTAGCTTCTTGTTGCAAAGAAAACAAGCATGATGAATAGAGTTTAGACAGAAGGTTACTTATAAAAGGGAATGAATAAAAGAGAGGAAAGTGAGAGAGGGAGGAAGCTTCAGTACCAAGAAGAGTGAATCAAATAAGGGAGATTCACTATTAGACCCAATATAGGGGTCCAAATTAAAAAAAACACTATATAAAATAGACTTTAGAAACACACCCAAAGCCCATTTACAACATAACAAAGAGGCTTTTAACTTCTTATAAATTACAAAACTGCCATCAATTTCTTAAAACGAGCCCAACCCCAAAATCTCATAAAAATACCCAAAAAATTCAATAGGGCGTCAAAGTAATTTAATAATCAAAATTAAATTCAATAAGGCCAGCTGTCATTTTTTGGGTTTGTTTATAGAAAATAAATGGGGTAGGGTTTATCTATATTATTAGTGCTAAGAATGGGTATATGACTAAATATCTCATCAAATAATAGATGTAGCAAAAAAGAAGGAAAAAAACAAGCAAAGGAGTATAATTTGCTGCAATATGATAATTGACATCACTACCATAATCCTTTGCAGCATTTACAGCAACAACATTTGCATCCCCATTGATCCTTTGCATCTGTTCCTCACTGCCAAAACCACCGATGGTTGAAACCACAGCAGTGGCCCCAACAAGTACGTCATCCCAGTTTACATAGAAAACATCTCCTGCATCACACGAATTACTTCAAAAATTGCATGCCATTTAACCAGCCAGTCCAAGATGGCATCAACTTGAAGTAACACATGTTATGACATATTCAGAACAATGACACCAATAAACTCTAAAAGTGAACCAATGGTTTGGTCGAAAGGAATAAGGCCACATCATGCTCAAGCTATCATATTCACTTCAATCACACATCATAAATTTCCAGGTCAACATTTTTACATGCATCAGTTTTTATCTCATTTTACTTATATATTCTACATTCTCCAGGAAGCACCAAGAGCAATCTTCCCTCGTCACTTTATTTTATTTTTACAAATATCATTTTTCTATTTCGGAAAGGATTTTTAGCTGTTTTGCCCCCTGAAATATTAGGCAATTCGAACTTACCCCCCTAAATTATTTCGTCTGCCGATTTAGTCCTTTTACTCATAATAAATATTCAATTTCACCCTTACCGTCAAGTTTTTCTAATTTCATCCACTTTTCTGTTAATAACAAGGACAAATTTGTAATTTAAAAAATATATAAATTTAACCCTTTTGAAATACGAATTATATTTTTAAAAGTTAGAAGAAAATCAACAAAATGGACAAATACCCAACACCAGATCCCTATCCCCTCCCTTTTCTCTCAAATGGCTTCTAAGCTACAATGAAGTAGAAAGATCTAGTTTGGCTGCTCCGGTTATTTGTATGTCAGCGCTGACGACTAAAGCTGTGGCAGCTGCGAGAGGTTTAGATTTGGCTGTTCAACATGGGTATAAAAATGGGATTTTGGAATCTGACTCACTGGCTCTTATTGATGGTCTAAAAGGGAGTGAGAAGAATTGGGCTTTGACAATTTTGCCTATTATCAATGAAATCAGAAGCAAGTCTTCTCTGTTCTTGTTTCTGATGGACTTACTGCCCTCCCCCGGGGTAGTTGGTCTTTATGGTTGGGGTAAGTTCTTTTTGGCTGGGGTTGGTTTAGCTTGAGCTTTTTCCCTTTTTATTGTTCTGTCTTTTCTGTAGCTTTCCTTTTGCTGGACTCTGTCTGGTTTTTCCTTTGCAATGAACGAGATTTCGACCAAAAAAAAAGATCTAATGTACTTGACTCCCAGGCCTTTCGAGCATCATGAGCGGAAGCTTCATGTTCTTAAAAACTTAAAAATTAGAAAGTTTTTTTTAATAAAATAAAAGAACTAAACACGAAGATTGAAGAATGTAACATACCTGGCACCCAGTTAACCTGATCTATCCATGAACCGGAGTAAGTAGGACGCCCTGACCTGCGAAATTGAGCAAACATTTCACACATAAAACAATGGAACTCAAAATTAAAAAGGTGCAGACCAAATGAAAAAAGCAATGATGTCTTCAGCACCTGCTTACACCAATGACCTCTATGCCTTTGGACACCGCAGCTTTGCATATAGCAGAACCCACAAAACCGCTGCCTCCTAATACGACAACCTGCTAAAGGGAAGCATACGACATCATTCATAGGCACAAAAAAATACCCAACACAACAAATATCTGAAGCTGAAGCTGAGGAATTAAAAACGAAAAATTGATTTATAAACTAAATAAATGTGAAATTGTTTGCAAGTTGTGTGGTGCTTTGGCTTTGGCTTACCCGTTCAGGCTTAACATCAGCCACAACATCTATGGTGGCGGAAACGGAATTGAAGGCGTCCTTGTTCACATTTGCCTCTGCATATCTGCATTTTATGCTGAAACTGCATAACCAAATTCAGATTTCAAGATTCTTAGCAGAAGAACACCAATTAATTAAGGCAAGGCAATAACCAAATAAAACCCTCTCAAAGTTCCAGCTGAAGGGAAGGGGAGGGAGAGAGAGAGAGAGAGAGAGAGAGAGAGGAGAGAACGAACCGGGTCTGGAAAAGCGAGTTGGGCCTGGAGCCCGCTGGGAAGGAAGCTCCGCGCAGAGGAGAGGGAAGTGTGAAAATGGCAGGGAGGTGCAAAAACGACGCCATTTGACTGAAACAGACGACACTCGCTCAGCTCCGTAGACTTTGAGGTGCAGAGCGTCGCGTAATTCAGCCACATGTGGTGTGTTTTAGCCTTTGGACGGCTGATATGAAATGCTTGTGGGACCAAAATTTTGTAGTTTGTAGATGGGAGAAGGGAAAACAGCGCAAAATTTTGTACTTTAGCTACACATTTTGCAAATAGAATCTATAAGTACGTACTCATTGCCCACTTAACACTTTTTCTCACTTTTTCTTCTCTCTCTCTCTCTCTCTCTCCATCGTTGCTCTGTGACCACCACCACTTTTTGTCTCAGCCCTCTCTCGCGAAACCCATCTCATCCTCTCATCTCTCTATTCTGAACCGTGAAACCCACCATCGACCCCATCTTCTCTCTTCTGAATCGCCTAAAGTCGCAGCTGTTTTCAACCTCGAAACTCAACTTCATCGCCGACCTCCAATAGGTTGTCTTCTTTTATTCTTTGGTGTACTTTTCTAAATATGTGTGGGTTTCTATCAAATGGGTTTGTTTTGATCGCTTTGGTTTCCTGCTTTTAGTTTTTATGGTCATTTTCTTCATCTTTGTGGGTTTCTCACATAATTTGATGTTGTTATTGCTTTGGGTTATCTAATTTCATAATTTGATACTGTTACTGGTTTCTATGAATCTTGAAACTAGGTTGTTCAATCTAATGTAAGAGTTTTGATTTTCTAGTTCGAATGGTTCCTTTATGATTTTTAACACTTGATGATAGGACTCAACCCAAATTCCACTTTGGAATCTACGCCGAACCATGTGCGTGTCCTACACCTAGCAGGTGTCGGGCGCACTTGACCAAATTGCCCTTCTAAGACTCAAAATTTCTTTTTAGGTTTGACTTCTGCCGAAAATTCGGTAGTCTCCTCTGTAAATTGCTCGTTTTCCAAAATTTTCACCTATATAAAATGAAACTCATATATCCACAATCGTTCAACATGCATCAAACAAATAACTTTGAATGGTCTCAGGCCCCTTACACCACATAAATCATTCTACCAACTGAAACTAGTCTTAACTTTTAGAACAACATAGATACGTTATCAAGTTCCAAAACAACTTCATTGAACAAATTTTGAACACTTGATCTTGTGGCTGCAGCTAACAGCTCTAGGTTGCCTACTTACCTTTACTAAGGAATCAAGTCATATGTAGTTCTTTCTACATAAATTGTAAGTAAACAAAGATAATTTAATCAAATAAAATCGAGAAACCTTCATAAATAATTTAGGTCAATCCACTAAAACTCAATCAAGGACTATGGAGGTTTGAATAATCTTCTACTCATCCCATATGTACATAAATAAATAAATAAATATATAATTAACTTATTACTTATAAGTAGGAAAATGAGAAAATTATTAAAATAGCATTTACCACGTGAAACCTTAATGTCAATATCAACAATTTAAATAAAATATGTTTCCCTCTTTCACATGTAAAAACAAATTCATCACTTAAGAAAATAATTGTAAATTATATAAAATCCTTAAAACTTAGAAAACTCTCAATCCATGTCTCATAAGTTGGAAAACATATATTAAAACCTTCACCAATAAGTACCAAAATAAAATCATCAATTTTAGTTTAAAATATTTCAAGACTCAAATACTCTCCACCTAGGCGTACCCCCATTCATGATCTGTCAAATCCAATAATATTCCGTCAATTCCAAGTGTCACATAAGCAACACATCCTCGCATGCCTCAGAAACACAAAGTAAACCCGAGTTGCATTCCTAGCAAGGCTCAGGGGACACTTAGTCAGCCTGAGCCGCATTCCTCGCAAGACTCAGGGGACACTTTGTCAACTTGAGTCGCACATCCGTGCAGAACTCGGGGAACATGTAGTCAGCCTGAGAGTGCATAACCTCACACCACACAGTTCAAGCGTCCCCGAAACTCATGGGGCATTGTCATAAATGGCAAAACTATTTCAAAAGCAACTGGGGGTACTCCTATGGTGGGTTTGAAAACCATATTCTGAAACTCATCATAAAATTCCCCTTGTTCCACAAATCCATATTTCAACTCTTTTCTCAACTTTCCAAAAACCAGTTCTCAACTACCTTTGAATTTACACCACATACTGTTGAGAACTAGTGTCCATAATTCATCATTTTCAAACCGTTGGGTATATATATATTAAATATAGACATGTATTTAGATATTTAATTAATTTATTATTCACGTCAAAATCCGATTAACAAACCATTCTCAACTCTTCACAACTAAACACATATATAATATCCTTAGAAAGTAAAAGCGATTACATAGTAACTCATAAACATTAAATCATCCAATAACACTCAGTTAGATACTTTAATAATAATCATAAGAATAATAATAAATACAATAAATAAATAAATAATAACCCCTAGAGATTCCATCACTTTCAATAATGCATAATCTTCGAATATCAAAATAATACACAAGAATACCATAAAATACTATAACATAATCTCATAATCCAAACATAATCAAAATACTCTACATAACAAACAAGCCTTGGTTAAAAGATCGTTCTAGTACTTCTCGAAGGATGAAACTACCTTAGAAGACTATCAGTCAACTGAGGAATCAAACTCCACAAACTTGGTAAATCGAGCATGCAGGGCCCACGACCTCCGATTTCCGATCCGAGAGTTCCTATGGGTTCAACAAGGTTTACTATACATGTCCTTAAAGTTTGGTCAGAAACGAACGGTCGGATCGCTCGCGATCTCACGATCACACGATTATTGTTTAATGCAAATTTAAAGTCATTGAATCGGAGCATCCGAGATCCGATTCATAATCTGTGAATTCCTACATGATCTTAGAGATACCAAGATCAACATGTTTGAAAATGAAGTCGATCCAACGGTCCAAACATATCCCAGATAACGCCTAATATGCGATATCCAATGGACAATTAAACGATAACCAAATTCAAATCCGAGCATACCGTCTTGCTCGGGACTACATGAGGATCATTTTTGGACTCGAAGACCTGCCACAAGTGGCCCATGTGCAACCACATGAGTTGGCAGCGCATAGGTGTCCAAAGCAATTTCCGGCTATTAAAAAATCTTCAAATTGTCGGTCAAGACCTATACCCACATGATTAAGACACTGAGTGGAGCAACTTATACAACTGAGCCGACCTCCAATTTGGCTGGGAAGTGGCCGGAAAACCAATTCAAAAACCGAAATTCCTATATTTCAAATCGAGTTTCAAAAACCCAAAATGGATCCTCAATACATACCAAAACAACTAGAACACAATGAGGGGATGAAAATACATACCTGATCCGACGAAAACCGTCCCTGGAGCCGTCGAAAACTGGCAAAACTACCAGTCGCTACCGCCACAGCCATCGTTTCTCGAGGTTTCCGGCTTGGAAAATGGGTGGGTCCGGTAGAGGAGCTCGACGCTGTTCATTTGGGACTAGTGCTGTGACCTGAGGAGGTCAGACAATGGCGAGAAGCGCGTCCCTGTATTGAGGAGAGAGAGAGAGAGAGAGAGTCGGGAGGAGTCAACTTTGAACCCATTAAAATATTCTCATAGTAAAATTGTCTTTTACTTGAATATTTTATTAATTAAATATTAATTTAGGATCGGGTTATTACACTTGAGAATTTGAAAATTCTTATGTGGGAATGTTTAGCTACTATTTTGGTCATGCACGTTACTAGGTATGAGTTTTCATTCTTTGAGTATTTTGGCTCTAACCTTAGTTGGGCTATAATATTCCCTTTCTTCTTGTAAGGTGGTTTTTGTCTTTTTAATCAAGCATGTATTGGCTCTAACCTTCGTTAGGCTATATTAACCTTACTTGGGTGTCTGTCTAATTCCATATTTCTTTCTTAATGTTGTGGGGATTTTGAATCAGGGTTGTGATGCTTCAATCCTCTTGGATGAAAGCAATGGGAATAAAAATCATTCCATAAAGAAGTAGGCTGTGCCAAACAAGACCTTGATGGGAATTGATAAAATTGATTAGATCAAGAAGGTACTCAAAAATGTCTGTCTAGGAGTGGTATCTTGTGCTGACATACTCGCTCTTGCCACTAGAGATGGCATTGTTCCTTGCTCCTCTGAGTTTTGACATGCTTTTTCTTGTTCTAATTTTCAGAGTTTGATCGTTACTTGGCCAAGTATATATGTCTCAACAATGACAAAAGTGCTACTGGATTTCTTAAATTGGAGGATAGAGATCAGTGTTGCTGAAAGCAATAAATGTCATCCAAAAAATTGCTCCCTTGGTGATCATTTAATTAAAAAATTTGGTAGTCGAAGTTATGTTAGTAGTATGCCCTCAAAGCCAACTAATTATTATACGATAATTAATGTTAAGGACATCTTATGTAGTAACTAATTAAGTTATTCATGGGCAAGACAAGTTGTTTTCAACCATGATATTTAGTATATTATCATAACTGTAAAACAACTATAGTCCTAGGAATATATAAGTGGACATGAGAACTATGTAATAAGGTTACATACATCGAGACTTACTATGGTTCTTAATCCTAAATATGTTCTTGGTGATAGGAGTATCAATTGGGCATTTGTGGAAACAAAATATCTACAAATCCTAGGTCAAATAATTAAGCCAATCAATTTGGGAATTATTTGGCCTAATTGGGAGTTGTTTGATTTAATTGGCAATTGTTCGATTCTTACCCTAATAATCAAATCCCTATTATGTCAATCTTAGGGAAGAATAATTCATTTCCATCTGTGGAATTATTCTTATGAACCCCTAGCTTCCGAGGCTTCTATAAATACATGGCTACACCAAGGGTTGAGGTACATCTAAACTTTTGTCTCAAAATACTACAAAATCTCTCAAACCCTAGCTGCCACAACTCTTTCTCTCTCTCACACAAGGCTCTGGCCACCCGGTTCACATCATACATACATCTCTGTACCCTTTTTGTTAGCTATTATTTTCCTACAAACACTTAAACTAACATAGGCATCGGAGGGCCTTTGGCCAACACCCTCTGGGTGTGGTCCTTTACTCCGTATTGTTTTGTAGGGAGAAAAAGAAGCAAAGAGGAAGACTAAATGTTAAACGAATATTCTCGTGGGAAGAAAATCGCTCCCACAAATTGGTGCTTTCATTGAGAGCACGAGTTATACTCAACGCGTACTCAAGGAATTCATTCTAAACAACAATGGTTGGAAGCAAACGCCCTATGAGCAAAACCACTGCAACGGCGCACTCCAGAACGGCCGAAACATCGCTACCACCACAAGATGCAGCTACTGCCAACGTTTTACAATAGCTTCCCATGGCTGCCAGCACGTTCTAGCAGCCCCCCGTGGCTACCCGTGTCGTCTAACCAGTTACTGTAACAGCCGAGCAGCCACCAAACTGTGAGGCCAGCTCCTCGTACCTGCGATCACCTCCGTGAACCACCAAATAGCGGCTGGAATTGTCACACCACTTGTGGCCGCACCAAGCCACTGCCCCGTGGCCTCCTCCGTCGTGCAACCACAAGGCCTAGGTGCCAGCACCATCACCCATGATGGTATCCCCATTCACGGCTACCTCAATATGTCACATCTCAAGATCAGCTCTACTGTAGCACAATATTGTCCGCTTTGGGGCCCCCTCTCTGCCCTCACGATTTTGTTTCTAGGAACTCATGTGCAAATTCCCAATAGGTCACCCATCTTGGGATTGCTCTAGCCCCAACTTTCTTAACTTCAAAGTTCCCCTGACTTCGTAGTTAATGAGCTCCCAAAAAGCCTCATGCTAGATGGGGGCGGGCATGTACATATAGGGCACATCACCCCCTCTCCGTTGGTCAATATGGGACGTTACAATCCACCATCTTTAGGGTCCTGACATCCTCGTCGGCACACTCGCACCACCGGCAGAGTGGCTCTGATACCAAATTGTCACATTTCGAGATCGGCTCCACCGTAGCAGATATTGTCCGCTTTAAGCCCTCTTCTCTGCTCTCACGGTTTTGTTTCTAGGCATTCACGAGCAACTTCCCAGTGGGTCACCCATCTTGGGATTGCTCTAACCCCAATTCACTTAACTTTAGAGGGTCGACGACCAAAATAATCTAATTGACCAACTATTCAAGCAGATCAACTTGAATCAAGGCCATGACCTTGGATCCCGGGATGAGGAGAGAGGGACCTATGAGCATACTGATGAGCATTTCAAGAGATCCCAAATTGGTTGGACTGAGAGAAACATGCAAGGGAGAGAACGAAATCGTCACTACAAGAAAAATGCCATTTTGCGACGGTCAACGCGGCCCTTGCAAATACACATAATTTATGCGCGGGTGATTCGCACCAAAATAATTGCAACACTTTAATTAGTAACGTCACATCTCACATCGCAAATAGGTTTGGAAGTGTTAAATTTGCGACGTTACTTGATTGCCGTCATATATATCTCCTCTTATTAGGATGGGAGACAAACCGTCAAAACTCAAAATTTTGAGGAGGTGCTCAGTTTCCCACACGAACTAAAAAACCCAATATCTTCTGATTAGTCATAGCCCTAAATCAATAATCTTATGCTTCTGATTATTCTTACCCCAAATCGATACCCAAAAAAACCAAATATCACTACAACAATCGATTGGTTCAATTCTTCTCTTATTGGAGCTTGGGCTTCTGTCTCGGGGGATCCCATCTCTCGTTTGGTTGGTTGCTCGAAGGGCTATCTGATTCGATCAACTGCGTAAGTCGTAGCGCGTAAGCTTCCTCTATCTCTCTCTCTTCTTCATTCTCTGTCTCTCCCTCCCTCTATTAGTCTCTCTATTTTGGCTTCTCTAATTTATTTATGTTTTGAATTTCATGTGTTGCTGCAAAATTTCTAGGTTTTCAACCAATTCAAATAGACAATTCTAACTTTATCAACAACTTCTAGATTTTGGGAACCCTTCCTCCTCTTATCAAGGTATGTATTTGGTGTGGATTTTTTTCTCCACTTTTTTCATTAGTTTTATGCTTTTCCCAACCATTAGTTTACACTGGAAGCCAAAGATATTAGGACAACTTCTTGAATTTTATCAGCTTTTTGCATCTGATAACTCTGCTTGCCCAGAAATATATTAGGATCATATAAATATTTATACACACACATCTATATATATATGTTTGTAATTGGCGTATTAATAGGGAACTTCATTTGTTTTGTCCACAGTTATATAAGAAAGTGAATTGGATTGAAATCTTAGACTTGTTTTGTCCTAACTCTCTTATTCCTATCCCTGTTGTTTTACATGAAACTACCATGAAATTTAGCCCCAAATTTTCTATGTTTGTAATTGTGTGAATAGGCTAGGATTTATCATATAATAAGTCTTTGAATTTGACCACAGTTTGGTTTGAAGTTAGCGTATTAATAAGGTACTTGATTTGTTTTGTCCACAATTATATAAAAAAGAAAGTGAATTGGATTGAAATCTTAGACTTGTTTTTTGTCTTGACTCTCTTATTTCCATTCGTATGTGAATGAATCAAAAATTCCAATTGGGAGGTGAGATAGAAAGAGAGAATAGAAAACAGATAGAGAGAAAAATATCAAAAATAAGGCACACAATATCCCTTCACATGCTAAGACATCTAGCACTATGTACCCTCTTAACCAAAACAGGGTACACGTCCATTTCCCCTTCCTCAGTATATGGACACCTATCCCTTCACATCAGCACCATTCGTGCCTCTCTCTCTCTCTCTGGGTAATGTGTTTGCCCCTTTGTTTGTTCAACACAAAGCTTGATTGGATCAGCATGGGAGGTTTTAATATGAGATTTTTCCAGAGCTATCTGTGGTCCTTCTAGAGATGTTTTAGTTAGTATATGTAAAGCAATAGTCTATGCTGCATGTTATTGGACTTAATTTCACATAATCTTCAAGATACTTTTTTCATGGTTTATCATATTAGTTAGCATATGTGGAGTTTTTACTGTTCAGCCAAGTGGACTTGGGAATCTCCTGTCTTTCCCAATTGAAAAAGGAAATTGGAAGCTACATGGCTTCACTCTTTTTGTACAGTAACAAGATAAAATTAAATAAATTAAAGAAAGAATAGTTTTCATTTAGTTTTTACAAATGCTGATAAGTTGGTGAAAAAATAATTCACACGATTATGGTATTTCTTTGAAAAAATTGAAAAATAGAATTGGTTTCATATCCTACATGGAATGACATACCTGATGATATATTAGACGACATTTGGAAGGATATCACAGTAAGCTATACTTACAAAACCTTCTAATTAGTGATAATGTATGTGTATTCAGTTTGATTGATAATTAAAATGTTATAATTGTAGGATAATACAGATGCCCCTGAGGCATATAGATTCCATTTCCTAAAGGTAGTTGGTAATAGATGGAGGGATTGGAAGTGCCGACTGAAGCAGAAATGGTATTATAAATATGACACTGATGAACAACGCTTAGCCATCACTCCTCCTCGGGTGGTCACAGAGCAGTGGAAGACACTAGTAAAATATTGGGGTCTTCAAAAGTAAAAGTAAATATCTAATAAGTTTATAATTTATGTTTGTAGGAGAGATGAATTATCATTGATAAAACCATCTTGTAGGAATGTTCTGAGATGAATAAGGTCAATCGTGCACAAGGAGGTGCTCCACATAGGACTGGTCGCATATCATTTGCTCAGTTGAGAAATGTGGTAAGAACACTAGATTGATTATAAATGTGGTTGGCTTTCTATTGCTTTATGTTGTATTGATTTTTTTATGTTATGTGCTAATGATTCTTTCTATAGTCATTGACCATATAGGTATTGTTATTAGCTAATCCTTTTTGTTCAAGCATATATCTTGAATGGCTGGCAAATAATGCAAACATAAGATTTAGAATTTGTACTATGGCTATACGTAACAGATTGGTCATTGGTCTTCTTTTTAGATATATATTTAACGAGATCAAATTTTTTTTTTCTTACATAGATGAGAGAGAAAGGAGAGAAGACTGATCGTCTGAGCATGTTTATCAAAACTAGAACAAAGAAGAAAAATGATGAAGATGAAGTTTTTGATGAGGATAATGCTGATATTATTGTAAGTTTGAATATAGATTTGTTTTGAAATTTTATCTTTTAGCCAAATGAACCAATTCTGCAAGTGTGATTTTGTAGAATCAATTCAACCAATGTTTGGAAGAAAGGGAAGAAGATGAACAAGATGAGTCATTTAGAGAGGAGATATCTACTAAAGTGATGGGAACTTATGCACATGGGCGTGTTCGCATGTGTGGGGCTGGTGTAACTCCATCTCAAGTGTTTGGTCAAAAATCAAATTCTGACAATAATGAGAATAGGATGAGAGAGGAGCTAGAGAAACAATGTCAGTCAAAAATAGATGATCTCCAATCCAAGTTAAATGAAGTCAGCTCACAACTCAGTCAAGTGATGACTCATGTTGGTTTCCAAACCACCCCAGAAGAAAGCGGAAGCAGCCAGGTACATTATATTTAATGTCTTTCTCTTATTAAAGAATAAATACTGTTAAAATTTAAGTGATCTTAGTTTTTATTGTAACTTTGAAATATTTTATATTTCATGTCCTCAATAGATTCCAGATGCCTCAAGTATGCATCAACGAAGACTTAGTGTTAACAGCGACCTGCAGCCTAATTTAGACTTGGAGGCATAAAAGAAATTGTTTTCATTAAAAGGTTAGATAAATATCCTCGAAAAAAAAATTAAAATATATATTTTTCCCATTCATTTATTTATGTTTTTGTAACTATTTTCAGGTTAGTGGTGGAGGATGAAATACAAGATAATGATGGCTCCTTCAAGTTTGAACTCTATTAATTTTAATACTTTTGAATCCTAATATTTTGTTTTATATCTAGAGATGGTATTGTTTACATATGACTTGAGATTTGAGATTCTGTAAGTTATTATTATTATTATTATTATTTTGTGTTAATGCAAAAGATGGTACTTTCAAGTACATGAATGAAGTTATTTTTGCTTTGATCAAGATGTAACACCATTTTATAAGTTTTTATAGTCAATTCTAATTAAAAATCACAGTTTATATGTCAATTAAGACTATCATTGGTGTTGCAAATTAAATTTTTGCGTTGAAGCAAGCTGTGCAAAATATAAAATTCAAAAAACTGAATTTATTAAAATTGGGTCACATAATTATTGCGACACTACATTCAGTCATTAAATCTTTTTTAACGATGCACGCCACTGTCGTATACATTGTCGCCAAAAAGGCATTTCCTTTGTCGTGTAAGAATTAGCGACAGAACAGTACCATCGCAATTACTTTAGTTGCGACATGAGATCGCGTCGTAAAATCAAGTCTTAAATCCGACGCTCAGTTTATTACGACAATTTTTAACCGTCGTAAATTCGACGCAATACATTATTAAGACGGGCCCGAAGTGTCGTAAAAAGGGCTCAAATCATTTGCGACGCCTTTTATTGTGACGTGACAAAAAACGTCGCCTTGCCGTCGCTAATTGCTATTTACGACACTTTTTTGTTGTTTTGTGACGGAATTTGCATGTCGCAAAATGCCTTTTTTTTCGTAGTGCGTTCTGAAGAGATGTAGACATTTGCAAGCTGCACTTTGAGTAGGTTGACAATCCATTCGAGGTTAGGTCCAAAAACCAATGTGCACCAGAGACACGAGATACTTGGTGAATGGAAATCTGTCAACCAGCAAATCCGAAGCTAGGAAGGTCCAGCAGAAGGTCGTGAGATATTACATGCAAGACGACAAGCTTATTCACATATCATACTATAGCCCTCATCTCACTTGCATAAAGTGCTCTCAAACACTTAAGGTCCTCTGCAAAATTCACGACGACGAGTGTGGCAACCACTCAGAGGGCAGGTCACTCGCCCAGAAGGCTCTAAACAAAGGCTATTTCTGGCCTACCATGCGCCACGACTCCACCGAATATGCTAGGAGATGTGATCTCTGCCAACGGTACAAATCAGTTCCTAACCTACCTGCCGAAGTCTACCATCTGCAGAATAGTCCATGGCCATTCATGCAATGGGTCATTGACCTAGTAGGTCCCTTGCCACCGGTGCCCGCCAAGAAAGATATGATGATCGTTGTCACTAACTACTTTACTAAATGGATTGAGGCCGAAGCCCTATCCTCTACCAAAGAAACATAATTTGTCAGTTTGGCTGCCCACAATAACTAGTTACTGATAATGACTTGCAGTTCATTAGCAAGCAGATCACCTGTCCACCCTGAGGTATCTGCAATGGACAGGCCGAGGGGTAGCTGAGCTCCCTGGAGTATCATGGGCTTATTGCACCACCAAGTGAATATCAACTAGTGAAACCCCATTCTCCCTCGCCTATGGGACGAAAGCGATCATCCCTCCTCACATCACTGTCCCCTCCATAAGCCTTGAGGAGGGCAGTGTTGGTCAGAACTCCGACTAGTTGAAGCTCAACCTCAACTTACTTAAAGGAGAACATGAGAAAGCCATTGTTCGAGTTGCCTCCTACCAGCAGCAACTGAAATCTTACTATGACAAAAGGGCCAAAGTCAGACAATTTCAGACAAGCGACCTTATCCTCTGAAAGACTTTCATCACTGTGCCAAGACAAAGGTCAAAAAGATGAATCTCAACTAGGAGGGCTAGGAGGGCCCTTACGTGATCAGCCAGTCTGGGGGTAGAGGAAGTTATACACTTGACACCATGGATGAAAAGGAAATTCCACGATAATGGAATGCTTACCACCTCCAAAGATATCACCCATGACACTTCCTCTTATTTGCTCAGTTCCAAGCAGATGACTAAGCCTTGTACATTTCTGAAGAAGAGAAGCAACTGCTGGAAGTTCTAGGTTCTTTATTCAGTTATTTCCATTTCAAATAAAGCGATGTAATCTTATGAACATCAATACAAGTTCAAGTTCTCATTCCAGAGTGTCTAACTATATATATATATATATATATATATATATATATATAACAAGACAGTTGCCCATAAGAAACGCCTTGAGGGAGACATAGGGAAACAACCAAAAGCATCCTTTGGCAGACGCAGCCCGCAAGAAGTGTCCTCCATGAGACGCAATATGTGCCAGGAATTTCCTAAGGGAGGTATCCAGATTCCTATTCATTTCCTAAGGGAGGCAGGATGGTCACACAGCGTCCTTCGGGACGCGCTGCCCACAAGAAGCATCATTTGAGAGACCCAGGGTGTGTCAGAAATTTTCTAAAGGAGGTATCCAAGACCCTATCTGTTTCCTAAGGAAGGTAGGATAGTCACATAGTTGCCCATAAGCTGTGTCTTTCGAAAGATGCAGCCAGCAAAGAAGCGGCTTCGGGAGACACAGGGTGCGCCGGGAATTTCCCAATGGAGATCTAGCTTCTCATTCATTTCCTAAGGGAGGTAGGATGGTCAAATGAAAGCGTCCTTTGGGAGACACAAAAGGCACATGAAAGCATCATTCGGGAGACACAAAAGGCACTTGAAATCCCTTAAAGGGGACCCTAGCTCCTGTCAGTTTCCTAAGGGAGGCATGACAGCCAAAGCCAAGACGCAGCCTAAACACTAGCCAATTACTCAAGTAGTTCACAAGACAATATGCAAATTGAATTTGAAAAAAATAACTGAAATTTCCATAGCAAAGTGACCAACCAGCCGAGTTCAACAACAACAAGATGGTCAAACAAGACCAATTATTATAAACAAGAAAGCAGACTATAAAAGTTGAAAAGAAATAAAGAAGTCTTCATCTACTTCGAGATGCTAGCATGAGATTCATAATCTACAGCCTCTTTGACATTTGCCAAATCAGCCACACCTTCAGTAGCTTCACCTGTGTGCTCCGAGACATCTGCCACCATTTCTCCTTTGCTCCATCCTCTTTGACTACTGCCTCTTCGGCCGCTCGCTCTTCAGCCTCTTCCATGTTTGCAACATTGACCTGCTTACTTAGAATAGGGAGCAACATGTCAGATGGTGACCATGTGAACATGTCTTTGTTGTTCTAGAGGAAGGTGGTCAGCTCCACCTTCTTTTTTGGGCTGAAGTGCGAGCCGATTCGTGCTCTTCTGTCTGGTTGGTCAGAACCGAAGGGTACTAGCTCGACGTCCTCTTCGGGTTTCCATCCTTCTTCAAGAGAGACCTCCTGACGGATTCGCTCCACTTGATCCTGATGTTTTGATTGCTATAAGGAGGTAGCTATTCCCTTTCCTTTCTAGCCTGCTCGGTCGCTTAGATCTACTTGTTCAACTCCCTTCAGGTCAGCCTGACTCACAGGGAGGAATTGTGTTTTCTTGTTTTTCTGCAGGCCTCAAGCCGAGCATTTCCTCACCATTGCCTGATCACTATTGATTTGGCCGACACCACTCACTAGGGATTGGATAGCGGTTTTTATGATGTGTGGTGGAGGTGATGGCGTTGATCTTGTCGATCCCTGGTCTACCTAAAAAGCCGTTGTAGGATGAGACTTCATTAATGACCATGAATGTTTGTGAGTTAATTACAAGTGGGGAGTAGATGTCGAGATCTATCATGCCCAAGGTAACCGTTGTTGTGCCATTGAAGCCAATCAATGACCTGGCTGATTTGTTGATCTTTGTCTTCAAGCCCATCTGCTGGATGACTGCCAATTGCAGGATATTGGATGTACTACCCTCGTCTACATGGATTCGGTCCACCATGTTCTAAGTGATCTGAATGTTGACGACAAGGCATCGTTGGAAGCCGATCATGGGATCGTCTTCTGCTGGTGGAAGGCCAGTCGAGATTTGGGAGTTCACAATGATCTTCCTCTTCTTTTCTTTGCTGGTTAGCCCAAACCCCTCGGAGTCGGCTATGATTGTGTTAATCCTTATAACCTTTTGAGGTGGCTCTTGTTCGAGTCTCCTTTCAAGGCAACAGTGTTCTTACCCAAGGTTTGTCCTTGTTCCTGTTGTTAAACATATCACTTCTTTGGCTTATCCGCTTGATTGGCTGATCTTCCCGCTTGGTAGACTTCTTCGTGGCGATTCAATCATCATCCTAGAGTGCGTAGCTTTTGTGGTCACGAAGACCTCTGCTAGAGTTTAGCTGGGAGTGATCAGCTGAAAGACCTTTTCTGAAGACAGAGGACGCAATTCGGTCGTTGCATCCTACAATGTTGCCATTTTCTGCTTTGAATCTCTTGATGTAATCTCGAAGGGATTTATCGGACTTCTTGTGCAGGTTGTAGAGGTAGTAAGGGTTCTTCTTGATTGTCCGATAAGTAGTGCATTCTTTGGTGAAGACGTAAGCTAGCTCTTTGAAGTTGCTGATCGACCCGAATGGTAGGGTGCGGAACCAGTCTTGGGCTACTCCACCCAAGGTCATTGTAAACACCTTGCACATCAGTGCGTTGTCAACCTTGTAAAGGATCATAACACTTTTGAAGTGTTTTAGATGACTCTTGGGATTAGAATCCCCCTTTAAATGCCTGAATGAAGGTGTTGAGAATCTCTTTGGGGGAATAGCTTGCTCGATTTCAGTAGTGAAAGGTGTAGAGTTTGCTTGGTCCATCTCTCTGCGTAGAGCATCTTCGAAATTTCTTCAAATCTTTAAGTTTTAAAGTCGGTCATTTACAAGCTTCTCGACTTCTTCCGCATGCATGGCTTGCAGATCACGTTGGTGACGTTTATGATTCTGGGCAGGATGGTTGACTTCCTCGTTGAGCCGCAGAGGTCGACCTCCTTGGTTGCCCTGCCTGTGGAGCAGATTAGTAGATTGAGCTTGCAAGGATTTCTCCACGAGTCATCATCGTGAGTTGGTTCTCGAGCGGGTTGGTGAGCGTCAGTTGTTGTGTTCATCATCCAGTCGTTCAGGACTCGTGCCCATTGTGGGCCCAGCCTAAAATGGATACTTCTTTGCTAGCCCAAGCGAGTGTGGGCATTGGACTGTGGGCCTAATCTCTTGTGCACATTGGTCCTTGGACTTAACCTTGAACGGATTGTCGACTAGCTCAGAGTACTGCTTGCAGACATCCGCATCTCTTTAGCATGACCTCGTTTTCTCCCTTGCCCATTTTTCCCTGTCCGAATAGTCTGGGATCTCTCAAAATGCTCGCCGGTATGCTCACGGATCCTTCTCTCCTCGTCACGGGCTTCAAGTTGATCCACCTAAGTAGTTGGCCAATTAGATTGTTTTGGTTGTCGACCCTTTGCGCAAGTTGATAAACCCTTGAATTAAGGCCTACTTGACTGCGTAGGTCATTAAGAGAGGTCTATATCGGGCCCAATGGCATATGGGCTAGGGCTTTGTTAGATGAGCACACGGGTGCATACGTCAAGTGTGGTTGCAAAGGAGGGAACGAGTGGATTTGTTCAAAGATTGAGGAATGACCCAAGAAGTTATCAAGGTAGCCATGGATGGCGGTCCCGTCATTGATGGCAGGGGCGACACTTAGTCCTTGCGATTGCAGGGCGGTGGAAGCCATGGGGTCAATTGGTTACGCTGCAACTTCAGCAACCAACGTTTGCAGCTGCAAGGTGGAGGAGGAGGTCATGAGGCCGTGCAGTGATGCGGTTCCAGCAAGGTGTGGTTGAGTGGCTCCAGCCGTTGCAGTTGGAAGTTGCAAGGTGCCGGCCTCCACAGGAGGTGGCTTTGAAGCGGAATCTGCTGCAATTCCTTGCGGTAGTAGCAAGTTCTCCACCATGGTGTCATGAGATGGAGGGTTGGGACCCGTCATGGTGGTATTGTTCCTTGTACGTCTTGTATCAACCATGGTAGAGGGAGCAAAGTATGAAGAACAAGTTTGGAGCATGCTTTGAGTATATCTCGTGCTTTCAATGAAAGCACCAATTTGTGGGAGCAAATTTCGCCCCACGAGAATATTCGATCAATTGATTCCCCTTTCTTCTTTGTCGTCTCTTTTTTCCTGCAAAATAGATTGGAATAAGAAGACCACACCCGAGGGGTATTGGCCAAAGACCCTCCAATGCCTAAGTTAATTCAATTGATTTTTAGGAAAACAATAGCTAAAAAGGGTATGAAGATGTATGTATGGTGTGAACCGGGCGATCGGAGCTGTGTGTGGTGGTCAGAGCCTTGTGTAAGGGAGAGAGAGAGAGAGGGCAACAAGGAGGGAATTTTTGTGAGCTTTACAATGGCTTACCTCATGCCTTGCATAACCTCATATTTATAGAGCCTCGTAGGGTTAGGGTTTGGAGAAAAATAATCCTTGTTGGGAAATGAATTATTTTTCTAATTTTCGGAGATTTAAATCAATTAGGGATTTAATGAGAATCAAATCCCTAATGCAAGGCGAGAATCAAATCCCTAAATCAAATAATCCTCAAATGGAAGAAAATATTTAACCTAGAATTTTACTAAAATTCGGTTCCCACAAGTCCCACATTGGAATATTACAAAAAGTGAAGACTCCCCCTCATGTATAAAAGGAGACCATTCTCCACTTACAAGGGGTTTTTGCTCCCTCACTCTTCTTCCCCTTATCTTTTAGGTCTTACCTTTTGTACAATGTAAACAACTATATTATAATGAGAATATTCTTCTTGGAACGAAGCCCATCATTCGAGTGAACCACGTACATCATTCTTGTTTACTTTCCTTATATTATTACCTGTCTAAAGCAATCACTTACCTCTAAAGGCATGCACCCTCGCCTTCACACATCACATTTTACATTTTTAAGTTGTGCCAAATAGTGGTCATTCATTGGGCATCAACAACAAAGATTAGAATTACATGGATAATCAGAAGTTTTGTAAAATAGTGATCTCATGCCTTGAAGTAACTCCGATTCCGAAGTGTACAATAGGTGGTGGTATTTTGTTGACCATTCTACTGTCCTACATCTCATTTATCCAATTCGAGTTTCCAACCCAAAACAAACGACAGGATACGCAGTGTCGGTTTCTCAGACCACCCTCCAAGTTGGCCACGTGTCCGTACGCCTGCCGCTGGTGTCACTCTCCCCCCACATCTAAAACCACCGTCACCATCTTCCACTATTGGCCTTGGAAATAGCACGTGACCCAAAACCACACCCCCTCCCCGCCTCTCTCTCTCTCTCTCTCTCTCTCTCTCTCTGTTACTTCAGATCATCGCTAGCCTACCACTCTCTCTCTCACACTATGTTTATCCTCTCTGGTTCGCCATCCACCACATTCTTCAGGCCTAGGGTTTCGTCTTCGTCTCTCTCCTCCTCCTCTTCTTCTTCTTCTTCGTCTTCTTCATTATCATCCTCTTCTAGGCTGTGTTTGGTCTCTGTGAGATCGAGTGCGCGAAAGAGCTCTGCTTGTCCTTGCCTGTTTTACTCCTTGAAGGTGAGTGCTATGGCAGAGCTGGTGAAGGACACGGAATCGTCTTTATCGCCTATTCAGAATGCGCAGAGGAGGGAGACTAACCATTCTCGTACGTTTCTCAATACCACCACTGAAGAAGGTGAGAGTTCTTTGTCATTTCCGCTGTTTGGCTCCTGAGAAAATGCAAGAATGTTAGACTCATATTTTTGAATTGAAATGTTCCCCTTCATGATAATTGAAATTGGTTGTCAAATTTATTTTTACGACCGACTTAAATTTCTGTATAAGACTTGAGTGGTGGTTGTCTTCCCTTCCATTTTCTTTTTGTTCAAAGCTTAATATTCATGAGCCTTTTTTGCATGATACTTTATGCATAGTGGATTCTTTCCTTCTTTGAGAGCCAAACTGTACTCTACTTCTGTGAAGTGTTAAAAAAGAAAATGAAGGTTAGTTTATTTCTTGATCACGTAGCATTTCTTTCTGTTTCCCAGGAGAAGAGCATGAACTTTTTGATATGTATGTTCTTTCCACTACTTTCTTTTTTGCTGCGTAGGAGAATATAGAAGTGTTTGCAATGTTACTTTTTCTTTTATTTTCAAACTTTCCTGAATGAGCTGAGTATTTCACTCGGAAAGAATTTTGTTCTCCCAACTTGGAAGTGATGAAAATTTCTTTCAATTTCCTTTTAACTTTAATTTGATGACCAAGTGCAGTGGTTGGAGTTCTGTAAATGTGGAGTAATCTGTATTTATTATGCTTCTGTGTTTTTCCAAGTAAGATTGGTAGTCTTCCATAGCAACTTTATTTAGTTCTTGAAGTTCCAATTAAGTGCTTTATGTACTCATTGTTCTGTTGGTGCTTTGGTAATAGCTGACCATATATGTGTTTGGTGCCTGATTTCTGTATGAATTAAATCTACATAGGAGAGTGAGAGAGTTTTCTCAAGTAGGTTTTGGGAGAGGATGCATCTCTAATGTTTGTTATAAATTTGGAAATGTTGACAAAAAAGTTCGGGTTGCAGTAGCCATATTTATGTTGAGTGATACATGTATGAGGACCCAACGTTTCTTGTTGGGCATGTATATTTGCCAAGTGATGTACATTGTTTGATTGTTAATCCTTAATATTTCACTTTTTAAAACCCAGTATAGAATATGATATAAAAAGGCTTAGATACATTATTTGTGTTTATGATGTCTCCAAATTGGATACCCATCTTATGTAACACTATCAGGCCTAGGTCTGTTATTGTTGCATTATGCACTAGGGTGCGAAACTGTAGACTGGTTTATGTATATATCTGTGGATGTAGATGTAGATGAAGATGAAGACTTAGTCTGAGAAAAGGACAATAAGGAGAATGATAGTGTCTTATAGAAGGTATTTTATGGGATCTAGTTGTTACTTTGGGGTTGTAAACGCTTTGTGCAAATATGTATATATAGAATCCTTTGATATTCTGTTTTTAGGAAAAATGATTTATTTACAGAGGAGTTATAAAGTCATGACAAATTTCTGGAATCTAATTAAAAACCCAAAAGTTCTGAATACTTTATTTCCTTATACACAGTTATTAGAAAATATTGGTTTTTCACTCACATGAGTTGTCACCTTCACAACCAAAATGTTAAAAATGGCTTATTCAATGGTTGTTGCCTATTTTTATGTGTTAAGCACCTTCCTTGTGTTTGTTTTCATATAGATTGTACATCTCATACCCATAGTTTGAATTGTTTGCATGTGCAACCCAGATTTTTTCTTTGGATGAGTTATCTTGGTAAGATATACTTAATGGTTTTCGCCGTTCCAAGTCCATGCTAATTAGATACCCATCAATGCGTGATATATGGACTCACCAATCTTGCATGATAAATGAAATGGGTTCACTAACCTTATAAAGTTTCCAATAATTCAAAGTGGTGCAAAAAAGACGTAAAAACTGAACATGTGGGCATCAAATGGTTAACCTTTCATCATGGGCTTGTGTTTCATGTAGGTAGATTTTTTGGCAGTACATATTATCAACTATTGTAAAGCCATATCAAGTGAACTTTCTGGCTGTTCTCAGACTAGGAGATGGCCTGTGTAGTGATACTACCTCTAGCGCATTGGTTCTGTATTATGCTTACCCACAATAAAATTCCTATGTTATATCCCCACCATGGACCCAAAAGAGAAAGAAAACAAAAGGAAAAGGAAAAGATAGATTATCTATGTGTGTGTATGCATGTTTTATGCTTTATAAGCTATAAAATTCTCCAAAGAAAAGGACGGTGCAAGTCCGTTGGAAGTCTACAGGAGATATTTGTTTATTCAAGTCCATAGATTCTGAATTTCTAAAATTGGAATGGTATACTTCATAGCCCTATGCATTTATATATTAGGTAACTTATTTACACGTCTACATGCCTACATATACATATGCATAAGTACCTACATTTATAGAGATATGTCGTACTTTTTTCTTTGGAGGGGCCAAAATTTACAAAATCATGTCTGATGTTCTATAAAATTACAAATTATTTGACCTAAGATAATCAAACTTTCTACTCGAAATTATGATATCTTAATTTATTCAAACTTGATTTTGGTGCAAAAATGAAAGCCAATAATATGCTTTTTAGGAATGCGTGTGCAGTTTGATTGAGCTTGTTATCTGGAAAGAACAAAAGGAATACCTGAAGAATTCATTTCACATATAGCCATTTACTTTAATTTAAAGTTTGATGTTTAACTGCTACCCTATCTGAAGCAGTGGTCTTGAGCTGTGGAAGGGAATAGAAGAATATTTGAGGATAGGAAAGAAGGGTTGTTTTCAGTGTGGGACAAAGTTAGATTCCTTGCGTCCCTGTGGGCTTCATTATGGATGTCCCTTCTGGTTTAATTTACCGGGATCGGTCATCTATGCTGACTTAAGTAGTTTGGTTTATTTGGTTTCGGGTTTTGCTGTATTCCTGTTGGATTTCTTGTCCAGCCTGTTTTGTAACTTCTTTATTTAATAAATTGGTCATTTCCTAAATAAAAAAATGCACACACACACACACACACATATGTACATAGATACAAATGCACACTACTTTTATCTTTGGAGTGCTCTTGATTGTAAGGTGAAACAATTATTAGAAGTCCTAGAAGAGTTATTTGCATTCCTATTCTTTCATTTATATACTTTCATATTTTCCAATTGCAGTCTATAATTTTTTCACTAAGAAATTAACATTAATATACTAATAATGATGTTATATATATTTTTGGCTGACCTGACTTCCACCAGGATGCATGTAGTTCAACAAAAGGTCCAGCTTTAAATGTTCTACATATTTTATCTTTGAATAATGGGAGAGGGGACCAAGAGCTAGGCAGTAATTAGAATGCAGAAAATCTCCTTTATTAAGCTGTTGACTAATTTGAAATGTTCATTTGTAGAGCTGCTGTCTGCAATAAGGAAGGAAACGGAAGCTGGAAGGCTTCCCTCAAACGTTGCTTGGGGAATGGAAGAATTATATCAGAATTATAAAAATGCTGTAAACTTTTATTCTTAAGCTCATACTTTGCTATACATAGTTAGATTTGCTTCAGTAACTTTCAATTTTGAATTTATTTGACATGCATAAACATTTTGGCTCGCTTTCTTCTGAATGAAATTTGTGTAAAAGATATGTGCATGTGTAAATTTATTTATTTTGAACGATTTTAACATTTAAAATTGCCAAAATAAGAAGATTTAGTATTTCTTCTCAGCAAAATAAAAGATTTTAGTGTTTACTATTTGATTGGAGCTGCGACCATATTATTTAGAGATGATAAAATAAGAATGACATATCATATAACCCACTCAATTTAGAACTTGCTTGTGAAAAGGAGAGTATCATCCAACTTACTTGCTAAAATATTTCTACTTAGAGATATTATATGTTTGCTGGTGAGTAGGATTTTTAATACTTAATTGAAGCAATGGGGACCCAATCTCGACTTACTACTACTTAAAGTGACCACAGGACTTACAATTGAATGAGGAGATAACATAGATTCAAATCACAAGCTAACATGCCATTTGTGTCTTAGTTATCTAAGGCCAAAAAGAGAATGTGACTTATTTTCTATCGGAAATCTAAACCATTCAGTCCTACACGATCAAATAAGGTACTATGTGACCACTGTGCCACTGACCAAAATTTTACTCATGGTATTTTGATTTCAAGCTTGTATATGAACCCTTGTAAACTTTCTAAACTATGAAAAGTTATCTTTCCTATGCATCACTGGTTAACTCATCCTAGGGTATTTATATCACCTTCTTGAATGAAATGAACTTCATATATAATTTTTATGTACAAATATATAATCTCTATGTGGAGGGCACTTCTAGAGAGGATGCCCTTTTTTCCTTAGCAGACATGGAATACTGTGTTCAATAACGTGTTGTGTATTGTTACTCTTGAATAATTGTTGTTACGTATTATTGATTAGTCATTGACAGAGTATTGACATGTTATCGAATGTATTATTGTATGATATATATTTTGAGGGATTCCTCAAATAACCTCAGATGCATTAGATGCCCAGCAGTCATTTAATCTAACAGCTAAGAAACTCATTTTCTGTTTTGTAATTCTACGGTATCATGTTTCAGATTCTCCAAAGTGGAAATCCCAAGGCAGATGAGATTGTGTTGTCCAATATGACTGCTGTATTAGATCGTGTATTCTTGGATATAGAGGTAATATTTGGTTTTTTATGCGTTATCGCACAGCTGCCATAGTTTCTGGTGTATCTATGGGTTATATCAGAAACCGTATTATCATTTTGTTTTCTTGTATATGATATACAGTAATTTTTCAGGACCCATTTGTCTTCTCCCCATATCACAAAGCAATGCGAGAGCCTTTTGACTACTACATGTTTGGTCAAAACTATATTCGTCCTTTAGTTGATTTCAGGTGACTTGACAAGTTCCATTCTTTTACCATCTTCATCAGTTACTTTTGGTACATAGTAAGTGAGAATTAATGGATTTATCCATGTAGTCTGCTTTTTCTGAAAGTGAATGTACTGTTTATGCATTGGTTCATGAAGTCCACGGAGCCTTAAAACTGACTGGGTGATGGGTGATTTTTTATCCAACGTGCTTCAGATCATTCATCATGACACTGAAATTAATTAATTAATTAATTTTGTATGGGAATTTCTTTTATATACTAATCATATTGAAAATTGTAAATATTATTTCTATGATTCTTGAATTGCTCTTATACAACAAGTTAAAGACTAATGTGACTGATGTCTCTTAAAAAAATTTTGTTGTATTGAAGTGGCTGGAATTGTGAATGGTTCATCATTCCTCCACTCCAACTCGCAGTTGGATGGTTCAAACATAACTCTGAATTAGTGACGCAGGAGCAAAGTTCAATGTTTTGTAAATGATAATTTTTCTAGTTTCCTATGCTTATTATGCATATTTTCTGAATGTTACTGTCTTTGACTCTCTCTATGTCGCATGATTAATATATTAGGTGTCATAATTATGTCTCTAGAATTCCTGAGTGTATTAATGTGGATCTTTCCAGATTCATGTACGAATTACCCTATAAAAGGGGCTACTTTGTAAGCTTTTAAAATCATTTAGTGAAAAAAGAAAGTTCTTGTGAATTCCTGCTTGTGTGTGAGGCATAGGTTGACTTGGAGTGATTCCAAGGCACCTTCTGTGTGATGCCGGAATTTTCTAATTTGTTTACTGGACACCTTTTGTACGATGCCAAAGGCCTGAGTGAGTCTGGATCTCTTTATTTTTCCTATCTGTTTCTGCTATCCTACGTCAATTGGTTTGAACTTTGAAGGGTTATTCGGATCTGATGTAAGACTTTTAATTGGTTTCTGGGTTGCAAAACATTGTGGTAGCTGATTCGTTAAGGTTTGACATATTTGAAATAATGTGATGAAGTAAAATACTGTTGTGTTTGGAATAATATAAATTCTATATTGTAATCAGGACTTGTGGTAGAATAACTTGTCCAAAGAGATAGGAGTTGCAGTACGCTAAGGTATACGATTAGAGCATTGAATCAACTGATTGCTCACAGTCCCATCAGAGGAATAAGAACCTGTAAATCATTTGTATGGACTGCAGATTAATACTTTTACCATCTTCATCGGTCATTTGTATGGTCTGAGGGTTAATACTTGTCATAATGTTCAGTGGAGAAGGCTTAGTGTATGTGTTTTGCCTCCTTAGCGTTCCATTTGTAGAAGTGGAGCAGAGGATATAGATTAGTTATTCCTATATTGGACCATTGCACAAAGATTGTGGTTATACGCTTTTCAAAGAGGTGAGACTGAGCTGAGTTGTCCTGGCTTCTTCTGTACTTGTTGAGAAGCAAGGAAATTTTTGTGTGGAGAGGTTGTGCAATGGCTGTCTTTTGGGTATTTCTCAAAACTAGCCCTTATAGAGCCTATTTGGAGTGAAAAACTCAAAACTAGCCACTTGTTATTTTCTATTTGGTTCATATAAAATTTTAACACACTAAGAACCAATTAGAAAATGACAAGTGGCTAGTTTTGGGTTTTTCTCTCCAAATAGGCTCCATATGAGTTTCTGTATAATATGTCATGCTAAAATGGGTTTTTGAATAAATATCTCATTTTATACACCTTCCATCTTGTTATTTTTGGCTAAATTTTTCACTGTATTTTTTGGTAAATCTGAAATCTACACTACGTCTTTTTACTGTTTCACATATTCTTGTGGAATAGAAAAATTCAATAATAAGGGTGTTCGATTACCAGGAAGAGTTTTTGCAAAAACTGGTTGACAGAGAATACTCAGATGAGAAAACAGAAAAACAGATCACCACTCACATTTTCTATCTTCTTTGCTGTTTCTTGCTTTCATATAAGTTGTATTTCACTTAGTCAATCTGAGTTATTTATCAGTCGAAACTATATTCATCATCTAACAGTTCTATTCATATGGAGGTAATTTCGTCTTTTTTAATGTCAATATAATATTATTTCCCTTGTGTGTTTTACATATTGATGTCCTAAGCTCTGATGACTATATGTGCAGAAACTCATATGTTGGCAATATTTCTGTTTTCAAAGATATTGAAGAGAAGCTTCAACAGGTACGTTATCTGAGTATTGAGCTTTATTTCTTTTTTGGGTTGTGCGGTAACTACTAAATATTGTTGAATTGTGAAACGCTGTTACTTTCTAGCACTAAAATTACACTGAACTTTGTTCTTGTTTTGTTGTTTAAAAGTTATATAGTGGCCTTACATATGCATGAGATGTAAATGCAAGTTTGGCAGTTCAAGTTTTGTACATATGTATGTTGAAGTCTTTTGAAACAGTGTAAAAACAATTGTTTTGAAAACAAAGTCATAGAGAGGGCATGCGAAGTGTAGTCAGTCAGTTCCTTTCTTGGGCTATGAAAATAATAACTATTCTTGGTGATTTTGGCACTAGATTAAGGCAATAGCACAGAAGCAAACTGATCTGTGTAGAATGGGATACAAGATTTGGGCTATTACTTCGTTTGGGTGCTAATATCTTAATTATGGTTGACCAGTAGTTGTCTTGTGCTTTTTGGTGGTGTGATCCTGATGGTACTGTGGTATGCAGTATGCAGTATGCAGATGCCCTATTATCTTCATTAGTTTTGTTGTTGTGTCACTGATGATCAACGCCTGGTCATTTGGTCAGTAAGGGGATAAAATTTGAAAAATATTAATTAGTGTTTCATGAAGACACTCAGAGGTGACTCATGTGATGTAAGGCTTCTGGATTATGCGTGCAGGGTCACAACATTTTTTTGATATCAAACCACCAAACTGAAGCAGATCCAGCTGTCATTGCGTTATTGCTTGAAACAACAAACTCATATCTTTCTGAGAACATGGTGAATCGCTATGTCTTCATTCTAAGCGTACAATGGACACATGCTATTTTGTGCATTTTTAACTGTTTGCATAACCAAATTTTAGACTTTGTACTGCAGACCTACATAGCAGGAGATAGGGTTGTGACGGATCCTCTTTGTAAGCCCTTCAGCATGGGAAGGTAAAGTTCTTAGATAATGTTATGCAATTAGTATGCAATGCTTTTGTTAGTTAAGTAATGAAATTCTCATTTTTTGCTTTCTTACAGGAATCTGATATGTGTGTACTCGAAGAAGCACATGAATGATGTTCCTGAGCTTACTGAAATGAAAAGAAAAGCAAATACGAGGAGTTTGAAGGAAATGGCTTTGCTGTTGAGGTACCTCAGTTGTTTTGTTTGCCTATGCATGGTCAAAGTTGGCTTGACTATTATTAGTTGCTCTTCTTATTTTTGCTCATCATGGTCCATGGTGCTACTACAATGTCAAGCCATTTGTAGAAAGTGTGTTCCTTATTTGTTGTTGTTTCTTTCTTTTGTTTCCCCGGACAATGAACCCTGATCTCTTATTCCTTTATATCTTTGTTTCCTTTGCTCTTACATTGTTCTTTTCTTGTCTCTGTGAACCTTAGAGGGCATTATACATGTCCAGAACAAACTGAATTTTTTAAAGTACATCTTGTGGTTATGAAAAGTAGCTAGTAACAAACTGGTGAGGAGCTATGCTGATTTTACTTGTTAGCATACTACAATGCGTGGCAACTCAAGGTGGTGCTGCCCTCTTTTCTCCATGCATCCTTCTGGTATTTAATGGACACGTAACTCTGATTTTCTATATTAGCATGACAAAATAGAGGAATTGTATCAGAAGTGAGAATGAAGATACTTTTCTTTCTTGGGGCAAGACGCAGAGAGTGAAGGTTCATCAATGCGACTAATGCTGAATGGTATTGTCACCTTTAGGTGGATCTGGTGGTAGGTTTGCCAAATAGGAGGTGATTGCTAAGTTCAATGACTGTAAGGGAATAATTTACACTAAATCACAGTATTTAGCGGCCAGTGCCTGTGTTGGTAAGGCTTTGGAAGTATGGTACAACTGCTGTGCAACTGAGACAAAATACCAGTCCAGTCTTTACGTGTAGCTTTGGATTGGCAGCTTTAAAGTTGTCAGTGATAAATATGTAGAATACAAGGTAATATGTTAAAATGCAGATAAATTTCCCTGATATCTGAAAGGTGTGGGTTAAGAGATTGTTCAGCTGTTTGCTTTTATTTGCATATTTGTGGCAGTGAAAGAAAATGGCCAGAAACAGAAAGAGTTAGGTTGTAAAAGTTTTCATGGTTAATGGCATAATGTACTTTACACTAAAAACTGTTCTTTTTTTTCTTTTTCTTTTTAAACTTTTTTATTTATATTTATATTTTTTTAAGAGACAATACACTGGAAACTGTTCTTGTATTATGGTTTTTTGTGACACATCATGCATTTCCCTTTTATAAGAAAACGTAAGACTCTTTGAAGTAATCAAATCTATGTGTTTTCATATGCTTTCTAATGCAGACATGTAATCGAACATGTTTAAGTGCAGGGGTGGGTCGCAAATTGTATGGATTGCACCTAGTGGTGGAAGGGACCGGCCAGATCCTGTAACAGGAGAATGGTACCCAGTAAGCTCTTTCAACTTTATCATGCATGAGAAGTTGGATAAGAAATATTTATGGATTTCTATTATTGATATATGTTATTTTTTATTTTCTCTAGTGATCTTTTTGTTAAAAGTTTTTATCTCGATAAGAGATTCGTTGTTCCTGTGATGATTTTTATCATGCAATTGTCTCTATAGTGTTGCTACATAAGGTCTTAAATTTGCATCCATGTGTTTTAATTGTAAATTCTGGATTCAGCTCAAGCAAACCATGTACTGAGCATGGATAGAATAGGGACTCAACATCTCTAGAGGAAAGCATAAATAGATTGTGGATTATTTTGAACTACACTCCAGCATATTTTTTTGTTGAAATAATTTACTTAAGAAAATATTTACTAAATTTGACGTCAACTTAGTTGTGGAATAGGCTACAGTTGGTTAATGTTGGCATATACTGGTCCTATGACTAAGAATTTACCAATATAGAGAAGCATCCACTTATATTGCCAAGGATAGTGGTGTGGTGGTGTTTTTATTAAGTAAAGTTTTTAAGTTATTACTTAGCTTATTACTACTTATTTTTTTTTTTTTTTTTTTTTTTTTTTTTTTTTTTTTTTTTTTTTAACTATGGTTTCTCAGTGTGGATATCAAGAAATCTTGTTAGAACAATATTTGAGAAAACCAATGACTCTGTGATGTAGGATATGGGTGAATTGAGAATTTAGGTAGTTTAGCTGAAGTGAAAACAATGGAAAACAGAAAATAGAATGAACAAGGATAGGTCTGGAATCACGCCAGGGGTTTGGCTTCACACTAAGTAGTCTCCAATCTCTGGAAAATAAACTTTTCTTTATATCTCAACAACTCAACTCCATAATGAATTACATGAGAGGGGTATTTATAGCAAACTAAAACCTAGAGACAATAGGATAAAAAATCCCTTGCTAAAACAGAAATTCTAACCTAAATAAAATAGGGAACTTAGAAATCCTCCTAAAATCTGGAAAACTTAAAAATCTTACTAAAATCTGGAAAACTTAGAGAACAAGCTAGAAACTAATCGCAGGAATCAAAAATTGCCAGATTTAAAGACCAAATTAAATGACTTCCTCTTCCATCTCTTTCTTTTGTAAACCCTAATGGGTTTGACAAAGATGTCACTATGTATGAATTTCTTCATAATTGTTGGAACTTATGACGAGATAATTAAAATTACCAATGGCCTTTTAGTGTAATCTGTACCCACCAAAATAGTTAGCCAGGGAAGCCTTACAAATATAATTTTTTTTCCTATATATTTTTCTTTTGAACACATTTTTACACACTAAAGAAACTTATTGACTGGTCAGGCACCTTTTGATGCTTCTTCACTGGACAATCTAAGAAGGCTTGCTGAACATTCTGCTGCTCCAGGGCATATATATCCGTTAGCATTGTTGTGCCACAACATCATGCCCCCACCGCTCCAGGTTTGTTGTCTCTGTTTTGGTCTTTCCTGTGCGACTTTTCCTCTTTTGTGATACAATTCTTTTCCAGGTGGAAAAAGAAATTGGAGAGAAGAGAATGATCTCCTTCCATGGTACTGGATTGTCGGTTGCACCAGAAATCACCTTTTCTGATATTTCTGCTTCCTGTCAAAATCCTGAAGAGGTGCGTGCTGTATACACGTCTTCCACTTGCCTGGTTGATGTGGATGGTTCCTGTCATATGCTTCTTGATCTTTACATTATTTTGCAACGAAAGATCTTATGTAATTTTGCCTTTGTCATGTGCATTTAAATCATGTCATCATACCATTTTACAGAACCGCTGAACAGTGTGGAAAACTTTTCTCCGCCTGTTTATTGGTGATGAACATTAGCAGTTAAGTAATAGTCATTTCCTTAGCAAGTCAACAATTATGTAATGACTGGTGCACAACTGGAATAGATCGGTCAACAATTTGTAATTGTTAAATCTCACCTTTGTCCCTCAACTTTTGACCATTCTTACTCTGGTTCCTGAACTTCAAAACGTCCCAATTTTAGTCATCAAGCTATATTTATGCTACTAAAGGAAAAAAGCTGCATGCGGTTGAAAACATAACAGAAAAAGGTCGTGTTGTTGATCACTAAAGCCCTAAAGCCTGGGAAATCCTGAGAAATTCGGCCTATGTTTTTTCAGATTTACAAGTCTTTTCAGTTTTAACTTCTGTTTGTTTCTTTTTTTCAGCTTGAGTGATCAGAATTACCTTGAATTAGTGGTGATGTGTGTGACATATTAACTTTTTGAAGGGGATTAACTGACACTTTCTGTGAGGGCCAAACTGGGACTTTGTTGAATTTCAGGGACCAAAGTGCCACGTGTGTCAAAGTTCACGGCACAAAATTGAAATTAGCTCTAATTGTTGTATAAACTTCTCTATTGTTTCTAAGTTTTCTGGCTGTTCTCTCTTGCAGGCTAGGGAGACATACACGCAAGCTCTGTATAAAATTGTTACTGAACAGTACAATGTGCTCAAATCTGCTATACATTGCAAACAAGGGCTAAAGGCATCTACGCCAAATGTTTCTTTGTCACAACCATGGAATTAGTCTGTCTTTAAACATATTTGCCTTCTTACTTAGCTTTAATAATCAGGTACTTTTGCAGATCCTAAATTTTACATTTAAAGTAGGATAATGATCTATTGCCTTTGTTTTCTTATATTAGTGAAACATATTTTTAACTCCGAAGAAATGTACAAATCTTGGATAAGAAAGCCATTCATGTATATTAATTAGAGCTTATAAAACCTGTCATGAACTGCTAAACAAATAAGTGTGCACTTGACAGCAGTGAAATGTATCTAGTTTTTAACTTTTCTATAAACGGGAAAAAGTTGGCTGGCAGCATGTTTTACAGCGTTTAAGAGTATCGTGTTCATGAAATCCCTAATACAGAATCTGGAAAATCAATGAAAGGTAGAAACAAAGATTTTCTTAGCTGATTTTTGCTCCTTATAAGTTAATACTTGTGCTCATTAGGTGGCAATTGAATTTATTCCAATCCACATTGGTGATTATCTTGGTTCTTTTATTAACTAGATTTTTGTGAATCTTGCAGATTAGGACTTTACCTTAATTTTGCAAGTCCTGACCACAAAAGGCCACTGGTCCTTCGAACACAAGTATGCACTGTGCCAAGAAGATTTAATTGAAGCTGATGACAAACATAAGTTCAACGTCGATTAGATGGAGATTCTTTTTGTTCATATGGTTTAGGCAAGAGCTGGATTCTTTGGAAATTGAAGCTGTCTCGCAAGGGTTCGGTTTTTAGGTGTATACTGTAGATATGGGGCCAGTTGTTGATGAGCAATGTAAATTGAACTTTAGATGTTATTTTTAAATCAATAGCTTTCTCTAGCACCTGAGAAGTCTTAAAGTTTCAAGAGAACCCTATACAGCTGAGAGAATATTGGTGACTACCTGCCACAGAGGCAATTGCCGTCTCATGTTCAAATTTATGCTGTTTGTACTTGTTTCATCAAATATTCAATGGTTTCTTTTTCTTTATTCATCTTTTCATAAGACGTTATGAGCACAAGTCTCTCTTTTCTTTTCACTTCTTTTATTAAGAGTTAAATGCTGCAACGATAATTCACAACTCGAATGGTATAATATTACGTGTATTCGTTGCTCTTTATTATCCTTTTATTGGAAGTTCTGATTCACTTACGCCGGCTTCGAATTATCGTATTCAAATCTCTCTGCGTGAACCTTTTTCAGCTCCTTCAACATGTGCCAATCGAAGTGTTGGCAATAAAAACAACACTTGGTTCTTGGCCTCCTCCATCTCCAACACTATTTTCTTCATTCTCTAATCCTCTGTTTGGATGAAGGAATTGAAGATTGCATAGAATTCTAAAACGACGGAATTTAGATTTCCATGATTTCAATTTTTGGCAATTGAGGATTTCAATGTTTGGATTTATGTATATCGAAGTCTGTAAATGGCACTACGAAAATTGTGAAATGATACCTATTTTGGTCGAAATTAAACTCGGGAATTTGATGCCTCAATTTCCACAATTTTTTCCGCGCTTCATTTAATAAATTCCGTGCTTAAATTTGCCAAACAACGGAATTGTCAATTTCTCCGCTTAAATTGTCAAAAAACTGAAAACTGAAATGTATTTGAAACTGTTTTCACTTTCAAGTTTTTGTTTTCACTTTTGTTACTCCTCCCTCCCATCCTCTCTCATTCTCATCTTCACTCCCATTATCACTCTCATTTTCCTCTATAATCTAAGCATAAAAATGAAAACTAAAAACCGCAATTTTCAACAAAATTTTGGATGGAGTTAGTTTTAAGTGAAATTGGTGTATAATTCCATAACATATTTCAAAAAAGTTCTCATATAGAAAATAAGACATGTGAGATGACTTTTTTGGGGTGAGTAACACCTCTTGACTAATATAAGCTCGTGCTTATCTCTCACTAATTTTAAAGTCTCTTAATGTACAACCATAGTAAATTTTAAGGGCTTGTTTGATAGGAAGGACAAGACTAGACTGGATTATACTAGCAAAATGCTTATATTTCATATGCATTCAAAGCATAATATGGATATTGTTGTCTAACTTGGAGGATGAATGAGAACTATCTATAAGAGGTTGATGACTAAACTTATTTCTCATAGAGGGATTATGAGGAATAAGTTTAGTCATCAACCTCTTATGAATAGTCCTCCTCCATCCTCCAAGTTAGGCAACAATGTCCATTTTAGAGGTAAATACCGAATACCCCCTTCAACTATTTCGACTGTCGAACTTAGCACCCTAACTTATTTTCTCAGCCAATTTAGCTCTTGTTTTAAATTTATTCGCCAATTTTGCCCATGTCGTTAGCTTTTACACAATTCCATCCAAATGTCTGGAAAAAAACACCACGTGAATGGCACGTGCGTCACTTTTGAGGGTAATCATGTCCTAATCCTCATACCCCTTTTAGCCCTCCTTATTCCCAATTCCCAAATCAGAGTTAGTGTTCAGACTAAAAGATTCAAGAGAGAGAGAGAGAGATTTGGGGGAAATTAATAGACTTCAAGATTCGAATCAATGGTGCGACAAAACTGATTTGGTAAAGGCAAGAGATTGAATATGAAAATCAAATATGGTGGGGAAGCTCCCATATACAACAACAAGTAGCTTACTTTATTTTATTCGTTTGAAGCATTTGTTTGGTTTGATTCTTTGTTTATGTCGGGCTTCATTGGGTTTTATTGTTTTGGTTATGTCAAACTTCTTGAAAAAGCATAATAAAAGGAAGAAAGTGGTCCCAATGTATGTTGTCTATCGACTTAGACTTTAACAATGTCGGGTTGTGAATGTGGTCCCTATACATGTTTTTTGTTTATTGTTTGTATGACAATATGTAAGTTGTTTATTGTGTTTGTACTGTATTGTATTGTATAGGGTAGATAATAAATTAATTGATGTGCATCTAATCCTGACATGTTCACACTTGAAGTACACCATGAGGGTTACATTGTTGATAGTTTATCTATGAGAGGTATTGTACAATGGGTTGATTCGCAAGATGCAAAATGAGGTGTCAATGCTTGAGTTATTTGAAGGGAGTAAATACCTTGATTATTACGAACAGAGTATTTAATAGTATTAGAGCACCTCCAGCGCCGCCCAACTGCCATGGAAACAGGGCCCCCCCCCAGCAAGATTTAGACCTCCATGGCGCAAATGGCATCTTCCATCGAAGCCGAAGTGTCGTGAACAAACGTTCGAAGAGGTCAAAATCTTGGCAACGAGGTATAAAAAAAATTAATTAAAAAATTGCCGTTTTATTCAATTTAAAGTCATATATATATATATATATATATATTTCTTGCATTTCCAATATCATTTTCTTAATAGATTATTCAAGGGAAAACAAAAAAGAGGAAAACCATTACACATGGCTCCTCAAGTGAACAATGCCTGCAATCAGTTCTAGTTGTGCGTTCCATGTCGGAAATAATGGCACTATTACGTCCTCCAAAGGAAAATACTCTCTCACATCGTGATCCAGTGGAACCACATCTTCCAATGATTGAGTCATCCTTAGTGATGGATCCATGAATTTTTCGGGGAATGGGCAATTTTAAAAGGCTAAAAACAAATCCAATATCCTTCAAATTTAAACAATATTAATGTCATTAATAATTCTTGAAAAAAAATAACATTACAAAATGCATATTATTTTATTAATTAAATAATCAAATTGTAATTGATCATACCTCGAGCTGTGCACTACGCAACCTCTTCTTCTCTCTTGAGTTTGCTAATGATTATAAATACAGAGAAAGTCAAATCAGAAAAAAAAATTATATAAATGAAAAAAAAATATTATGAAAAAGAAAAAGAGAGGAAAAAAAAATAGAAGAGAACAACAACATAAGCAAAAGGATTGGGTCTGAATCTTATTGCCGCAAGAGAGACTTCAACAAACAAAGCTTAAAGTTTTGAATTCAATTGAATTGCACCTCTCCGCACTTTATTAATAGGGTTTATATATAATATGCTATACTGATTCCGTATTGGGTAAGGCCTTGTGCACATTTCTTTCTCTCTCTCTTTTTTTTTCCTTTTTTTTTGCCTAGTTCAAAACGACGTCGTTTTGGACCAAGACTTTAATTATAATAATAATAAAATAAAAAAAAGAGCACACAATGTGCGCGCAACACAGCAATCCAATAAAAACAAACACACAGTAGCTCATCAAATAGAAATGAGTTCCACTCAAGCAAAAACACAAACAATTGGTGGGCAAACCAGAGTGGCAAAGTGCGCCACCACCACAGTGTTTTCCGACGAAGGGAGGTGCAACTGCACCTCCTTGTGCCTCTGTGGGTCCGCCACTGGTCATCCTTGTACTCCATTATGTCAGACTATGAAGACTGGGACTATTTCAATTGTATGATGAGTGAGATATGAATTTTATAATAAATATGGACGCGTGGCAACCGAAAATCTTATCCGAAAATTTAATTTGAAAATTTTATCCAAAAATTTAATTTGAAAATTTTATCCGAAAATGTTATCTGAATGTTTAGGTGAGAATTTTATAATAAATATTGACACGTGACAACCGAAAATCTTATTCGAAAAGCCTATCAAAATTAATGGTTTAAGTATAAAAATAAAAAAATTAAAATAAAGTAAAGTGAATGGTGTTTGCCCTTGCCCTTGCCCTTGCCCTTTGGGGTAGAACTAAAAAAGGCAAGGCTGCCACTATTCACGTGAATAGTGTCAAACCTTGCATTGCCTTTGCCTTGCCCTTGCCTTTTGGAGTGGAGGTGCTCTTACAAGCACAAGACAATTGAATGGGTTGAAATTAAGCCAGTTAAGGATTATTTTGAAGCTGGTGAAGTTGTTGAAAGGGAGGTTCTACATAACTAAATTCCAGCACATGGGCGTACTCTTTCTTGAGAGGTTCAATGACAGGACCTGACCCAAATTCCACTTTGGAATCCGTGTCGAACCCTGTGCGTGCACAACACCTAACCAATGTCAAACACAAATGTGCAAAATACCCTTTTTAACCTAAATCCAAAGATTTCATCCAAAAAACAAACCTAAATCTAAAGACTCTTTTAGGGTTCGACAGCTATCAAAAAACTGACAATCTCCCCTGAAAAAGGCTCAAACCAATAATTTTTACCTGCAAACAGAGTCACAAAAAAAGATTTCTCCCAACGTTCAGCACGCACAACTTAAGTTCACACACAAAACAGTTAATTCGGTTGGCTTCAAGCCTTACAGGGTTTTAGGACTATATCATAGCATAACTAATTCAGTTAAGTTTACAACTAGAAACTTAATTACAACAGAGTAAGCACCTACACAAGAGAGAAGAAGGAAATGTAGTAGGTGGTGGAAGGCCCTCAAGAGGTTGTCCGGTACTTGTCTACTGCCTAAGGGGGCACAAAACAAAGAAAGTGTGAGTGGACAAAAAATAAATGTTAAACATTGTGAGAACATAATAACCCTACCCTTTAAAATTTTTAGCAAACTAGATTTAGTTCTATACTATGTTTATCCAAGGAAATAGTATTCGTACATAGGCATAATATATTAAACAAAGGACAAAACACTACTTTAAGATAAATAAAAGAATTTATCAACTGTAAAACTTTCCACCCAGATATATCCATGTTATCCTCGCAGAACTCAGGGGACATAAAGTCGACCTGAGAGGAAATCCTCGCAGCACAAGGTTCAAGTGCCCCCGGGACTCGTGGCACATGGTCATACGCGCGTAGACTTATCCAAAAATAACCAAATCGTCCGAAGACAAACCATTTCCTGAAGCAACTGAGATGTTCCAGAACATCAGAAAATCCGAAGGCAACCAAAGGATATCTAGGTTGTTTTGAAAACATTTCCAAAACATTTCTCAATTTCAGTTATCAATTCATTCTCAATTTTTCTGAACTAACTCACTTTTCAATAATATTAACAATGATAATAATAATAATCATGATAATGACAATAATAATAACTTTTTCTTAACCAAAACCAAATGTTCAGAAAGTGCACACTATAATTAATCTATTCATAAAGAAATTCATAAAATCATCATAGTATGAAAAATCATTATAAAGTAAATGTCCACTCATTGTGAGTCCAAGCTCGCTTGACCCTTCAAAGGTCCCTCCGATTGTGCACGTGAAGTCCGAGTGCCTAAGAAAGAATACAAATTTTAGTTATAAAAAGTTCCGAAAGTCCATACGGGTTCAACAAAGTATACTAACCACGTTTGCAAGTTTGGTACAAATCAAGTGGTCAAATCGCTCTCAATCGCACGATCGGACAGTCACCATTTTACGTAATCTCTGAATCATTGATTCGGAGTATCCGAGACTTTGATTCTCGATCCGTGAGTTCCTACACGATCCTAGAGGTACCTAGATCAACATACTTGGAAATGGAGTCGATCCAACGGTCCGAACGTATCAAACCCGGATATCGCCTAATATGCGTAAATTCGTTCGATCATCAAAGGATAACCAAATTCGAATCCGAGCATACTGTCATGCTCGGGACGACATGGGAAATATTTTAGAACCAAATGGACCACCCAGCAGCGTGTGGGTGTCTTGACAAAATTTCGGCGACCGGAAAATTCTCAAAACACCTAGCAATACCTATACCTACTTGATCAGGACAACTAGAGGAGCAAATTTTGTTCTAAGCCCACAGCCCAAAAGTGGCCGGAGCTTGCCGGAAAATCAAACCAAAAAGGGGTCAAAACTTAGATCCTAAATCAAGCTTCAAAATCGATCCCAACCAACCCAACCATTAGGTAGATCACGTTGAATAGATGAAAAAATATACATGGATTGACAAAATTGGTGGCCAGAATCTTCGAAAATTACGACAAAAAATACGAGAGAAAATAGAGCTACCGCCATTGCCAGAGCTGTTATTTTCACCGGAGAAGGGGTGGGATGCGAAGAGGGAGTTAGGCAGGTTCTTTTAGGACCAGTCTCGTGGCTGAAGGTGGCGTGACAAATAAGTTGCCAACCAAAAAACGGCTGGCTGTGCCGTTTTGCGAGAGAGAGAGAGAGAAAAGCTGATTGCTTATTTAAAATATGACTTTGAAATATTTACGGTTGTGCCACTGCATTTCCGTTGATCGTAACATCTTCGTTAAAACTCCAATTTGAGCTCACTACATGTCTACAAACTCGTATCGACACTCGATATGCAACGATGCTACTAAAATCCCTAAAATCCCCACGAATTGAAAAATGACTATCGTGAACTTACCCGAGGGAAAAATTCTAACTTCTCAATTTAATAAATTAAATAAATGGTGAAATTGGGTTGGGGTGTCACATTCAGTCCCACTATGCTTTGTAAATGTTCAAAATGCTGAAGATTATGAAGATACTACTCATGGATATGATGGTAATGAAGAAACTGCTCATATTGACTTCATGGATGTTGAGATAGAGGAAGAATTTGGTGAAGTTGAGGGAAGCTTCTGTAGGATAGCAAGATCGAGAGGATGAGCAAGACGGGGAGGATGAGGAGGAAGATGGTGATTTCATAGATAGTGAGTGTGAGCAAAGTGATGAAGAGAACAACATGAATTTTCATAGGTATGTTGTAACTGAAGAGCAAGATTATGAGTATAAAGAACCAAGTGAGGTTGAGACTGATGATTATAATACATCAGACTTAGATAGTTTGCATAAAGACAAGGAAGATGAAGATGGCAAGAAGAGAGGTCTTAGGCAACCAAAATTCAAGCAATACAATAAACAACATGACTTGTTAGATCCAAAATTCCACTTGGGGATGGAGTTTCCTAATATGCAGGAATGTATAGATGTCATTAAGTACTATGTATACAATCTTCTCCTCTCTAGCTCTTTCTCTTCCAATGAATTGATTCACCTCTTCAACCGACGTATGACATGTATAGCACGCTCAGACATTTTGGGGTCCTTCTAATCCTTCCAACCACAACCACTGCCATACTTCTCTCTACAACACACATATAACCTCATCCCTAGACTATCATTAGACCAGCAAACAATCGTTTCAACCTCAATTCCACATTGATAGATACGCACCATATCATCCTCTATAATAAAAGTGCTCAAACTCGATTCGGTTGAAGTTGCAAGTATGTTCCTATTTATCCTCTCTTCAAGTGCAGTTTCTTGTCTTGTTCATGAAATTGATGAACATAAGCAGAATGAAAAGGTTAGAATGCCTACAAATAAGGTTGGGTTCTGTCATAAAGAGGTGGGTTTTGGTGCGAATTGAAAGAGGAAAATTAAGAAACATGAGGGAAAAGGTTTTGAGGATTAGAAGGACAAGATTACCCTCAAAGTGGATGCACATTCCATTCACGAGATGTTTTTTATGGACATTTGGATGAAATTGTGTAAAAGCTAACGACAGGGGAAAAATTAGTGAGTAAACTTAATATTAAGGCCAAATTGGCTAAAAAAATAATTCAGGGTGCTAAGTTTGAGAGTTGAAATAGCTCAGGGGGTATTCGGTAATTTACCCTATTAAGCTTTGATTGCTAATTTAGTCATTCTTGTCAAACAAGCCCTAGGTCGTCCAGTTTAAGTCAAAATAAAATTTTTCCTACTCTAACTAGGAGTTTGTCACATGCAAGAAAGGTTAACATATCAAATTTTGGAAAAATCTTAAGTGGAAAAGCCAAAGTCAACTAAAAAAAGTCAAAGCAACACATCATCATATGATGTCATCATCTGTCATTTAACCATGCGTAGTTATCAAGCAAGTCCATGTAAGCTTCCTAAGAATCCTTGAAAAGTCAACCTAATCATAGAAGGATAAGGAAAAGAAAAGAAAATTAGTCGTCCTTGAGGAAAAGGACTATGTCTAGGTAAACTTTTTAGTTCTTATGTATTAAGTTTAATTATGTTGTTTTCTTTGAGTATGTCTAGCTAAACTTCTTAGTTAAGGCTAGGAGCATGCCCAAATTGTATTATTTGTGGGTTTTAGATACTAAGTTATTAAATTCCAAGTTAGATTGATGAATTCTTAATTTTTGCTTTAGTTAGTACTAGTTGTTGAATTCTTTTGATTGGCCACCATTAGTGTATTCGATGTGTTGTGTGCAATGGTACCAATAAGTTGCATGCTTCAATTAGCTTTTTGAGATTGAGGATTGTAAATGCATACAAGTCTAGACCGAGATATTGACGTTTGCATGAATTCTTCGTTTTCATTTATTTTAATGAGTTTCGAGTGTTTAATTTATGCTTCACCATAAGTAAATTGCATCTATAAATATTTGATTTTATGCTAGTCCAAGGATAGAAATCATACTCTAGGAAAACTTGGCAAAAGTGTTGGACCAAAGGCTTAAGGAATCTTCATCAATTAACTTGTGAATTTGTTAGCTTGCATCTAAGAACTTGGATAAGAGAATTAGTGGTTGATTATGATGCCTTCATAATCAATTTAAAATCCTGGCGTTTTTAATGGTTTGTTTTGTTTCAGTCGAATTAAATTAGGTTGCACCCTCCATATTTACTTGCTTAATTGTCAAATGTTTGCTTTCTTGTTTATTAGAGTCTCAATTGAAAATCCATAAAAGAATCTTAAGTTGAACCAGGTTAAAGAAACTAAAATCCATAGCTAATTTCCACAAGAACAATACTCGTATTTGCATAACATTATACTATAAACGGATTCATGCACTTCCGAGTTTGAATTCGAATTAAATTAATCTATTATCCCGAGTAGTTTAAACACATATGAGTAGTTATTGTAATAAGTTGTATAATGTTTGCTACCTCACTATTTTAACTAAGTTTGTTCCATTGTCCACAGAAATACTTCAATATCGGGAGTGTTTAGGCCCTTATTCCTATAGCACACATCACACTGCACAAATGCATGTCATGTGTGCTAAGGACAAGGGTAACCAGCCAGAGATGGGCAAGTCCCTCTCCATTTGCTGACATCGGTTATAGTTTAAGGAGCTGCTTAGCTTGTTTTCCCTTCTTTTTTTCCATTTTTATATAAAAATTATGATGTGTTTTGTTCATTGCGAGAAGTTTCCAATAAAGGTGTCTTAATTTTCTTTCGGGGATATCACGAATAGTAACTTTCAAACTTTCAAATTATTCAATGTAATCCTTAATCTTTTGGTCTCTCACATCAGTTTGATCCTTAATCTATGGCACACGCACCAGATCAAACCACCAATACTGAACTTCTTCAAATTATACCAATTCTCAGTTTTTCTTTCTTTCCAAGACAAGAAAAATTCAACACAAGCGATAAAACGACCAAACTGAGCAATGAACAAGTCAAAGTCGAGGAGGCAAATCCTTGCACTTGTAATTAGAAGCTAAGCCGACTCGACTGATTTAAGGATCCAAATATAATCAATGAATGAAATTTATCCAGGAAACTATGATCCAACATTAAATAGTGCACATAAACAGTGAATGCAACATGTGGGAGCCAGATAAAAAATACGCAAAACTTTCTCAACTGTAGTAATATATTTAATTTGACAAGCCAATGAGTGCAGAGCAAGCATCCGTGACTAACAAAATTGACCATCATATAAGAAAAGGCAATCTGACTCTTATTCGATCAAAATACATAACACTCATATCAATCAATCTCCTCCGAGGGGGCGCCGGATGAATCTTACTCCCTACTTCAATGTAGAAAATACAGGTTCCTGTACTGCCTTTTTGATAAAACTTGCTACATCAAAACACTCACATAAAATCATAGTCATCGAGCGGATCATAGCCATCAACCGCTATATCATCATCCGGCTTATCAACATGTAGCTGCTTTTTCTTGGCACCTGCAAACAAGAAAATCAAGTAACAAACACCAGTGAGAAGTTATATAAATCTGTAGTCTGGCACTGTCATAATCGGTAGATCTACATAACTATAGAAAATAACACTTGAAATCAGACGCATTCAACACTGATTACTCAAATCTTTAGCTGTTTTCATTCTTGGGTGACACCTACACCCAAAAGCCCAAATTCAACCTGCAAAGCCTGACAGCTGCTTTGACCAATACCCTTCACATAAGTTTATGCACTCTACACAATTAGGCATTTTCCAACTCGTTACTTTCTGAGTTCCACAATACTAAGAGGCTCTGGCTGATGCTTCTCAAAACAAAACCCATTAGTGTATTTCAGTTTTCTCTTCTTCTTTTTTTTCTCAACATGCAGGACATTCTTCAAAATTATTTTAAAACGTTCAAACATCAACACTTGATTTTCCTTTAAGTTCCAATATACTCGTATTCTTTTTCCTTTATAGAATCAAATATCATAAATAAAACTGAAATGAAGCATGACAAATTCTGTTCTTAAAAAAGAATGAAGTAGGCTAAAGATGTGCACCTGTCTTCTTTTTACCAGCATTTGCTTCCTTCTCTGCTTTTATCTTCTCATTTGCAATTGCCGTAATAGAAGATGCAACATCTTTTGCATCTGCTCCTTTTAAAGAAGTCATTGACAGTCTCATTACTGCCTTCAGAAGACCAATATAATGGAAACTTTTCTGTAATGAAATTAAAAAGGAAAAAGCATAAAATCTCCATAAACAAGTTCGAGAATTATTCAACCTTTATTCAAAAGGGAAGCACAAATAACACACCTCAAATGGACGAAGTTTATGCGAAATAAGTTCTGCATATTCCAGGAAGTCACTTTCAGATTTGGGAATGAAATTATCAATGGTTTTGTCATCACCTCTACTAGAAAACAGTTCCTTGGTGGACTTGTAGTCTGCTTCTTCCACCAGCCTGTGACAGAGAAAAGCTTCAGTCAGAACCGACAGAGACCAAATCTAACCAAGTATTTAACATTATAAAGCTTTTGTGTACTAGGTTTAGGCTTTTGGTGTATTCAACATGTAATTGTTCGTTCGCTGGTAACAAATAATGTTTTCACTGATAAATTATTGACAAATTTTGACCCACCTGGTTCCACATCCAACACACATACAGTACAAATGAAAATTCAGGAAAAAGAAAATCCAATAGAGGCCAGATCACAGAACACAGCCTATGGTGGACAGATGAATGAACCTTTTAAAGACAACATAGGCACTATACAGAAAGGGTGCCCAAACTAATGATTCTATCACATAGGCACTATTACTATCAACATATCAAAACAAACAATTAGAAAAAAGGAAGAAACAAATTTGCATAACTTTTTAAACAAAATTTGGCCTAGTCAATAAATGGGCCTCACCATCATTTAGTAAGGCTTAATGACGAGTCCAGATCCTATGTTCCTAAAATCTCTGTACCTCTCTCTGTCCCTTGCCTAATATTTCGATGCCTGTCCGCTAACTTATCTGCCCTCTAACTCTCTGTCATTGGACTTCTTAATAACATACTTCATGTTGGCTGGGCTACCAAGCATCCTTCTGAATATGGTTACAGAAGAACACTTTCTCACCATTATAAGCCAATAGTTGAACCAAGTATCTATTTAAATTAAGTTCCAACATTCAGTTTGAACAAATCAAAGTTCTGAAGTGATTACATAACATAGCCTGTACTTCCACTCGAGATTCCTAATAAGTACCAATCTGGGAATAATAGTATCAAACACAAGTGCTTCAGGCGTGCAGGCATTCCTCTAAAAGGAAAAACCTCCCAAAAGCATAAGCCTTTTTCATTAAGCGATTACATTGTCTCTTCAAGGCATAAATTTTGAGCTAATTCCTCAGAGACCTACGGCTTTAGGAGTTTATTTTATTTTATTTTTAAATTTCCCCATAACAAACAATGTGGTTTGTGTGGGACTTTAAACAGATTAAAAAATAAAAGTTAAAAGAACCAGTATATCCCTCTCTTCCTCCTAAGCGTAGCTACAGACTGGGCTAGCCACACCTCAGAGGATTGCTGGTCTTAAAGCAAGCATTTCCCAATTCCATAGAGCATCAACCTAAATTATAGGTCAGCTCAAATGAACTGAACTTAAGCATGAGCCAGGGGAGATCTGAATATGACTTGTCAGTTTATATGACCAGCGATCCTCTGAGATGATTTAGGTATGCATTGCATGCTACTCTGTGTAAAACAGAAACTTCCATTTCTAGAACACATATTACCTCGACATTTAAAAATATGTAATAACAGAGAGAATAACAGAGGTTAACTGTTCACTCTCACCTTTGTTGGCGAAGTTTCTCAGCAAAGGGATCTAGTGGCTCTTGTTCTACTTCAACAGTTTTTCCTTTCTTTTCAGTAGCTTTTGTTGCAGGTTTCTTGGGAGCCTTTTCAGCAGGTGGCTTTGTTGCAGGTTCCTGGCCACCATCAAAATAACAAATTATTAAGGATAATCATTATTATAAAGGACAAACAGATTTTTCATTAACATAAAAGATGAAAACAAAATGCAATCAATATGATGATGCATGCTGACCATTACTCCAACCTGATTGGTCAAATCCCTCCAACTTAATGACTGCACATCAGCCTCGCTATAGTTTGTGGACAGATTCATAATATGCTCACAACAATGTGCATACCAAGTAAGTATTTCAAAATTTGTTTTATAAAGACAAATATCGAAAAGCAATTCTTTTATATCATTTTAATTTTGCACCAACTAAAAAAAGGTTATCGAATAATTCCAATTCTTCTGTGATGGGAGATACAATGCGATACACTTCCACAAGTGATTTCTAGCTTTGTTTGCATCCACGGTATTGCACCTACTACTTTGTTCGATGGAAACTCTATTTAAATCAGAAAAACAACAGATAGACTTGGCATTACCAATTTGAGAAATGGAATCACTGATCAGTGCTCAGTGCTCAAAGTCACTAGTTCCATTCCAGTCAACACACGGAAAACAAAAATGCTTCGTATCATCTTGACCAGTTACAAGTTTCATTTACTCTTCTAGTATTTCTGCCCCTCTCTAAGTAAAGGTAAAGTCTCTCCTTCAGCTAGAACGTACATTTAACTAACTGGAGTACCAAGCAAAGCTGTTCTCCTGACCATATAACATGATGATCCAAATCTTATTCATCTAATAGACTAACACCTGCATTATTTAAATCGTGGAATCTTGTCATACCAAACCACTAGATATGACCTAAATTAGTCAATCTCACTTTCATTAGTAAAGGGGAAATAAATCCAAATGTTGAAATGTATGAAATCATTTCATAAAGGAGGTCGATCTCTTTCTGTAGGACAATAGCGTTAAACCCTTTGCTTAAATCTAGTTATCTCTATTTTAAATTGAGGGCAAGGAAGAGAAATAACGAGCAATGACTATACAACATAGACAAACACAATACAAAGTGACATTATATGGTTTGCGACCAGTCAAGGGCATCCAGCAGAAATCACGTTCTTGATATTGTTCTTTTTCTTTGTTAATTCTTTCTTAACCAACACTCTTTAATATTCAAAAATACAGGACCCATATAATCTCAAATTTCAATCTGATGTCTTTCCATAAATCACCACTTATATACATTTATATTGATGCAATATCCATATTGAAGGTCTCACATCAAAAGACAAACAATCATGCTGCCTATTTTCCCCAGCAGATTAGCTAGTTTCCTCAACCAAGAAATATTAACCATCAGTCAATGATTGGGCTTTTGAATGATAAACAGGAAAAATAAAACCATTTCAGAAACTCAACAAAATAATAAGATCTTAACGATGCTATCAAATATACCAGAGGAGCAGGTTCATCAAAATCCTCCCATGAGTCCTTAATATCATTTTCATCCACATCTTCGTCGTCCCATTTACGTATCGGTTGGTCATTAGAAAGAAGAGCTGGAATTTTCTCATCCTCTGAAGCAGGAAAAAAAGAAGGCCAGCTTTATAAACAAAATAACACTCCAGTTGAATAAATAGTAAATGGATTTTTGCTTCAAAGTTTAAGAAAAATAACAACTCTGTACAAAAGTTCACCAGGAAAACTTACTGTAAATACCAAACTTAATAATTAAATAACAAAAAAACTTACCACAATTATAATATTATAAAATAAAAACAAAAACAAAAATATAGAAAAATTAAAGGAAAAAAAAACCCACATGCACATGGTAAATTTAAACAGAGCAAGCAGTATTACATAGAATTTGGCACACACAAATAAGATACATATAGAGCAAGCAGTATTACCCCAGTCCTCCATCTAATTTTGCAATTCTTATATCAATTTACGGATTTTCTGACGAAACAAAGAATTATCCTGCACATCAAGACATGTCAACATCCATCATCAGACATCAGAAACAATTGATAAATTAAAAACAGTTGAATAAAAACCCCAAACGGATTTTAGGGGTTTTGCTGAAACCGTCAATGATTTTAGGGTTTAGCAGGGCAAATCCAGAAACAAAATTGAAAATTTCTGAGCAAAATTTAATTAAAAGGAAAAAACTATGAGCAAAGCCAGAGGGGATTGATTAAGCTTACAGAGTGAAGATCATAACTACTCAAAACTGATGAGAAAGGCGAAGTAAAAGTAGGAGAATACTCGATCTGGATGAAAGGGAATTTTACCTCAAATACGCAATTGATCGGAGCTGAAGAGACCCCTCTACGGCTCTTTCTCTGAAAACCCTAACTCTCTCTATCTCTCTCTCTCTCTCCAGTAATCTTCGTCTGCTGACAGTGTGCCCGAATCACTCAACGACAACTAAACAAAGGCCCAGGAGCGTTTCCTTATACCCTTATCTTTAATCGTTGTCGATGGGTCGTTCGTTTGGGTTTCTGGTCAAAATTGGCTCTTTTCGGTTCGGGTTGAGAGATTGGGCTCTAAATGCACGAGGAGTTACTTGCATTAAGGCGCTCGATTTATGTGAGAACAGCTATATAAGAACCTTATATGAGAATTTGTTGTAAAAGTCAATTATTCACAATTTAAAATATTTCTTCATAATACACTAGTCTCTCCACAGGTGCTTCAACACCTGTGAGAGGCTCTTTTTCAAAAAAGTTTTAAATTTATTTTAGAATTAAAAAAGATAATGAGTAGTTGTGTTTCATAAAATATGATTTATTATTTGATTTTTCTTCTAATTTTAATTTTTTTAATATGAAAAAGTGTGAATTTACTATATTATCCTCATTTAATTAATAATTTCAATTCTTAATGTTTGCATAAACCAATGGCATTTTTTGGTATTTTGAATGTTTCACCATTCTCTGCCTTTTGCTTTATATATATATATATATATATATATAATTTCCCTGATCACAGCTAGATCTGCATCCAATAATTTTGGGATTTGATTCCCTTGTAATTGTTGATTGTAACTCTATATATTGAGGGGCTCAAATATGAGTAGCCTATGAATAATGCATCTCGCTCTCTTCCTCCCGTGGATGTAGGTTTCGTGTCGAACCATGTTAAACTCATTGTGTGAGTGATGCTTATGATTTCTACTTCTTTCTACATGGCATCAAAGCAGGTTTCTTGATATGTTCACTTCATTGGTGTTTCATTCTCTGTTTTCATATTGATTCACTTGTGCAACTGCTTCAATAGAAAGACCGTCACAGTTTCTGATTTGTTCTCTAAATTTTGAATCCATTTTGTGGAGTTAGTTTGGGTTTTTACTTTTTTGGCGACGTCGACATATCACCAACTTGGCACTTCTAGTGTCTCTTTAACCATATCAAATTTTCGGTGAGATATATATATATATTTTTAAATATTTCTCATGGATGCAACAGACTCTAATCGCACTATGAAACTATCTTCAATTCTCTTGAATGGATTGAACTATGTTGCTTGGTCAAGGGCTGTTACATTATCTCTTGGTGGCAAAGCTAAACTTGGTCATATTAATGGGAAAGCGAAACAACCTAAATCTAATGATCCCAAATTTGATGATTGGGAAGCCACTAATCGAATGGTTATTTCATGGCTTATAAACTCTATGGAGCCTGAAATTGCATAGATATTTACTTTCTCTGAGTCAGCTAAGGAGCTATGGGATTCTGTAAAACTATTATATGGTCACCAAAATAATCCTACTCAAGTATATGAATTGCAGAGAGCTATTGCAGATGAAAAGCAAAAGGAAACTTCTTTTGCAGTTCATCTTGGAAATCTGAAGCGAATGTGGAATGAATTAGCGATTTATCGCCCACCAACTATTGACCTTAAAATCCTACAACAGTGGGCTGAAGAGGATAAATTGTTCAAATTACTTGCCTACTTGAAACCTGAATATGAGCAACTAAGGAGTCAGATCTTGATGTGTCCTACTATACCTTCTTTAAACAGTGTTGGCATTACAATCCAACGAGAAGAGACTCGAAAAAAGGTTATGAATTCTAAAGTTGTTCCCCAGGAATCAAGTGCCTTAGTTGCTGATAAAAAATATAAAAAACAGTCGATCATCTAATCACAATAAAGAGCCTGTGTATGAAAGGAAAAGTAAGGGCCGAAAGTGTGACCACTGTGGTGACAAAGGTCATAAGACTATTGTTGGATTCTACATCCACATTTGAAACCCAAGAGAGATTGAAGAGCACTTGTTATAAATTCCAACAATGAAACTTCCAAATTGGTTGGGTTGTTAACACAGATCCTTCAAAAATATACTAAGGTACCTTCCATCTTATATGATCCCTCCACGTCTTTAGCTCATCATACCACATGTAACCTTACTACTCCTCATTCTTCAATGTCTAATGATTGCTTGGATTATGGACTCTGGAGCAACTGACAACATGACCAATAATCCAAATTGTTTGATAAATCTCAATTCCAATGACAAAAAACAGTTTGTGTCCATGGCTAATGGAGCATCAGTCCCTATTCGAGGCTATGGAGAAATAAAATTTATGCTTGATAGACAAGAATCCAAAGCCCTTTATATTCCTGAATTTCCATCTAATTTATTATCTGTTGGAAAGCTCACTAATGCCCTTAATATGTTATTTTTTCTCCTAACTCTGGGTCGATTCAGGACCGAGCCATGGGGAGGACGATTGGTGTGGGCAATTTTTCTCATGGTCTTTATTTTTTCCATCCATCTCACACTACTACAAAAATCGAAATAAACGACGGGAATCCACCGTCGTTTAGAAGGTTTTGAAATCGTCGTAAAATCTACCGCCATCTTTTGATACATAAAACAACAAGCGCAAATAACCGACGTTGATAAGACATACAACGTCATATCAAAAGACAAACCGACGTCTAATTACTATAAAAACAGCAAAAAAGGAAAACTTCGACAACCTTAGACGACGCTTTTAGGAAAATATAGACGTCTAAAGAGGATTACATGTCAAGAATCCCATAAGTACCGCCGTAAAAAATGTTAACCACGACTCCATTTGAAAACATACTGTAGTTTATAGTGTCGACATTGACGTTGTTAAGATATACCATGTCAACTAAAAGAAAAAATAGACGTCTAATATCTAAAAAAATGAAACTTCAACAACCTTAGACGTCGTAACATACACAGTCGTAACGTTCTATAACCACGACCCTAATATTACGACACGATCATTCAAAAATCTTTTCACGGCGTGGAGAGGATGAAAACGGTCGTGGATACAAGTTTGAATGCCTGCTATGTTAGAAATATGCCCTTAAAAGCAACTAATTATGTAATAGTTAGAGTTAATGACATCTTTGATAAAAGACATATTATGTTATCAATGGGCAAGAAATGTTGTTTTATACATTAAATCATCTTATATTATCTTTCAATATGTAGAACAACTATAGTCCAAGGAATACACAAGTGGATATGAGAGCTATGTAATGAGATTGCATACATAGAGACTTCTCATCATCCCTAAATCCTGAATATGTTCTTGGTCATAGGAATATTGATTGGGCGTCAACATTCCGCAAAGACCAGTACACAGTATCGTCTCTATATGTTGGGAATGGCAAGGTCTCAAGTCATTAAGTTTAGAGACACATCGATATGTGTATAGGTGCTTGTAGAAGAACAAGTACACTGAACGCAATCCAACACATGAGTTACAACATGGAAGTCTTTACGCACATGTCAAGCTGGAACTCATAAATTGCAATGGTGCAAACTAATCCTTAGATCTGAGGCATCATAGATGTTTTGTGGCTATGTTGTTAATCTTTGAGATCAATAAACGGTCATGCTGAATTAGGCATAGCTTAAAGGTGCTCATCAGGATTCTCAATAGAGTCATGGAAGCAAATGAATGTACAACAAGAAATCTCTACTCTCAGTAAATGAGAGAGAATACTCCAAGATATGATTGGTCAAATCTCTGTACAGAGTAGTGGATAAGACTTGAAAGAAGAAGTCTTCAAATCTTACCAGGATAATCATATAAAAGGAATGATTCACATTAGGATATTGACAATTGGATTCCATGATCTAATAATGTGAATAAGGAGTATTGACATAAGAGAAGGATTTAATTGCACAGTCATTCCAATTTGAATAGGTTCTTTCACAACGTCTCATTTAGCTCGGATAACCATGACTTACTGCTAGGCGACAACCATGGTTTGTGAATGTCCTAAACGGTTTCAATTAACCTTTATTAATAGGAAGAATTAAATTGTGGAATTTATTTCGTATATCATCTCTGAGGAGATGAGTCAACCCACTACCTTACTAAAGGGAACCTATAGATCTGCAGACCCAAAGAATGTGATTAGAGGTACAAATAAGGAGACACAAGTCAATGGTTGATAATCAAATGTCAAAGTCAACGGTCAAAAGACAACATGTTGACTGGAGCAATGACCAAAGTCAAATAGTTCGACTGGTTCAATTAAGTAAGACTATAATTATAATTTAATAGTTAAATTATAATTAAAAGATTAATTATGGAATTAATATTGACATATAGAAATATTGGATTGGGCTTTGAAATATGATTTAAAATGACCATGACAAAATAGCCCTATTGGGCCCAAGGGATAAGTGGCATAAGATGACATGACCCATGGACCAAATGGAGCCCCAAATACCCACCCAATTGCCTTTTATGTTGTCCTATATAAGCTAAATGTTGGAGAAAACCTAACTAAGGTTTTTGGTTTCCTACTTTGGTTGATGAGTGATCATTTTTGTACCTCATCTCCCATAAACCAAAAATTAGTCCAATCAAGAAGTATACTAACATCAATGCTTGTTGATTGCCTTCTCTGCATCTCTAGGAGCATTTGGTGTAGTGAGGTGGAGGACTCCAATCTTGGAGCCTTAAGGTGAAGGAGTGAAAATCAAGAGAAACAAAAGGCCTTTCCAATAAAGGTGTTCATTCTTGAGAAATCAAGAAAATGTCATCAAGGGTAAAGATCTATTCCCTGTTTCCTTTTTTCTATTTGTGTTCAAAGAGAATAAGCTAAGATACTTGGTGTAAAATGAAAAAAGTTTTGCTTAACTAGTATAAACAAAATGAATCCGCCATTTAGAATGTTTTTGTTGTATGGGTTGTGGCTAAAGTTCATTTTCTAAGCATTAAATGCATGTTTCCTTCAGGTGGTATGGTCTAGTCTCTTTGAGCCTTTTATTTTGGTTATTGGTTTTAATATGGGCTTGTTTTCAAACTTATGTAATATATGTGTTAGATTTTCTTTTCCATTTAACTTATTCATAGGATATGGGATATAGGATGAATGAGTAAGAGTATGAAAAGAAAAATAAAAGATGACACCAATGGGGTGGCGGCAAGGAGGGGCTTTTTGGGTCTTGTGTGTGTCCATGTGTGAAATGTTTACATGGTTGTGTTAGTCTTGAAATTCTAAGTATGGATATGATTTTTGCATGAATTTAGGATTTTTGTGTGATTTATGAAGATCATAAAGATTTGAAAAAGGTTCTTGAAATGTTCTTGGTGTTCATGATATGTTCATAGGAGTTCTTGTCAAGCATGCTTTTTTATCTTATTTGATATTTGACATTTGTACGTTGAATGTTAGTCAAACATATTTTATGACATCCTATAACATTTTCATATAGTATATAGTTTTTGTCACCTAAAGTTTTAAAAAGAAACCAATGAAAATGAAGATGCTTTTTGGGTATGAAAAATGGTACTACCTTGTGGTCCCAAAATCACACCATCTTTTATAAAATATCAACACACACACACACACTCTCTCTCCTACTTGGCCGGCCCCACCCTAGGATCCCTTTTGGGGTCTTCATGCAATTTTTGTAAATTAGGGGTTGTTTATGCAATTGCTGAAAAATTACAGTTTTGCCCAAAACTTTAATTAATTATGGTTTTGCCCCATTTTACTAAATGACAAAGTGTTTTTCTTCCTTTTATGAAATTTTTTTATTTGTTTCAAATAAATGTTTCATTGAAATTAAGCCCATATTATTTAATAACAAATTTTAGAATTATATTCTAAGTTAATTATCTAATGAGATTAAATAATCAAAGAGATGATTATGGACTTATGAACACAAATACATGACACAATGTGATTGCCCAATTATTCATTAGATGAATGAAATAGGTTTGATTTATTGGTTTGTAAATTAAATAGGGGCTTGCATGCCCCTCCTCTCTCTTAATCTCAAATGTAATTCCCTTAAAGTCCATTGGGCTTTAAGTTCTCTATCTCAAGTTCTCTATTCTCAAATAGTTATAGGGAAGAAGGAATAATCAAGTCAAGGTTACTTGTATTATTCATGGGTCCAACGCCCAATAACAACCATGAATGTTTTAAGTAGTTAAGACACGTAATAAAATCAACCTCCTTCTAAAGGCCTTAGATCTGACATCTTGACTAGATGTTAGATCGAAATCAAATCCATAATCATCCATAAGCCTATAGATGACTATTTATCTAAACTTAAGGAAATGCAAAGGCTTTCCATTAGTAGTAGTGCATATTCCCAAATCTCAAATAAAAGAGTTTTATGAAATTGATTTGATTTGCAAAACAAATAGTGGGAGTATCGTACAACTACTAATATGATTTAGAATAATAGTTGTCATAGGCCAAGTAGTTTAATTGGATTAAACAAGTTTATGATGAGATCTTAAAACCCTCAATTAACTACATTAAGTAGAAAAACGATAGACTTTTTGAAAGCCTAGTCGTGGCCTTCCACTATGGTGAATTCCGAATAGACTTGACCCTTGTGAAGGCTTTGCCTCAGATATAGGGGGCTGACAACAAGATGTTCTTACGTAAGAAGAATTCATTTATACATTGGATGTTGCAAGGATAGGCTCGAACATGGACTAACATTCTATTATGATGAGGTTCACGATTGTATCACTACACTTTGCAAGAATGTTGGGCTAATACTTGTAGGGGGTTTTTTCTTCTAGCAGCTACAAATGAGTTGGGCTGCCGTAAGGAGCAAACTAATGAAGTTATCCTCTATGCTTGAGTTCAAAGATCAAGCCCCAAGAATGCTTCGAAATGATAGTGAAGCCTTAGGAAACACCTTGGTTACCTTCACCAACAAAAATAACAATAGCTTACAGATAAATTCTTAGCTTGGCATGAGAAGCTTGTGGCATGGGAGCTGAGCATTCATGAGTTTACCATGAGAGAGAGAAATGACTATGATTTCCTATGAGAAACATAGTTTTTAAGGCATGGGGGAGGGGATTCTAAGAGGATTCGTTGAGGAGAGAGATGAGGGCAATGGGTGGCTTAAGTGATTTTCCGGCAGCTCGACAAAGTGTGTGTGTCAAGTGCTGGAACAATCTGAGAAAAAAAAAAGAAAAGAATGGGGGGGGGGGGGGGGGGGGGGGGGGGGGAGGAACAGAGCATGCATTTGCTAAGTTTTAAAGATGAGAAGGGAAACTTGCTCTCTGGATGTGGTTGTGTTTAGTGGTGAAATATTGGGTGTTTTGGGTAATTTTCTAACAGCCTGACATAAGGTATGTCAGACTCTGGAATGGCTTGTTAGAAGAGAAAATGGGAGGAGATGGAGAAATAGGGCACGAAATTGCAGAGTTTCAGAGATGAGAGATGAAGTTTACTCTCTAGATGTGGGTTGAGATGATGGGTAGGAAATGCCTCTTTTTATAGGCCCTGGAAGATACTCTTTTCCAAGAAACCCTAATGGTTTCTATCCAATTTGGTCAAACTTCTTCCTTCATTTCTCCTCCATTCCTTTGACTTATCCTATTTAGTGAAATTTTCTCTGCCCATTTGCACAAAATCAGGGATTTTTTGGGAGCTCAATGCTCTTCCCGCAGCTGCCTCAGTGGAGAACTCCCATTTTCAGCCATCTTTCTTCCATCTTTTCTCTCCTCTTCTATGGCTATATCTGATGGGGGAAAAGCAATGGGTATGTACACTAGTTTGAAGGGTATTTTGCTCAAGTATCCCTTGATTTTTTGATGCCTTGTGTTGGGATTTGTCTTTGGCCATGTGCTGGAGATTTCCAGCAGCCTGAAAATGTGAGTGACTTTTGGTTTTTGTCATGGTTTTGTCTTCAGCCATGTACTAGAGACTTTCAGATATTTTATTGGTCACTTAGGCCATTTTTTAAGGTATTGGGCTAGTTCACTAAATGGGATGGGCCAACTTCCCAAAGTGATGGGTTATCTTTTCTGAGGTAATGGGTTATCTTCTCTCCTTTATGTTTACCCACATATTTGGGCTCAAGAAATAGGCTTGAGTTTTGGGGCTCCCAAACAGCTCAAAACTTCCATTTCTCGACTCATCAATGGGCCTCATGAAAACTCGTAACCATTCATACCACAACCCGCTCAGCAAGCCCCATGCATTTGCTTGGCTTGTAGAGTGGCGTGTTGCTTATTTGCTTGGCGTGACACGTGTGCAAGCGCATATGACGAACTCTTGCGTACCCAAGTTGGGTTTCTTCCCAAGTTAGGTGTTGTACTAGACTAGAAATATATTTGGGCCAAGCCTTGGATTTTTTTGGGCCTCAACAATACTTAACTAGTACAATGATGCCTCATGATAATATTCATGGGTATACATTTGCTAGAGGCCAAATTATATGGGAACTCACATCATGATGTGAATGAGTAGAAGGACTCTCTCTTTATTATTTGTGTTATCCCTAGATCCTATTATGGTGCAGTGATCGAAATAATAGGGAGCCTCCCATCCTGCTAGGAGACATCTTACAGAAGCCTCTCGTATTCCATTTTTGAGGGATTATAGAATCGTTTAAAATAGCAGGAGGAGCCATAGAATTTAAAGACTCTAAATCTATGGCCTTAACCAAAACAATCTAATTTTATTTCTGCTATGCTTGTGGATACTTTTGTAAAACCTCATTCATAACACATTACACAAAGCAACCCTCAAATGAACCATATAATGTCAAAAGGGATTAGCTTCCATAAAGATGCTAAAAGGAAGAAGAGATGTAATGTACATCTTTCATGCACAAGAAACAAAACTTATTAAGAGAGCAATTTTGTCCTTGAGTCAGTAATGACAGTTGAAACTTCCACTTGGATAATGGATTCAGGAGCTAGCAGACACATTTGCAATAAATTGCAAGGTCTAACAGATCATAGGAAGTTGTCAAAAAGGGAAATAATGATACGGGTCAGTAATGGTACCCAAATATCTGCAAAAGCAGTAGGCACTTTCCACGTTAAGCTGCCACATGAGGAGACACTTGAACTTAAAGAATGTCTTTATCTTCCAAGTTGCGTAAATAACCTAGTACCTATTTAGTATTGCTGAATAAAGATTACACTATCACATTTAATAGAATGGGATGCTCTTTACAACAAGGCAATTGAATCATATGTAAATGTACTATGATTAAAGGTCTTTACCAAATTCAAATTGTGAAAAATAACAACTACTTGATTAAGATGTCAGGACCTAAGAGGCCCAGAGAAGAACTCAAGGTTGGTTGCCAAGGGTTTTCATTAACAAGAGGGCGTTGATTACACTAAGACATTCAGTCCTATTGTAAAAGCCACCACTATTCGCACGGTCTTGTCAATTGCTATCAGCCATGGTTGGGAAACTCGTCAATTAGATGTGTCACATCCCGGGATCGGCTCCGCCGTAGAACAATATTGTTCGTTTTGGGCCCTATCTTTGCCCTCATGGTTTTGTTTCTGGGAACTCACATGAGTAACTTTCCAGTGAGTCACCCATCCTGGGATTGCTCTAGCCCCAACTCACTTAACTTCAGAGTTCCCATGACTCCGAAGTCAGTGAGCTCCTAAAAGGCCTCGTGCTAGATGGAGATGGGTATGTACATATAAGGCACATCACCCCCTCCGTTAGTCGATGTGGGATGTTACAATCCACCTAATTTAAGGACCCGACGTCCTCGTCGGCATACTCGCGGTAGAGTGGCTATGATACTAAATTGTCACATCCCGGGATCGGCTCCGCCGTAGCACGATATTGTCCGCTTTGGGCCCTCTCTCTGCCCTCACGGTTTTGTTTATGGGAACTCACACGAGCAACTTCCTAGTGGGTCACCCATCTTGGGATTGCTCTAGCCCCAATTCGCTTAACTTCAGAGTTCCCATGACTCCGAAGCTAGTGAGCTCCCAAAAGGCCTCGTGCTAGATGGAGATGGGCATGTACATATAAGACACATCAACCCCTCTGTTGGTCGATGTGGGATGTTACAAGATGTAAGTAATGCCTTTCTCCATGGCCATTTAAATGAAGAAGTGTACATGAGGTCCTCAGAAGCATTATGATGACTTGCATCATCCTCCATAATATGATTGTGGAGGATGAGTATGATTATGATGCTGCAGAGATCTACGAACCGGATCCCTTTAACACGGCCTTGACACGAATTTATGAAAGGCCCATGAGGCCAAATGGAGAACCGTTTGAGCCGGATCCGTTGGTTAGGGATGGTTGTTTTATGACTCGTATGATAGATCGATATACAGAGATGCAATCTTCATATATTCATGAAAGGCGTCAACTTGACTTGATGGAGCATCTATGGGCGGTGAAAGGCAATGAAGATGAATGACGAAGCATAGATACTTTGGTTAGGTTTTATTTAGTTATGGTTTGGTTGTGGTTTGTTATTATTATTGTGCCTCGTTTGTAGTTTTTTATTAATTTTTATTATGCTTTGGTTGTGGTTTTTCCTTTTAATTATGTTTTGTTTGATGTATGGAATATGTTGAATAAAAAAGTATTTTATTGAATGCTTTGTTTATTAAATAAAGAAAGCCAATACAAGTACTAAAATAAAGAATAACTACTACTAAAATAAAATACATGAATTACAACAAATAAAAATACAAAACGTGAAAAATACAAATAAATAAAAGGTATGCCAACTAATTTAATGGTTTTGATCATTTAACCAATCCGTGTTGGTAGGTCCATCGTCAAGGAAAAGTCTTCTTCTCATAACATCCCTTCGTTCTAGCTTTCAAAATTGTTTTGTTTCAGGGGACATATGGCTTGTATCCATCGCCATGGTTTCCCGATCCATCTTGTCCATCTCTTTTTTGAGAAAATACTCCCTTTCTTGTGCATATTCTGCTCGAATTGCCATCTTGTTCTCTTGGCGTTTCTTCTCCATTTCAACTCTTATGGCACTCTGCCTTGCAATTTCCTCCAATATTTTTGATGTATTACTGCTCGAATTACCCTCTTTCTTTGCCTTCGCAGCCTTTCGGCCAATGGGCCTCGGCTCCTTTTCGATGGGTGAGTCTTGACTCATAGGGGAATCGAGAGGTGAATTAGATGTCGTTGAATCATGGAGTGACGTCTCGTTTAACATAACGACGGGACCAATGGGAATAATTCTGAAGCATTTGCAATTTTTCACCACCTTCCAACATTCATGATAGTTGAAAGCTTTTTTGCCTTAGCTAATTGCACCAAACCACATCTGTGCTTGAATCATCTATTAACAAAAAAAATATAATGGAAATCCAAGAAATATTTAAAATATATTGGATATGCAATTAACCTTACAAATATATTGGAAATGCAACAAATATTAACAAAATATTATTTATGCAACAAATATTAACAAAATATTGAAAATGCAAGACATATTAACAAAATATTGAAAATGCAAGAAATATTAACAAAATATTGAAAATGCAAGAAACATTAATATATATATATATATTAGGATATTAAACTTAATAAAACGAAAATTACAAAATACTTACCTCATTACTAAGATTTTCCCCGCTTCTATGGTTGTCCATCGCTTTTGCCAAGGCATCTCTCTATTTTGCCAACTCTTTATTGAGAATTTTCCACCTACTAGACAATGCCATTTCTGTACGAGTCGACCTCGGAATTCTTTCAATAAATTCGGCATGAATTTTTTTCCACATATGACAAAATTTCATCTCATTGCTTGACACGGGACAATGACTAACTTGGAGCCAAGACTCAAACAAGAAAACATCTTCCATGGTGCTCCACGCCCCTCCGCTTTCGATAAAAGAAGCCATAAAGAAAAGAAATAAAAATAGAACTTGAAAGATAATAAAATGTTGAGTAAAGAGTGAATAATAGTAGAAGTAGGAGAAAATGTATGAAGATTGGTGTTGAAAGTGAAGGGTATTGATAGGTATTTTTAGAAAAAAAATTCAAACTTTTTTCATAATTTTATTGTCAAAAAAAGGTAAGTCGTTGGATTGGAGGAGGAGAAGCAGATCGGAGCGCCTAGGCGAAGACACGAGGCTTCCAGCCATTGGAAATGCGCCACTCCCCTCGGGCTCGAGCTCGAGCTCGGGTGAGTTCTGCCTTTGGGCTAGCCTGGGTACGTGGGACCCACAACTAGCCCGGGCAGCAAAGGCCCGCTGGAAACTGGGTTTTTGGAGCGCCCCCCCCAGCCTCGGGCTTGGGCTCTCCGCTGGAATAGCTCTTATAAGTAGCACTCTAATTTAAATTGTTTGTGATTTTTTGTCCTATGTATTTTCTCTTATGAGTAAAAGAGAAAAAAATTTGCACTCATCACTCCAAGAAATGTGATAATTCCATAATCATTACCTTCTATTGAAGAATAATTCACCGTTACATGATTATGTCTGTACCTTAATTTTATGAAGAGAAAAAATGAATGAAATCTTAGAAACCAAGATAGACATCAAATAATCACCCACAATTTATAAGAAAAAAAAAACAAACCAAAACAAAAAAAAAAAAAAAAAAAGAAGAAGTAAAAGGGGGCTTTTTGATAATTGCAAAGAGAATACAAATGTCTTTACCAGGAATTTTTTTTTATAATAAAAGAGAATACAAATGTCAAAAGAAGGATAGCGAGTGTTTGAATTGTCTAAAACACAGACGAGTACGTAGAAGAGTCTTCAAAATGGCCAGAAAACGAGATGTCTTGTAGCTTTAGTAAGCCAGGAGAGATGCAATGCAATCTTGCACTGCACAGTGTCCAGCTGACAAGCAATGAAGTCATGCACTTAAATTTGACTCAGCTTTTTTGAACTTGAGCCCCTTCCTCCTTTCTAAAGCCAGGCCACCATCCTCCTCTCTCTCTCTCTCTTTTTCTCTCTTGCCACTTCCCAACACTCCACACTCCACTGAAACAGTACACAAAACCTGCAAATCTCTCTCTCTCTCTCTCTCTCTCTCTCTCTCTCTCTCTCATATAAGTTTGTACTGTCATAACCCAGTGACCTCATCTTACAGATATGTAGCCAAGCAAACACCATCACAAAACCCCAAAACCCCAAAGTAACTAGCACTATTTTGTGCTGCCCCATCACTACAACCAACAATAACTTGGCTCCATTCTCATTCCACCTTAAACCCAAAAAAAAAAAAAAACAACTCAGAAAACCCAAAAACCCAGAAGCTTAAAAAAAACTAGCTCAGAGCCTGAGATTCTCTTTACAAATGTATTCCATTCGATTCCATGAGTTGTTGGGTCGTCTTGAAGTTGAAGTTGAACTCTGTTAATAAATTATTTATTTAATTGGGTTGCGATTGGATTTGTGAATGGGGTGCATGTTCTCTCACCTGGCTGCCAAATTTGCCTTCTTTCCTCCATCTCCACCGACCTACAAGATCCAGAAGCGCGACCACGACGGCAAGCTCACCGTCGTCGCCTCCGCCTCCACAACGACGTCGTTGCCTGTTCCTCACGCCGATGACCGTTCCTTGGACGTCTTGCTCATTGACACAAAACGCGGCAACAAGATCGTTGCTTTTTATCTCAGAAACCCTTATGCTCGCCTCACTCTGCTTTACTCTCATGGCAATGCTGCTGACCTTGGTCAACTCTATGACCTCTTTCTCCAGCTCAAGCTCACTCTCAGAGTCAATCTCATTGGGTAAGCCCAACTCCTCTTTCCCTTTCTGTCTCTATTTTTTTTTCTTTTCCAATTTGTGGTTTTTTATGTTTTGATTTTTCTCAACTGTTAATTAATTTCATTTACTCCTTTCCTAAAAACTTTTCATTGGGTCTGATTTTTAATTTTTTTCAATTTTTTTGGCAAATCTTTGGGTGTGATTTTATTGATGGGTTTTTAGATCTATTCCTTTTTCTCACTCCATTTGTATTAGTATTAGACATCAAAGTGAAAGTGAATAAGGCCGCCGAGTTAATAGTTTTCCTAGATGTTAGTTCGTATCAGTCTTTTTCAACCTTTTTTCCCTTTTCTAATATTACTTTTTCTCTTTCTATAAAGTAATTGGTTTTTATTGTTCTACTTGGATGGAGACGCAGCTTTACTGTTTTTTTTTCTTGGAATTTAGTGCCTTTCTGGCTCTTCAGATATATATCATTACTCTCTCCCTTTTCTTTTTATCTCTTTGTTCAAAAGGAATTGCTTTTTGTTGAGTATGGTTTTCTGTGGTTTTTGCGTTTGGACGATTCTGCCTTTTCTTCTCAAGTATAATGCACAATCTATTACTTGTGCAGATTGGTTTTTTCACATTTGTGAACCCCCATTTCTTGAACTCTTATTTCTTTTCCTTTGAATTTTTATGATGGGATTTACTTCCATATTTCACTGATTGGGTGCAATGTGATTGATATGTAACTTCACTTGATTGGATTTGAATCTAGTCCTGATTTTGTTATGCAGATATGACTATTCTGGATATGGAGCCTCAACTGGCAAGGTAGCTACAATCATTTTATGCCACATCATGTGAATCTTGTTATAGTTCCACCTTATTATAAGATTCTTTTTAATGGTAATACCGTTTCATATAATTCGCCTGTGGAACTGGAATTAGGTGATATATATTTTGGAAGACATTTATTGTCTCTTACCTGAAATTAGGCTGATTGCTTCTAATTGTGTTATAGTTTCTACATTAATCTTGTATAAATTCCTCCACGATGGAGAAGAATTCATCAAGGACCAATTACACTAGAACAACATAGAATTATGTAAGAAACCGATGGCAGGAATGCACAATGGGGTAGAATTTTGGAATTAGTTTAGTAGAATAGCAGAAAGTTTGAATGTTGAGAAGACAAGAAATGCACCGACAAGCGCTTGTTCTTCATATATCAATAGTTCCAGAAACAGTTCAGGGTTCGTTTTTGAATCCTGGTATTAGCTGACACTGTCACAAACAGGGCCAAATTTGCTAGATGTTGAATGATATGGTTAATCTAAAGTTTGGAATAGAGTGAGGTTCTAGGCAGCTTTATGGGCATTGGTTTCGGCTGATTTTAAGGATTATGCTTATTCTTCTATAATGTTGGATTTGTTAGCAGCTGTGAAGTCTACTGAGCTCATCAGCGGCTGTGAAGTGTTGTTCAGTAGAAGTACTAATTATGTTTGTTATGTTTTTTTTTTCCTTTTCCTCTTAATGAAATCCAGCCTAGTGAAGAGAATACATATGCTGACATAGAGGCAGTATATGAGTGCCTTGAGACTGAGTATGGAGTTAGCCAGGAAGATTTAATCTTGTATGGGCAGTCAGTTGGAAGTGGACCGACACTGCATTTGGCGGCTAAGTTGCCAAGGCTGAGGGGTGTAGTTCTGCACAGCGCAATTCTTTCTGGTCTTCGTGTGCTGTGCCATGTGAAATTCACATTCTGCTTTGACATTTACAAGGTGAAGATTATGTCTTCATTAGTTGTGTAGTGCAGATGTCTAGCAAAAGCTTGATTCTGAAACAGTCTATCAAACTATTTGTCAGTAGTTTGTTATACTGACGTCGGCAGACTGTTAGAATGATTTAATATTATGTATTGCTGAAGCTCGTTCTGCTGCTATTCTAAGCTTTTCGCTATTCTAATGTGTGCAGAACATCAATAAAATTAAGAAGGTGAAGTGCCCTGTGCTAGTAATACATGTAAGTACTTCTTGTCTTCTTGAAAATGTAAAAAATTATAATCACACCCTTTGAATTTCCGTTGTTGTTCTCTGTCGGTTTAAAATTGTAGGAAACAGTACCATGTGAGTGCATAATTTTTGTATTTTTAAAACTTTTGTATGCTTGATAATTCTTCAAGGGCTAATGAAGTTACCCTTTCCTTCCACTTGAATTTCTTCGTATGTTACTTTTTTTGCATTAGCATCTTTTGCAGCATACCAGCATTTAAGTGTAAAATAAAATTAGGTTGTATTGCCCCACTGACCCCATTGTCATCAGTTGAGTATAGACACTTTCTTCCATTTAGCAAATCATGCGAATGATTTCTTTAGCATACTTAAAACTTCATCTTCCCACGAATGGGACAACCCTGAAGGCCTTTTTGTTTCGCCTGGGTAACCTTACCAGTCTGGTCAACCACTTTTCTTGGTAGTGGGGGACTTTAGATTGCCAACATAGGCTTTCTGTATCTGAGGTTCAAATTGTTTGGTTTAATATGAGCCTGTGGCTTTATGGGACCATTGATTTCACAAGAAAAAAGTTGGTGCAGCTTTAATTTTTACATTTAAGATCTCTTCCTCTCTTTCTCTCGTGAATGAAGGAGGCTGTACTATATATTGTAGGCCAGCGTAAAGCTTAGTTCCTTTGAGAGTGAACTTAGCAAATAAGATAGCCTTAGAGAGGCTTAAATATGAAAGGGTTCACTTAGCCAACCCCAATTAGTTGATATTAATCTGTAGTTGAGTTGATTTTGTAGCTTGTAAATCTTTGAAAATTGTACCATTGCTATCATATAACCACCTACATCTATTCACGTTTAGTTTTAGTTATATGGGAGATTAGATAATGGATGTTAGTGGCAACCTGCAAAATGTTCAATGCCAGTAAAGCTTTGGTTGTAGATGCAATGCAAGGGTCTGATTGTCTAGGTAAGAGTTCCAGTCTTAAGAAGTTGGGAAAATAGAATTAACTGAGAAGAATGAGAGATAGAACTTTGTAGGTAGAAATAGTTTTCATGACTCTCATCCAACTGAAATGGCTAAATCCCCTATGGTGTGTGTCGAAGGTCAATGTTACCCCTAGGGTGTTTTTAATTTTTAAAATAAATACCCTTGTGATTAAGCCTGTTACCAATCTCAAACTGAATGGAACTTTTCGTCCAATTGTGTCAATGTGCACATCACATGCAGGGAAAAAGTTTTTTTTTAGGCCTGACAGGGGTCAATGACTTGAAAGGATTCTTTTACTCCTGAACATGAGGCGCACATGGGCAAAATTAGACTGAAAATTTGACTTAGACTGAGATTGGTAGCAGGCTTAACCACGATGGTATATCGAAAGTTTTTTCACCACGGGGGCAACATTGACATATGACCTACAACACATGGATGATTTGTGCACTTTGCCCAACTGAAATTGATTAAGTTTGAAAGAGTCCACATGGAGCATGGGGTTGGTTGTACTTTGGAAGTTGCATGAAGTTTTTTCTGGGAAAGATCAGAAGTTTATTAGGGGTAATGGGTAAGGTCATATAAGGTCAATAAATTGCATCTTTATTTAGTTCATGAATAATTCATTTGGAGTAATGGATAAAGTCAGATTCATTAACCAATGAGTCTGTCATTCAAGAACCAACTGTTCAGTTTTCTAAGATCAATAAATGGCTGTGTTGGCTGTAATTCATGAAATCTTTCATCCCACTGAATCTTAGCTCTCCCCTTTCATGCCTATATAAAAGGGAGGTGGTTTGTAGAAACTTTCTTTCCATTGTTTCATCGCTTCTTCACTTTAGAGCTTAGTTAGTAAAATACTAAATGGGAAAAATATGAATAACATACATACCTGTATTATTTAGCAAAGTCTTTTAAAGAAATACGATGAAAATTTTGGCCCTTGTGTAGGATTTTAATATTTTTTATTTAAATTTTTTTATGTATAGTCTTTTTATTCAATAACGAGGGAGCTTCAATTGAGGGATCTCTCAAATGAGCTTATTTAGGGACAGCCTTGTAGGATTCACTCCCCATTTGTTTTACAGTGATCTGACCGTCTGATTTTCAAGTCTTAATTCATAAATCATCTCTGCAAGAAATCACCAATATCGGAAAATATTTAACCATTGGATCATAAGACAGTCATTTACTGTATCTTGAAAAAACAATATTCGTCTATTTATTTCATCACAACTAGATGTCTTGATGGTTTACGATTTGCCTAATTTTTTCAAGGATGATCTATGAATGAAGACATGAAAAATAGACATTTTGAATCATTGAAATGCAATGTGGAGTGAGCCCTACAAGGTGTCCCTCAATAGAAGGGAACTCATTCAATTAAATGTGAAAAATACGTGTTTAATACGTAAGTTTTGTCCATGTTATTTAAAAACTTGTAAAAAATATGGGTATTGAACATGAAGAATATGTATGTACATGCATGTATAATACTTGTATCGTACATTTGCTTTTTTAAAAACGTTTATTTTACCGTATCTTTGTGAAGTGTACGGAAAATAAAAGTATTTTGAAAAATACATATAAACATGTAGGATACGCGAAGTTACTAACTACGCTTGAGAGTAGAGAGATTCATTTGTGAAAGAGAAAGAGTAAGAGTCTTTTACAAAGTAGCCTCCTTACAAGTGAGGGATTATCCAAGAGTGTGTATTCTCTTTAGAATGTAATCTTCTGTGCCCAGAAAATTGCCAGTACACAACAATCCCACAAGATTTTAGAGTTTTTCCCGTGTACAATTTTTCCCAATAAACAAAGATGTACAGGAATATGGAATCATCCCAGCTCAACCTCGCTTCTAAAACAATCTAAACCACAACCTCAAGATAAAACACACAACTCTTGGGTCACTAAGCCCTCAAGATCCTCTCATTCGTAGTGTCGATATGATTGATAAAATGATCTGTAGGTATATATTCTAGGTATACTTTGGTTGAGCAGGTGAAAGTTTGGCAATATGAGGGACATGTCAGCATGGAGTGCAAGAGTGGGGCTCATCCCTGGATTTAATAGCAATTTGATATTTTATTTGCCCTTTAGACTTAGACTTAAAGCCATGCGATTTCTTATCATCTTGAACAGTAAACTGAACCATGGTATCTATTAATCCAAGTTACTGTTCAACATCTAACAGTGGTATCACAACTAAGCTCATCATTGTTGGGTGACTCTTTCCGCCCTCAAATTTTTTTTTCCCCTCAGTTTCTTATATATTCATCCACTCAAAATTTTAATGCTTTTCGAATTCTCATTTTGATTGGTTGTCTACTATTTTTGTTTTGTGTATATCTATGGTGTTGTGGAGAGCTTGTTAAAATGTACTAGTTAGAGCGGAAGCTTCATCACTTCATTCAAGATCAATATCTGTAACAGCCAAAAAGTTAGAAAGAAGATATGAAATGTCAGAGAAAAAAAAGAGGAAAAGCAGCACCTTCCCCCTGTTAATGTTAGCATGAGGTTGAAACAGAACCAGAAAACCTTACTAAAACAGGTATTATAGGATGATAATCACTTGATTGTGCTTCTTAACATAAATTGAAGGCTTCAAGTGAACACCAACTTTACCCTGTTTAGTTTTGCACCTCTGAGAACAACTTTGGATGGAACCATTTCTGATATATGTTTTGACATGTATATATCCCTTAACTTTATGTCCTAGAGTTGTATTTTGCTGTCTTGGTGATTATTAATTATTTTATAAAAAATAAAAATAAAAACTAAACCTTCAAACATTGACCATAAGATTTTAGTTGACTGAGCTTGTCAAAGGAAATTTCCCACTATTTGTTGCCTACTCTAACTTAATTAGACTTATCTGATTTTCCTTATTATAATGATAATAATCAGAAATGTGTTGAAAATAATCTTTCAGGGTACAGAAGATGATATTGTGAATTGGTTACATGGCGATGCGCTGTGGAAAATGGCAAGGGATGCGTATGAGCCTTTGTGGATTAAAGGAGGTGGACACTGCAACCTGGAGCTTTACCCTGATTACATCCGCCATCTTTGCAGGTTTATCCAAGAAATGGAGAACATAACCACAGAAATCCGTTTAAGAAAGATTTGGCAAAATATGCGTACACTGAAGAGATCAAGTGCCAGTTGTGCAAAGTGCTGTAGAATTAAACTCTGCTTACCCAGGTGCCCTGAATGTAGAAGACCAAAGTGTGTAAAATGTTGTTCATGGCAGCTAAAATGCCCTGCATGCTGGAGGCCTGGCTGCGTAAAATGTTCCTGGCAACCAAAATGCCTAAAAGGTGCAGAACCAAGCTGCTGCATTAGATGTTTTCACTGGCGGTGCTGCATAGGAACACACAGCGGATTAAACGGGAAGCAGGATGGCTGATGGTAACGATGTGCTTGTATAGGTTTCTGATCTGCTAACACCCTTTCTTTTGTGCATTAGTGTTGGAAACAGGAGGAAGTAGTTGTCTGATGGGTGGTTTTACTAATACATACAATTGATTAGTCTCTTGATGCTGCTCCTTTTTGCCTTTTTGATGCTCAGATATTATATGGACTTTTTTGGTTTCTGTTTTTGTCCACGGGAGGGATTCGAATTTATACCTCTTCCAATTTTTGGGAGTGCAGTGCTACTAAACCTAGAGTTAGTTATACGGTCTTTCTCGAGAAACATTCTGAGTTCAAGTGATGTTTCTGCACAAGTCCGTCCTTTCGAGTCGAACGCTTCACCAAATATAAAAATACCCTTACTCATAATATACAACTGGCTTATTTAGAATCCTATCCAAAAAGGTTATCATTGTAAATTAAAAGAGCAGCTCACAAAAGAAACCTATCTAAAAACTGCTTAGTAATGATTTTGGGACATGTAAACATATTTGTTTATATAGCTATTTGAAATTTTCATTTTTTGAGAGTTTTTCCTCTTTGAGAGGTCGAAGTTCCTACAGTCTCAATTCCTTCTTTGAGTCCTAGGATATTCTTTTCTTAGCTTATCATTTGTGTTGCCACAGTCCGTTAGACAAGGCTCGAGTTTTTAATCGCTCTGCTCTTAGTCGCACTCTTACTCAATCTTGGCGACTACAGGGATGTGTCAGGTTTATCGAAGTGGAAGAAAATGTTTTTCAAGTATTGTTCAATGGGGAGAAAAAGCTGAAATCAGTTTTGGAAGGAGGATGGTGGTTGTTTGACGTCCATATTTTCCTTCTTCAGCGATGGTGTACTGGGCTCCAATTAGGGTCATTAAAGCTCACTTCTTGCTCTTTTTGGATTCAGTTTCATGATTTACCTGTTGACCCGTCGAGGGGAGAAGATGGTGGCACTCATAGGCAGCCGCTTTGGGGAAGAACAAAATGGCTTTGTTCGTCAAAGATATATCAGGGTGAGGGTGGTAGTGGATACAAGTGAACCCTTGGCAAGAGGAGTGATGATCAATGGTGGGGGAGCTAAACACTAGATTCGTTTTAAATATGAACGTTTACCAATGTTTGTGCAAGATGCAGTTTGCTGGGACATGAAGCGAGGAGTTGGCATTAAATGGTGACCGTTTTGTTTCTCATATGAATGTAACTGAGAATGATTTGGGGGAGGATAGTGGGGATGTTGGCATTAATGAGGCATTTCTCAATGAGTCAGGAAAAGAAAGTAACGGTTTGAAGAAAATTACCAAAGGAAAGAGTATTAATGCTGCACAATCAGGACATTCAAGTCATGGTTTCAATACCAAATTAAATGGAGTGCTGCCATTTCCACCTGCCTATCATTATTCCTAAAATATTCTTTAATTATTAATTCCAAGAAATTAGTATTAAATTAATTCAACTAAAGCTCCCCCCCCACACCCAACCTGGTCAGCCACCCCAACCCCGCAGGCAGCAACCCCCTCTCTACTCGCCAGAAACACCTCCTTTTCTCTCTCTTTCTTTTCCCCACTCCCACAAGACAGACTAGATAAAAATTATGGCTACAAATCCTCTTCAAAGTCTAGAATCTCTAGAAATATCAAAAAAGGAAAACCTGTCAAAACAAATTGCGCTTAGAATTTTGCCTCTATAGGAAGGTAGGGTCTGCATCAGTATTAACAAAAAATTCAGATTCTTTTTCCTCTCTTCCTTTTATGGTCTTACCCAAGTTTGTGAGAGAAGATGCATCTTTTCTTCCTCAGTATCTGAATCAGTGCCACCAAGTGGGAGTTGTTTGGATCGGAACGTAACATATGAACAGAGAGAGAGAGAGAGAGAGGGAGAGAGACAAAGAGATAGAGAGATAGAGAGATAAAGGAGGATGTTTGATGAATTTTTCTTATGGTGCCACTGAAAAGGAAGTGGGTAAGAGAAAGTGGAAGAGAGGAGTGAGAGGAGTGCAGTTATCTACTTCGAGCCAACCTCGCCAACCTTTGGCCCAAGAAGAAACTCTACAAACCTTGATTTTTGGGGTTTCAGGGCGGAAAAGAGTAATGCAGAAGACGACGGAGACTTTGGAGGTGGAAGGGGGGAAGAGGAGGAAAACTGCAGTTTTAATCAAGGAAGGAGAAAAGGCTACAATACCAGTGACGGGGTCAACAGGGTCCGGTTTAGTTTTCTTATCAAAAACTAAATTATCAATGCAGCAAATGGAGCGGTTTAAGTTTTAATTGGGGTTTCATGGGAGTGTAGCTGTGGGACGTAGAGGTTTGAATGGTGGCTTATTGCTATTATGGAAAGAGGGTTGGGGTGTGTCAGTTAATTCCTTTTCAATTGCACATATTGATGTATTCGCTACCATTCCTAATGGATTCTCCTTTCGGTTTACTGAGTTTTATGGTCATCCAAAACCAAACCAAAGACATCATTCATGGGAACTTCTTTGCAGGCTTCCTCATGGAAATTTAAGGCCTTGGATTTGCATGGGAGATTTTAACGAAGTGGTGTACGAATGGGAGAAGTTAGGAGGACGAGATTGAAGTAGATTGGCAATGGATGCTTTCAAAGATGTGGTTAACAATTGTGCCCTTTGTGAGGTAAATTATATAAGGCCTCATTTTACGTGGTGGAATGGGAGGGAAGGCAATGTAATGGTGGAAGAACGTCTTGATAGAGCTTTGGTTACAGATGATGTTTTGGAGTCTTTTCCTCAAGCAAAGGTTGTTCACTTAATTTCTGACTCTTCAGGTCATCATCCAATCTCTCTGGAGTTAGGTCTCAATGAGAGCAAATTTTCTTGTACTAGGAAGGGAAGGCGTAGAGTTCATTTTGAAGAATTTTGGGTGGAGGAGAGTTCTTGTAGTGATGTTATTATTGATGCATGGAACTCCAGAAATTTGGAGGAGGTCTCACTTTTACATAAGATTGAATTATGTGGACAACGGTTGGATTGCTGGAACAAAAATCGTTTTGGCAATATTCCAAGACGGCTTAAACAGGTACACAATGTAATTCAAACGATTGGGCTTAGAATGTGCATGCTAAAGTTTGGGAAGTTTAAACTGTGTTTGGACAGGTTGAAAAATTCGGTTAAGTCCATTTTTTAGGGAAGATTCTGCCGAAATTTCAGTAGAAGTCTCGGTCCTCTTTTTCAAGGAAGAGGATGTTTGAAATTAGTAAGTGGGTCCTACATTGGTTGGATGTCAGAAAAACCACAGGATCCGTCTCGGATTCCGAGAAATTTGGGGCGAGTCCTGTCAGTAGTAGTCCGAAATGTCAATGGGGAATTAATGGGTGCCATGGCTAAACCGGTAATTAGTTGTCTTTCCCCCTTGTAAAATGGCAATAGATACCGGATTCACAAAGATGATTATTGAAAGTGATTGCTTGGAGGTGATTAACGCCGTAAACCGAACTAAATTTGATATGAGCATGGAAGGAGAGTTGATAGAGGAACTGAAAGAGTTACTCCGTCATTTTGTATTTGTATCCTTGCAACACCAACCTCGTACATGTAATTTTGTGGCTCACCAATTAGCCAAATTTGCTTTATCTTGTAATGAGATATGTTATTGGATGGAAGAGGGGCCTAGCTGGCTTCACTTTTACCTTCCTAATGATTTGCGTTCGTTACATTCTGTTGATGAATAAATTCATGGGAGTTTCACTAAAACACCCCAAATGGGGGCTGAAATTATAAAAAAAACCCAACACCCAAAACACTTTATAAACACACCCAAAACTTATCATTACACACATTCAAAACCCATTTATAAACACACCCAAAAAATATACAATTGTTGATTTTGGGTGTATTTCTATGTTTAAATAGTGCTTGGGTTTTTTTATAAATACATGTCTAGGATTGGGTTTATTTATAAATTTGTATAAATTCATTGGCCTTTGGCCTATAATAATAAAAAAATAATAAGAAAAACAAAAAACAAAAAAAAACTGCTGAGTAGATATCGACCTCCAATTTTAATAATAATTAAAATTGGGAGTTTCACTAAAACACCCAAAATGGAGGTTGAAATTATAAAAAAAACCCAACACCCAAAACACTTTATAAACACACCCAAAACCCATCATTACACACACTCAAAACCCATTTATAAACACACCCAAAAAGTGACTTTGGGGTTGATTTTGGGTGTGTTTCTATGTTTAAATAGTGCTTGGGTTTTTTTATAAATACATGTCTAGAATTGGGTTTATTTATAAATTTGTAATTAAAATTTTGGTTGAGTTGAGACATATTTGATTAGAATATCGTCAATCTTCTCTTTTCAGTAAGGATTACAATAAAACCTTTTGACAATCTTTCCTTAAGAAATATGTTTTAAGCCGTAGTGACCGACTGACCCAATGGCTTATGCTCACCCACATTTTATTAAATTAATTACTTTAATGTAAGTATCTTATCCTTAATTTATAAATAAGGATCTGAGCCATGAGCGGTCTATTGATCAAGAGTCCCGCTTAGTTCGTCACCTCGTCTTCACTGAACACCTACCCACTCGCCTCCGAGACTTTCTTACCTCTCCGAGAATGGAGGTACTCGATCGTTTTGGGAACGTGAGGGGGGGAGGACACTTTAGGAGAAGTGACCCGATGCACGCCGGGGAACGGCTCTATCTACCTTCCAACGTGTTGCACTGGATTATGAGCAATATTAATTGTTGTCTCTTGTTATCACCATATAATTTCATAAGCCCTACAAAGACAATATGGTCATTAACCACAATAACTCTTATACACCAAACTAGATCTAGCAACCACCTATTGGTTTTTGCGTCATTGACAAATAATTAGGTTTCCATCAACAAATGTGCAATATTATAAAGTTGATCTTTGGTCTATACAGCCAAATATCAAGGTGCTTTAAGAGTTTGAATTTGAAACCATTAGTATATAAATTAAGACTCTTTTTCATTAAGCTAAACGCGTTTCAATCTCTTACTCCGTGTGTTGGTTGTTGGTTAGGATTAGTAATTGTTGTATTTTGACATATTCCATACCAGCTCTGCTCGCATTTTCTTGATTTCATATTGTTTATTTTATTTTTCACTAGCCATGCAAGACTTTCTAGAGATTATCTTGTTTTTCTTTTGGCCACAGGTGTGATATTAATAAAATACTCATTGACTGATGTGTGAACACCTGATACCGAACCTTCCGTATGCAAATGATCACCACCGGCACAAGAAAGAATGTTCGTATAAGCTCTCAACTCAAGGACTTTTCAACTTGACAGCTTCCTCCATTTTGGCTAATCCTTCTTAAATAATAATCCAACAAATTACGTCGTTTAATTATAGTAACCAAGCAATTCTTTGATATTATCGTCACTCTGGCGACATGGCACTTTGTCCTTGAAAGTAGTTGAGGACTGAAACATTCAAGAGAGAAGCCGAATTCTTAGCGGATTCATACTATAATTACTTTTTTTTATACATATTTTTAGTAAAGAGGTGGGCTAATCGGTCGTAAACACTAATAATAAACAAGTTGATTAGAGTGTATGTGCTCCTTATTCTGCACCCGAGTTCGAATCTCCCTTCTCTTAATTTTGATTATAATAAAATAAATTATTATTGTATAAGAAAAAATGAATTGATTCACATCAACAGGGGCATCCCAAATATGGAAACCCAAAGACTTATAGAAGCCATCATATCAACAGCAATTTGACACATTTAATTCACGAATTTACTAACTATATTTTTTTTTCTCGACTATTCAAAACAAACATGATCTCTATGCCTTCAAAACCGAAAAAAAGAAAAAAAAATTGTATTGACTTTCAATCAATTTAAACAACTACCCTTTGAAATCCAACCCGAATCCTCTCCCTTGATCCAGCCTCCAGGTCATCATTAAACTTTGAATTTTGTAAAGTCATTCACGTGGTTTTTGTTTTATTGGACCAAGTAACTGAAGTACCGAACAAAAGCACTTGTTTTTTTTCTTTTTTTTCTGGCGAACACAAAAGCACTTATTTCCATCACGCGCTGCTGGAATCACGGCAGATTGAGTTCTCTCCTCTCATGCTCCCACAGACCAAAAAGCAATTGGAAACTCGAATGGATGGATGGATGAAAAGTTCACATACGAAAACCACACCGTTGGCTTTATATGGAGAAAGATAATTTTTTCGGTTAATAACGCAATGGCATGTAAGATAATTTTTTCAAAGTTTTTGTTACGATAACACTAACCTCTAATTACTATAATAATTAATAAATTAAAATAACAAGATTAAATTATTAAATTGAATAAATTAAAATTAATGATGTGAAATTGCCACTTCATGAAGTATCAAATTATGGTAACAAAATATGATGCATGCACCAAACCTAGCATTACACATGCATGAAAACAATGAAAAAAGGACCTAAAAGGCTATAAACTAAAGTGAACTTAACAGAAAAAAGAAAAGTTGCTCGTAGCACTTGCAACTCAGATCTCCAAATTTCTCTTGGCTAGGATCTACCCTTGATATTGAAGAGCTCAATAATTTCCATGCCACTGCCATCATTGTCTCCACAATATGAAGTTGTGAATGTCGACGTCCTTACCTAACTTGATATATGTGCATTTTAGCAATTTTAACACGGATTTTTCTGTTATTGTTCGTCTTCAATATGATTACTATATTTTCTGTTGTCCGATATCAATCAACTTATGACTTCACTTCAGCAAAAGAGACTCTTTTATTGGCAAGATAGTTTATTTTGTAATTTCATGGTCCAAATTTTTATTAAAGTTATTTACTAAACTATGTGGAATCGGGATAGGAATTAATTGTATTGATTCCATAAGTTGTTTACGAAAATGCACTTGTTCTAAATAAATTATTAGGTTAAAGTGTTGCTAAAATATGATACTTGGTTTGAATACTTCAGGTTAATTGTATTCTTCTCTATAAAAAAGTATATATAGAAGTTTACAATGGTGCTTTACAAAGAAGTAGATACAGTAATCAATTAGGAGAATATCTCCTAATTATACAGGATTGTCAACTATATGAAAACAAGGAAGTAAATCACCTAATTAACTTAGGAAATAAATCTCCTTGATTTGTTAGGTTAACTCACGTCAACACTCCTCCTCAAGTTGGCGCATACACATCACCAATGCCCAACTTGGTAAGTGAGTCATAAAATACTCGTCCACAGACAACTTTTGTCAAGACATTGGCTACCTGATCTTCTAATTTTACAAATGGTAGGCAGATGATCTTGTTCTCAATTTTTTTCTTTGATGAAATATAAATCCACCTCAACCTGTTTTGTTCGATCATGTTGAACTGGATTATGAGTAATATCGATTGCTAACTTGTTATCACAATGTAACTGCATGGGCTTTTCTGGTTTAAAACCCAATTCTATCAAGAGTCCTCTGATCCACAATAATTCACAAACTACTTGAGCCATATCTTGATACTCTGCTACTGTACTAGACCAAGCAACCACATTTTATTTTTTACTCTGCCAAGTGACTAGGTTACCTTTAACGAATGTAAAGTAACCCGATGTAGAGCATCTATCTGTAATGGAACCTACCTAATTAGCATATGTATATCCAACAACTTCAATATTTCCATTCTTTGAGAACATTAATCTATTCCCAGGGGCTAACTTTAAGTATTTTAAGATCCAATCAACAGGATTCCTATGAGAAACACTAAGTGAATGCATAAACTAACTAACCACACTCACATTATATGCAATATCTGGTCTTGTGTATGCAAAATATATCAACCTTCCAACAAGGCATTGATATTGTTCCTTATTGGTTCGCACTTGGTCTATATCTTCACACAACTTATGATTCATCTCGATGAGTGTGCCAGTAATCTTATATCCTAGCATTCCTGTTTCAGTGAGTAGATCTTTTACATACTTCATTCGAGATAGAAAAATACTAGTTTTTGACATTGCTACTTCAATTATGAGGAAATATTTCAGTGCACCTAAATTCTTCATCTCAAATTGCTGAGACAAATACTTTTGTAGTTTCTGTTACTCTCTTGTGTCGTTTCCAATTATGACCTTATCATCCACATAAACAATTAATGCAATGATTTTTTTTCTCCATCACGCTTCAAGAATAGGGTGTGGACTGAATTCCTCTGAGTGTATCCAAAATTCTTCATGGACTTAGTAAATCTTCCAAACCATGCCATGAGAGACTATTTTAACCCATATAATGACTTTCTAAGCTTGGAAACTTGATTTTTCTTGTTATGAGCTAAATTATATCCCGGTGATAAATCCATGTATACCTCTTATTCCAAGTCTCCATGTAAAAAGGCATTTTTAACATCGAGCTGATGTAATGACCGATCTAGATTTGCTACTAGAGACAGTAGGACTCTAGTGTTAAAATGGGCCTATTTGTGAAAAATCCTATAATAAAAAAAAAAGAAAAAAAAAATGAACAACTACATAAAACCCCCTAAACTATAAGGTCATTTTCAAGTTCATACTCACCTTTAGGGACATTTACGAGTATATACTGAAACCCCTGAAAAACCTACTTGGCGAGTTCAAATGAGAGTAAAAAAAGAGGGGTGGTGGAAATGGGGATGATGAGATGGTGGTGGGGGTGGGGGAATTGGAATGGGGTTGGGGACGATGAGATTTTGCTTTTTTGTTTCTTTACTTTTTCTTTTTGATTTGATTTTTCTTTTATTTTTTTGTGTTGGTTTTTTTTATTTGATTTTCTTTTTAAGTTATTTTAAAGATATGATTTTTTATTAATTTTTTTGTATACATGGAAGTCCATGTCATTAAAAAATGGGTCCCACATTTGACAAGTAAGCATTTAACAGATTAACTAACGGGTTGTGTAACAGATGGGGTAAATTGTAGGTTTTCCGGGGGTTTGAGTATGTACTCATAAATGTCCCTAAAGATTGTTATGAACTTAAAAATGACCTTATAATTTGGAGAGTTCTATGTAGTTTTTCCACACAAAAAAATCTAATAACATTCCAAATTTCCATAAGAGGGTGACACGTACTTATAGAATAATTTTTCTATTGAATATAATGCTCAATACTGTGCAGTTTACCTCGGATATTAGATATTATTCCACTAGATATTTTTAACTTGGGCTTTTGATTTGGATCGGTTCGGTATAATTGGTACTCTTTATATATATATATATATATATATATTTTCCAGCACAAACGCCCACCCCTACATTTGTACAAGAAAATTTTGTCATCCGAAGAGCCATTTCACGCAAGGGGTTGAATTTACATGTTTTGGCTGACTGGATGGAGTGTACACGCAGCGTGCAAATACAACTTTAAACAGCTCATATTCAAACAGGGTAAAGATCCTCTGCGACAACATCACCACCCCATCAAGAAAGACCCACAAAAATACCGACACATGCTTTGCCTTCTAAACTGATCAGGCAGGGCAAGATGAACTTCACTGCGCTGATGTAATATATATTATTATTAATGACAATTGTTTAATGTTGTTAAAATAGTATGACCAATTTATGCTTTTTATTTATTTATTTAAGAAATATGACCAATTTATATTAACAGCAAGGAAGGTGGTAACTAAAACTCAGAAAAAATTTAGTGGTTCTAGTATTATTATATAAAAGATAACAAAGTAATCGCCATTATAGTAAGTGAGATGACTTTAATTATTTTTTTTACGATAATAATGATGATTTTGTAATTTAAAAAAAAAATAATTATAATGAGGATTCTCTGCTGATCTTAACAAACAGTAAAAGAAATATTTTTGCTCACAACGATAAATAAAACCTAATAAGGAAAACTACTAAAAATGATGATGATTTTTGTTATTGTCGTAATATATTGTGTGTTTAAACAAATTAATTTTTCAGAGATATAATAGGAATTTCAGTCATCATTTTTAAATGATCACAATACAATTTTGTGATGTAGGGTTGTGATGAAACCGGTTGTAGTAAGAACCCAAATTCCGACCGCAGGGGAATCTTACATCCACACCGCGTAAAAACTGGAATGTACAAAAGCGACCGGAATCCGACCATTGAAATTCCCGATATGTCCCCTATAAAACCCAAAAACAAAACCTCGACCATTACCGTTCTTCAAATAAAACAAGCACAAGACAAGAGCTTCCTTCTCTCCATCTCCCATTGTCTTTCTCTGCCAATTGTGACATTCTCTCTCTCTCTCTCTCTCTCCTCTCTCTCTCTCTCTCTGACTACTTCTCTGCAAAATAAAAACACCACCATACCCAAAAAGGAAACAAATGGATACATAAGACGACCTCATTGCTAGAAAACAAAGGTAAACAAACCTTCCAAAACCCTCAAAATTTGATAAATGATGATCATGAGGAGTATTGGAGGGCCGGCATTGGGTTTGAAAAAGTAGTGACTAGGGTAGGGAGGCTGGACTTGGTCTTGTGTTTCTTGCTTTGCTTTGCTCTGGGCGGCGCATTTGAAAGTTTCTTACACTTTGTGTGTGGCTTTGTATTTGTATAAGAATTTGGTGAAGACTGAAGAGGGTTGGTGTGTAATAGGTAAGCTTTTGACGAAAAACTCTCCATCTCCCTGTGATTGCTTTATGCCTTTTTTTTTATTGTCTTAGTTTTAGAGCAAGGGAGACACTGTATTTTTTAATAGCTTGATTTTCTCTGTTTCTTCCGGAGCGAGAGAGAAACAGAGTTTTGAAGAGACACTGAGATTTTATTATTTTTTCGTTTTGTTTTGTTCCTCTAGTTCTGAGACTACCGAGTAAGCAAAGCAAAATTTTAATCTGTATATTTCATTTGTTGTCTATGAAAGAGGAGGGTTGGATTTGTGATTGTGTTTGTGTTTAGCTATTTCAAGTTTTAATCAATTTCTGATGTGCCATGAATTGCAGGTTGTGGTAAGCTTTATGGCGTCTGGATCTCGTTTCAGTTTCTCAAGTGGATCCCCCAGGGTTCGCCATATTAGCCAAGCCAGCAATGATCTTGACAGTGAGATTGGGAGTGCTGATTTTGCTACCTACACTGTCCACATACCCCCTACACCTGACAACCAGCCCACCGGAATTTCGATGCAGCGGTCGACTTCTCAGAGGTTGGAGGACCAATATGCATCGAGTTCTTTGTTTACAGGTGGCTATAATTGTGTTACACGAGCCCAGTTGAAGGAAAAGGTGATTGAGTCCGAAACTAGCCATCCACAGATGACCGGAGCACAAGGGTCGTATTGTGCTGTGGAGGGTTGTGATGCAAAGGTTGTGACTGATGAGAGGGGGTTAGATATAGTTCCCTGTGAATGCAATTACAAGATTTGTATGGATTGTTATAGAGATGCTATAGCAAGTGGTGAGAGTATTTGTCCTGGCTGCAAACAACCGTATAAGGAGCAGCAGATGGACATGACCGAGTATGCTTTGGCGAATCAGCAGCCTCTGTCTCTGCCATCTACAGCTGGGATGTCAAAGATGGAGAGGAGGTTATCGTTGATGAAATCAAAATCTCCAAAGTCAACAGCATTGATGGAGAGTCAGACTAATGACTTTGATCATAACCAATGGTTGTTTGAGACAAAGGGGAGTTATGGCTATGGAAATGCTATGTGGCCAAAAGATACTGCCAATGGAAGTGATGATGGAATTAGTGGTGATCCTAATGTGTTTCAACATAAGCAATGGAAGCCACTTACGCGCACGTTGAATATCTCTGCTGCAATTCTCAGTCCATATCGGTAAAACTGTTTGATCCTCTCTGTTTTTCTGCACTGTTTATTTCTTGCCACTCTTTTTGCTACTTGTTTCAAAGTGGTATTTTTGGAGATTTTCCTTTCATCGTTATTTGTGAACCCACAGAATTTATTGCATATAAGCTTAGTTAGAACTGCTTGCTTTATAAGCTTACACTCTTTAGTTTTTGTTGGATATAATCTCAGGCTCCTAGTACTTGTTCGAATGGTGGTCCTTGGATTATTTTTGCAATGGAGAGTCAGAAACCCTAATGACGATGCAGTCTGGTTGTGGGCTATGTCTGTAGTTTGTGAGATCTGGTTTGCCTTCTCTTGGCTACTGGATCACTTCCGAAGCTCTGCCCCATCAATCGCATTGCTGATGTTGATGTTTTGAAGGAGAAATTTGAAACACCGAGTCCCAACAATCCTACTGGAAAATCTGATCTCCCAGGCATAGATATTTTTGTATCTACAGCAGATCCAGAGAAAGAACCACCTCTTGTCACTGCAAACACCATTCTATCGATTCTTGCAGCTGACTACCCTGTTGAGAAGCTTTCTTGTTATGTTTCTGATGATGGAGGTGCACTTTTGACCTTTGAGGCCATGGCAGAAGCTGCAAGTTTTGCCAACTTGTGGGTCCCTTTCTGCCGGAAGCATGATATTGAGCCAAGGAATCCAGAATCTTACTTCAATCTGAAGAGAGACCCTTATAAGAATAAAGTGCGCTCAGATTTTGTCAGGGATCGCAGGCAGGTAAAGCGTGAGTATGATGAATTTAAGGTAAGGATTAATAGTCTTCCTGATTCAATCCGGAGACGTTCCGATGCCTTTAATGCTAGAGAGGAGATCAAGGCTATGAAAAAGCAGAGAGAGAATTCAAATGACGAACCAGTGGAGAATTTAAAGCTCCCAAAAGCTACTTGGATGGCTGATACAACCCACTGGCCTGGCACTTGGACAGTTTCTGCGCCTGAGCATTCTAGGGGCGATCATGCCAGTATCATGCAGGTAGATATAAGTTCTATTGGTTTTGTAGAATTCAGCAAGTTTCTCTTATATGCATTCAGATTGAATTAAAATTTGCTGGTTAACAAATTTATCTGTACCATGTGTAGGTGATGGTGAAACCTCCTAGTGATCAGCCACTAAATGGCACAGCAGTGGATTCAAATTCCATGAATCTAAGTGAGGTTGACATTCGTCTTCCCATGCTAGTTTATGTTTCTCGTGAAAAGCGGCCTGGCTATGATCACAACAAGAAAGCTGGTGCCATGAATGCACTGGTTCGTGCCTCAGCGGTCATGTCCAATGGCCCCTTCATTCTCAACCTTGACTGTGATCACTACATCTACTACTCCCAGGCATTGAGAGAAGGCATGTGCTTCATGATGGACCATGGTGGGGAACGCATTTGTTACGTGCAGTTTCCACAGAGGTTTGAAGGAATTGACCCATCTGATCGCTATGCAAACCATAACACTGTTTTCTTTGATGTCAACATGCGAGCCCTTGATGGGATTCAGGGTCCAGTATATGTAGGAACAGGATGCCTCTTTCGTCGGACTGCCCTTTATGGCTTCGATCCACCTAGCAGGAAAGAGCGTAATGGTTTCTGTGGTGGTTTCTTCGCCAATCCCAAGAAAACTTCTTTGGTGGCTTCTGCCCCTGAAGTTGCCTCTCAAGACAGCCAATCAATTGAACTGGTAGACATGGAGGAGGAAGAAATGAGTCTTGCTCTTATTCCTAAAACGTTTGGAAACTCAAGCTTCCTTGTTGACTCAATCCGTGTGGCAGAATTCCAAGGTCGGCCCCTTGCTGATCATCCATCCATTAAACATGGACGTCCGCCGGGTGCTCTGACTCTTCCTCGGGAGCCTCTTGATGCATCAACAGTTGCGGAGGCAATCAGTGTAATCTCATGCTGGTATGAGGATAAGACTGAATGGGGCCAACGAGTTGGGTGGATCTATGGATCTGTAACTGAAGATGTGGTCACAGGCTATAGGATGCACAACCGCGGATGGAGATCTATTATTGTGTAACAAAAAGAGATGCATTCCGTGGCACTGCCCCAATCAATCTCACAGATCGGCTTCATCAGGTTCTCCGGTGGGCCACTGGCTCTGTTGAGATTTTCTTTTCCCGCAACAATGCTCTGCTGGCCAGCTCAAGGATGAAATTTTTGCAAAGGATTGCTTACCTGAATGTTGGAATCTACCCTTTCACTTCCATTTTCCTCATTGTCTACTGCTTCCTTCCTGCACTCTCACTCTTTACTGGTCAGTTCATTGTTCAGTCCCTCAACCTAACCTTCCTGGTATACCTCTTGGGCATCACAGTGACCCTTATTCTTCTTGCCGTGCTTGAGATCAAGTGGTCTGGCATTGCACTAGAAGATTGGTGGAGAAATGAACAGTTTTGGTTGATCGGGGGCACAAGTGCCATCTTGCTGCGGTGCTCCAAGGTCTTCTAAAGGTTATAGCAGGCATTGAGATTTCATTCACTTTGACATCAAAATCTGGAGGTGATGACGGGGATGATGATTTCGTTGATCTTTATGTCTTCAAATGGACAGCTCTGATGGTACCACCAATTACTATCATGATGACTAACTTGATCGGAATCGCAGTTGCAACTTGTCGAACAATATATAGTTCTACACCAGAGTGGAGCAGCTTGCTTGGTGGTGTTTTCTTCAGCTTCTGGGTCTTAGCTCATCTATATCCCTTTGCAAAAGGGCTTATGGGAAGAAGAGGGAGGACACCGACGATTGTGTTTGTGTGGTCTGGTCTTCTAGCAATCACCATATCTCTCCTTTGGGTGGCTATCGACCCGCCATCAGGGAATAATCAAATTGGGGGCTCATTCCAGTTTCCATGATGCATGTACTCCACACATTATTTTGAAGGTACCTTATCTTCTGTCCACCTAAATGCTACTTTAAGCCAGCACCTGCAGGAAGTCGTATAGGGTCTCCCACTGAAATGTACATTTTCTAGCCATTTTTTGACTGATTTGAACTTCATATTCATAGGAAAAATGGATTCTATACATTTGTTGATACGAGTATATTTTTTTCAGATTTAAAGTTACATGAAATACCATCACTAGAGCTGAGTAATTCCATGTGTTTGGCCTTGCTGTTATTTTTTCCTTCTTGTTATGTCTTCGTAGCTTCTCCGGAACTTAAATGAGCCATACAGTGAATTGGATTATGCTGCATCCTCCAATTTCATTTTATTTTTCTAAATGCACAGAAGGATTTGGCTAAAAAACAATTGCACAAAAGAAAATAGGTATTTGCGTTCAATTTTTGGGCCTGTTATCCATTTGTCAAGGGCTTATTTTGGTTAGGCAATGGAATGTAAATTTTCACAAATTGGTTAAGCTTTTAGTTGTGGAAGAATTACACTAAATATTTCCATAAAGAATAATGCAGCCATTGAAATCGAGAATATTTTTGCTCACCACTCTTAAATGGTGGTGAGCATTAGCAGCATGTTAATTGGTGTTGGACAAGTGTGATTTAGTCTACCTGTTACACGAGTCTAAAAAATTCAACTAATTCAACGTCCATGAATATGATTAATATGGTGGTAATGCTCCCCACCAGGAGTGGTGAGGAAAAATAGTGTCATTGAAATCTATGTGGTCAACTGATTTGGGTGGGATTGTTGAAGTTGATAGATTATTACTGACCATATCGATAATTGATTACCCACTTTGAACATTTCATTTTCATGGAGCACAAATCTATGTGGTCAACGGTAAAAAAAGAAACCTTGCATATGTTTTGTTTCCTATTCCCAAATGAGGAATAGTGAGGATTTGGATAAAGGTTTCCATTTCCTAATTTTAAGATTAAAAAGAAGATTTTGAAAAAGAAAGTCAAATTCATTCAGTCTTAAAATTAATAACTTTCAATTACCTACTTACATTTAGATTCTGATACGAAAAATCCTATACAAGTTCTGAACTGGCAGCAGCAAACCCATTGGAAAGCAAAATCCTCTGTTCTCTCTGTTTTCCTCTGTTTTCTAACAGAACTCCAGCCAGCAATGACAGAGAAGTTGCAGCTCTACCACGAGCACCTTTACCATTTATTTGGATGAGGAAAAATAACTCAAAATTTAGCCAAAAGTTGGGAATTTAAGAGGAGAAATTGACAATTCCGTTGTTTGGCAACTTAAGCGCGGAATTTATTAATGAAGCGCGGAAAAAAATCGTGGAAATTTAGGTATCAAATTCCGGAGTTTAATTTCGACCAAAATAGGTGTCATTTCACAATTTCCGTAGTACCATTTACAAAATTTGATATACATAAATCCAAACACTGAAATCCCAAATTGCCAGAAATTGAAATCATGAAAATCTATAATCCGTCATTTTAGAATTCTATGCAATCTTCAATTCCTTCATCCGAACAGAGGATAAGTCTTTCTTTTAATTTTTGTGGAGACTTGGGCAGCAAGCAAAGCACCCAATCCCAATTGCAAATGAAAGCATGACTCAAACAATCTAATAATTTGGCTTCGAGATATAGAAAAGTAAAGAAGCCATAGAATGCTTAGTAACCAAGGCTAAAACCCATGTCACAAAACAAAACCAAATAACATAAAATATCCAGCAACCTCATAAACATTTCAAAAGTTAAAATACTAATATTAAGATATGTTTATGGTTTTAATAGAAAGGGGGAAAAAACTGTGAGATCTAATAAAGCAAAATAGAAAGTAAATGCAATAAACTTGAATAAAATTTTCAATCTCGGGTACGAGACATTATATCTTTGTAAAATTCTTCTTGCAGATCCATCTCTTCCTTGTTCTCCTCAAGCTGCATTTTTATCCTCCGTTTTAAAATGCGATTTTCCTCCTGCACCTTCTCGAGCTTGTCACGAAGTATTTCCTTAGTCTGTTCAGCATCTTTTCTAAGCCTCTGTTCTATAGGAAGTTTGTCCTTCAACCAAATAACCTGTTGGCTGTCCGCACTCATTTGCCTCATTGGGTGTAGGACCACCTCTTGGTAAGATCTCAGCTCAAATTTCAGCTTAGATTTCTCCTCTGTATGCTGGTTGAAGATATCCAAGTCTCGTTTCATTGCCATGTAACCGTAAAGCTGTCGAATACCACCTGCACGAAACAAGATAGGACCACAATCCCAAGTATCCCTGCCTAATCCTTGCATTGCAAAATTCTTGTGCAGCAGCTCAGCCTCAAAATGGCCTATTGCCGAGGCCTCAAAAATCAAAAGGCTCATCCCACAGTGTCCCTGCGGACCATACGAGTGTCGAGTCTTCAAATAAGGATAAGATCCGAAGTATTCAGCAAGCTCCTCGGTTCCCATACCAATCCACTTTCCACTTTCATCCTTTTCAAGTCTAGTATTCGTGATGACAACCATCGGAGGCCAGACAATTTTGGAATCCTTTTCCTCATCTTTTAAACCTACCCATTTACCAAATACTTCACCCGCAGCCACAGATTGAGTCATAACTCCTCTCATCTGCAACTCCACATCCAAAAGTTTTGCAAATTCTCTGTGGAGCTTCACCCTATTTGATCCTTTTGTTTCGGCATGTCTCTTCAGGGGCTGCACGCCTTGGTACCAGTCAATGGCACCACGACCACCTTTGCATGCAGGACAGTGCCACTGTCTATCAGGATTACCAATCTCACCTCCACTTAAACCATCCAAATTTTCAAAGAATTTCTTGAACCATCTATTTTGCTTCCGAGTGCCGTGGCTCTTTTCACTTGAATCCGAGTCAAACTCATCACTGAATAGCTCGTCATCGTATTCATCAGTATCGCTCATATGATCAGAGTTGTCATCATCATTATCATCAGCTAGAGCAGCAGCCACATTGTTGTCTTTTTTACCAGGTCTAGATTGCCAATTCCATCCATGGTCCAGGGGAGGGGGAATCAAATGTTGCCGGGCCAAAAAGTTGCTTCCAAAAGCACCTGTACTGTTAGGCTGCTGCCTTGCATTTCTTCCTCCTGCTGGTTTTTGAGAATTAGCAGTTTGTGAACCACCAGTTCCATTTCGCATACTTGGCTTCTGAGCATCATGTGCCGGTGCCCACGCCTTATAATTAGAATTTTGAGGACCCAATTGGACTTGTTTTGCAGCACTGCTACCAGCTCTGTTCTTGGATTTTCTGGAAATTACCGCCCACTCTCCATCGTCTTGTGCCGAGTCCAGGCTAATGTCTGCTACACCATGGCTCAACTGCTTAACCTTCGGGCTATTGACGTCACGAACTTCCTTCCCTTTGGAATTTCCACCACCTCTTCTTGAACTCATCCTGGACAACAATCCTTTCTCTTGAGGGACCAAAAGTTAAAAAAACACTTCAAATAGAAGTATCTAATACCTAGTAAGGGACATAAGTGCCCTGAAATCTCAGATTATAAATAGAAAACTTGATAAACCTAGAGCAAGGCTGTAAGACTTTTGTAGGAAATCTGAATGAAAACCCATAGAAAATCAACATTCTTAATAAAATTCTGCAGATAATCAACATTCTTAATAAACTTCTGCAGAAAATCAACATTCTCAATAAACTTCTGTAGAAAATCAACATTCTTAATAAACTTCTGTACAAAAATCAACATTCTTCATAAACTTCTGTCATACCCAATTCATAAATAATGAAAGAAAGACAAAAATTCTGAAACACCGAATTTTTAATACATTCAACATAATTAATGAAAATGAACATTAGAATCATTTAAAAAAAATGGTATAAACCCACATTTTGGGGAGCATGAATCCATTCAACGAAACAAAATAAAATATAAAAAAACATAAATCAAAACATCCGAAGTTGGGATTGCTCCCATGAACGCGATCAATAGTATGACCAATATCAGCCATGAACCCATCCAGCAAAATTAAAACATTAATAGAAGAATAAACAATAAAGAAGGATGTACCTGATGCCAATGAGATTACAAGAAACAAAAGATATTGGCGGAGCAGAGGAGGCGCCTTGCAAGATGAACTCCAACAGTCCACCTCTAGAGTCTAGACTCCAGAGACAGAGTGATGTGAAGAGTGTGTGGTGCCTAATCTGAGAAAATAACTTTCGTGGGTGTATATATAACCTATGTCTCTATCTCTCTTTTCACATGATACACTCTCTCGTAATTTGGAAATATTGTACAACTCATGTGCCTATAACTATTGTGTCATTTTAAATATATGACCACGTAACAAGGACCAATAACATAAATCCATGTCATACAATTCATTTCTTTCTTCACTTGATACAGTCGTAATTTAGAAAAAAAATCGTGCAATTAGTAACTGTTGTGTCTTGTGAAATAGACGACCACGCAATAAGGACCAATGACATAAAGTCTTGTCATAGACACTCTGTCTTTCTTCACGTGATACATTCTCGTAATTTGGAAAAAAAAATCGCGAGACTCGTAACTGTTGTGTCTTGTAAAATAGACGACCACGTAATAAGGACCAACGACATAAAGTCTTGTCATAGACACTCTGTCTTTCTTCACGTGATACATCCTCGTAATTTGGAAAAAAAATCATGAGACTTGTAACGGCTATGTCTTGTAAAATAGACGACCACGTAATAAGGACCAATGACATAAAGTCTTGTCATAGACACTCTGTCTTTCTTCATGTGATACATTCTCCTAATTTGGAAAAAAAATCGTGAGACTCGTAACTGTTGTGTCTTGTGAAATAGACGACCACGCAATAAGGACCAATGACATAAAGTCTTGTCATAGACACTCTGTCTTTCTTCACGTGATACATTCTCGTAATTTGGAAAAAAAAATCGTGAGACTCGTAACTGTTGTGTCTTATAAAATAGACGACCACGTAATAAGGACCAATGACATAAAGTCTTGTCATAGACACTCAGTCTGTCTTCACGTGATACATTCTCGTAATTTGGAAAAAAAATCGTGAGACTTGTAACGGCTGTGTCTTGTAAAATAGACGACCACGTAATAAGGACCAATGACATAAAGTCTTGTCATAGACACTGTGTCTTTCTTCACGTGATACACTCTCGTAATTTGGAAAAAAATCGTGAGACTCGTGTACTTATAACTATTGTGTCACGTGAAATATACGACCACGTAACAAGAACCAATGGCATAAAGCCATGTAATTATCAATCGCCAACCTTGACAAGAGTAATTACCGATGTTAAAGGTAAGTTTTTCTTGTTATCTAAAGAAAGTATACAGCTCATGTGCCCATAACTATCATGCCATGTCAAATAGATGACCATGTAAGAGCATCTCCAATAGCAGTAGCAAATTAAATTCTCAAATTAAAGTTTGTTGACATATGTGGCAATTTGGAAAGGTTTATTTGCTACTTTAATAATTTATGTCCCAACAGTCTCTCAATTCAATTAACGCAATATTATGGAAAAAGAAGAAGAAGGAAAAATACAAACATATGTGAAGAAAGTCTATGTATTTATTATTTGAAAAGAAAAAGTGTAGGTTTTTATCATTTTCAATGTAGGTTTTGTTCTTCCAAAGAAAAATTAAATGTTTTGAAGAGCTAAGGTCAACATGTCAGACTTGAAAAGAGAGACATAGGTTGCAGCTTTGGTGACTGAGTTTGACAAGTCTATTGGAGGGAGTTTTGTTGATGTGGCTCACTTATTTTAGCATTCCAAAGTTGTTGAAGAGGCTATTGAAGATGCTTTAACAATGGAGGTGTCAAATGGACCGAGCTGGCCGGCTTAAGTAAGGCCCGGCACGAAATGGCATGTATTTTTGGGCAGCGCCGGGATGAGGTAATTATGTCCAATAGGCGGGGCCAGCCCATTTAAAGCCCATTTATTAAATTATACTTGTTTTAGAGAAAAATCATACATAATATTATAATATTTATATGTTGAATTCAAGTCTATTTCTTTTCTCTAATAATATATATTAAAATTTAATGTTTTATTTATATATAAAATAATAATTTTGTTTTTCAAGTTCAATTTTTAAAACTCAAACAAAAATCTAGCCATTTTCTATTTAAATGTATTGTAAATAAAGTTATTGATTTTTTTTTTATAAAAAAAAATAATGAATCTTATTAGTATAAACATAATTGTAAAAAATATTAATATGAAAATTTACAAAAAAAAAAAAAAAAAAAAAAAAAAAAAAAAAATAATATATAAGTCAAATTTGGAGTGGGCCCCGTATTTGCTTGTTTAGTGGCCCGGCATGAGCATGGCCCTTAGGCTCGGGCCCTTAGGCTTGCGCCATGGGCTCGGGTCAGGATGAATGATTTTCCTAAATGGGCGGCCTGGGCACGACCCGTTTATTAAATGAACCAACTCTAAATTGGTCGGGCCAGCCAATTTGACACCTCTATCTAACAAGAACCAATGACATAATGCCATACCATCCTTAGTTGCCAACACTGATAAGAGTAGTTGCCCACATTGCATATACATTTCTCTCTTAATTGAAGAAATTCGTCTGGCTCATATGCTTATAACTATTATTAGCGGTAATATGGGCATTGGGAGAAGTCAAACTTGATTATTAATATGATAATTAATGAAAATTTTGATAAAAACCCAAGAAATGGGCCTACATTGATCCTAAAAAACCCAATGAGTTTTTCCCTATGAGTGCTTGCAGTGTTGTGTTAATATCTATTTTTCTAATAAAAAAGACATTAATTATGATGTCAATCCTATAATTAGTATATATAATGTTAATTAATAATTACCCTCTTAATGGAAGACGCATTTATAATTTGTGAAAAAAAAATGAAAAAATATAAAAATTGCAGAATGCAATGCAAATTGATTATGTCAATGAAAAAGACATTGATTATAACCAAACAGTTAATTTTTAATTCCTTTTTCATGCCATCTCTCAATTCAAATTGGACTCCAAAAATATAAATCAAACAATGCATTCACACAATTTTCTCTTTGTCAATGGAAGCAATAACTTGCTTGAAGGGTTTCAAGAAGACCCCTTTTTGGCATTTGGTCCAGAGATCGGAGAGATACAGCAGCAAAAAGAAACAAATAGTTGGTGAGCAGCTTACTTTCGCCCTCGAAAACCCACCACTTTCATTAGTGGCTGTTTGGTTCATGAAATGTTTCTCAATTATATTGTGTCACACAAGCTTTCGAATGGTATATGAAAACATAAACATTTTTAAAAATGTGAGAGTTACGCTGCTACAAAGTAGCCTTCGAAATGGTACGAAATTATTCTGCCCAAGATAAGTAAAAAGTAATAAGATTTGCAATAATTTCCGAATTTTGAACAGAAAAAAGTCGGCATTTGTTGGTTTGTTTGTTGATGCAAGGTTCTCCGTCGTGTTTGGTTTACCGTACAACACCCACAATAAGTTTAAATAGACCGAAATGTGAAATCCTAAATGGAGAGAAGATGACATTTTTTAGCAAAACCATGAATTTTAGGACTAAAAGAAGCTATTTTAATAAAATTTTCCTTTAAAGTTAGTCATGTGATGATGATCATATGTCACCAAATTTAATGAAAATTTTGTCATAATGCTATAGTAGGGACCAAATTGATGTATAAACCAAAAAATTAAGGACCACATTGATTAATTTAAAAATTGAGAACTAAAATGTGGATTTAAAAAAAATTCAAGGACACATGTGATAAACCTCATTTTAAATAATTTTTTTTATAAAAAAATTGGGTCTCTTAAAAAACAAGAAAGAAAAAGGGCTAGCATTTTTATTACGAAAGGCCACTTTAAAAAGAAAAAGCAAAAGATGATTTGGTTATCCCATCCCATCTCACCCCAAGTATAAAAATATAAAATAAAATAAATCGGGTCTAGTCTAGTGAGAGAGAGGGAGAGAGAAAGAGAGAGAGAGAGAGATATATATATATATATATAAATAATACGGGATATCGTCAATTTAGAAAAAATAAATAAATTAAATTAAATTTTATGTTAAGTTTGATGTGTTATATTTGAAGTCGTTAGATTATTGATGTTAAGTTTTGACAAACCAAAAGTTTTAGGTTCGAATCCTGATAACACTTTGGTAGAAACGAAAAAGAAACTCCATTCCTCTTATTGCTTGTATTAAAAACGAAAAAGAATAAAAATTATCTCCTTATCCTTAATTATTTGGGTCGATATCTCCTTATCTTTTTTATTGGTCGTAAAGAGAAGACAGTCCTTCAACAACGGTCTCGTTTTGCAACGGTCAAATAATTCAAAATTAAAACTTTTTCAACGGTAACAAAGACAGCGACAAAAATTCAAAACAAAATCTTTTATAAGGGACCAACAGAAAACGAGCAGACAAAAGTCCGCCAAGCTAATTCAAAACCCAAAATGCCTGTGCCTCATAATTTGGATTGCAAATCAGCACACAGTCTTAATCCAAACTCAAAAAACAACGCGTACCCATTTCTTCATTCTTAGGTTTTCCACGTCATCAACCTGCAGCTTCTTCGCACTCTGTAAGAAATTAAACTGTTTTTTTTTTTGCGGGGCCTGAAGGGTTTCTTCTGTGAACGAGATTTGAGCTGGTGTTTTGACTCTTAAGGTGAGAAGTGTTCATCACTTATTCGTTTATTCATTTTGGCTGCTGTTTTATTTTGCATACCATCTGTTGAAATTTCAAAAAACAGAAAGTATTGTGTTTCTTTTGCTAGCAATCTTGTTTTGCTTTGAGTACTGAGTGAAGAAATCATTTGCGTAATCCGAATAATTAAATGTACTTTTCGATATTTCTTCTATGTTAAGTCTCATCTTTCTGAGCGAAATCAAACATAAAAATTGCAGAGAGAAAAGAGAGGGATTGCTTTTTGTCTTTGTACTAGATTTCGAGTCTTATGCTAAGCAGCTTGGAACTTCTTCATTCAGTTTTTGATAGAGAGAGCATGTGGCTCTTTTGCTTCTTGTGTTTTGAATTTCAGATTCTGGTGCTAGAAGGTGCTAAGCTTTATGGGTTCTGAGTCTCCAGTCAATTTCTCAGGTGGATCTCCTAGGGCTAGGGTTCACCATGTTACCCAAACTAGCAATGACCTTGACAGTGACATTGGGGGTGTTGAATTTGCAACCTACACTGTCCACATACCCTCTACACCTGATAATCAGCCCATGGGAATGTCCATGGAGTGGTCCACTTCTCAGAGAGTTGAGGACCAGTATGCTTCCAGTTCTTTGTTTACCGGCGGTTATAATTGCATTACCCGAGCTCATTTGAAGGAAAAGGTGATTGAGTCCGTAACTAGCCATCCCCAGATGACCGGTGCGAAAGGGTCGAATTGCTCTGTGCCCGGTTGTGATGCTAAGGTAGTCACTGATGAGCGGGGAGTAGACATAGTCCCGTGTGAGTGTGATTACAAGATCTGTTTGGATTGTTATAGGGACGCTATAAGAACCGGTGATCAAATTTGTCCTGGCTGCAAAGAACCTTATAAGGAGCTGGATGTGAGTGAGTATGCTGGGAATAATGGGCAGCATCTGCAGGTGCCATTCACTTCGAAGATGGAGAGGAGGTTGTCGTTGATGAAGTCAACAGCAGTGATGGGGCGTCAGAGCAGTGAGTTTGATCATACCAAATGGTTGTTCGAGACAAAGGGGAGTTATGGATATGGAAATGCTATATGGCCAAAGGTTGCTGTGGATGGGAGCCAGGAGGGGATTGGCGGTGATCCTAAAATCTTTCATGACAAGCAATGGAGGCCACTTACGCGCAAACTGAATATCTCTGCTGCAATTCTGAGTCCTTATCGGTAAAACTCTTTTCCTCATTTGGTGCTTTCTGTTTTCCTCTGATCTGTTAATGTCTTCCCATTGTTTTTGTTTAGGTAGGGCTTTGCCATTCTCTTTGTTTTTGAATGTTACCTCAGTGTTTATTTCTACCTGCACTGTTTTTATCTTCTATCTTTTTCTTTTCACTGTGTCGAAATTATGAATTGCATTGTGCTAGTCTAAGATGTGATGTGTTACGTAGTTCTTGAACTCTGAAATTCATAACAAAGTTGTCCCCTAATGTCCAAGTACATTACATAGTTTAAGCTTCAAAAATATACCTCGGAGTTCATTACTACTCTTCTAATTAGTAACTTCATTGCCATTAGCTTTGAAGAATTTCCTTTTTGGTTTGAATTCAGCTTGAAAGTTAACCAATCCTTCTTTGTTGCACTCTTTCAGCTTTCTCTTCCATATTGTTAATTTTGATGCTGCAGAAGTAATTCCATATAAGCTAGTTAGAATTGTTTATACAGTATTGTCCATTATTTGCTTGAACAAGTTAATTGCAAGCTTAATTACATCTTTTTGGTGGGTGGGTGTATTCTTGCAGGATCCTAATATTAGTTCGAATGGTTGTCCTTGGACTATTTTTGCAATGGAGAATCAGAAACCCTAATGAGGATGCAGTGTGGTTGTGGGCTATGTCTGTCGTTTGTGAAATCTGGTTCGCCTTCTCCTGGCTACTTGATCAGCTTCCAAAGCTCTGTCCCATCAATCGCATTACTAATCCTGATGTTCTAAAGGAGAAGTTTGAATCACCTAATCCCAGCAATCCTACTGGAAAATCTGATCTTCCAGGCATAGATATTTTTGTATCAACAGCAGATCCAGAGAAGGAACCACCTCTTGTCACTGCAAACACCGTTCTATCAATTCTGGCGGCTGACTACCCTGTTGAGAAGCTTTCTTGCTATGTTTCTGATGATGGAGGTGCACTTTTGACCTTTGAGGCCATGGCAGAAGCTGCTAGTTTTGCTAATTTATGGGTGCCATTTTGCCGGAAGCATGCTATTGAGCCACGAAATCCAGAATCGTACTTCAATCTGAAGAGAGATCCTTATAAGAATAAAGTACGGCCAGATTTTGTCAAGGACCGCAGACGGTTGAAGCGTGAGTATGATGAATTTAAGGTTAGGATTAATGGCCTTCCTGATTCAATTCGAAGACGTTCGGATGCCTATAATGCTCGGGACGAGATGAAGGCTATGAAACTTGGGAGAGAGATTGGAAATGATGAAGCAGTAGAAAAGATAAAGATCCCGAAAGCTACTTGGATGGCTGATGGAACCCATTGGCCTGGCACTTGGACAGTTTCTGTGCCTGAGCATTCTAGGGGTGATCATGCCAGTATCATGCAGGTACATATGAGTTCCATTTGTCTTGTAAAATTTCACTAATGTAGTCTCAAGATGTCACTTCAAATTAATTAAACGTGCAATTGGTTTGGCTAGAAAGCTAATTTGTGTCATATGTTCATATGCAGGTGATGTTGAAACCTCCTAGTGATGAACCACTTAGAGGAACATCAATGGATTCAAGTTCCTTGGACCTAAGTGAGGTTGATATTCGTCTCCCCATGCTCGTTTATGTTTCTCGCGAAAAGCGGCCTGGCTATGATCACAACAAGAAAGCTGGTGCCATGAATGCTCTGGTTCGCGCCTCAGCGGTCATGTCCAATGGCCCCTTCATTCTCAACCTTGACTGTGACCATTATGTCTACAACTCCCAAGCACTGAGAGAAGGTATGTGCTTCATGATGGACCGAGGTGGTGATCGCATTTGTTACGTGCAGTTTCCTCAGAGGTTTGAAGGAATTGACCCTTCTGATCGCTATGCCAACCACAACACTGTTTTCTTTGATGTCAACATGCGTGCGCTTGATGGCCTTCAGGGTCCAGTGTATGTAGGAACTGGATGCCTCTTTCGTCGCACTGCCCTTTATGGGCTTTGATCCTCCTCGGGTGAAAAAGTGTCGTAATGGTTGCTGTTGCTGCAGTGGTTTCTCTGCCCGTCGTCGCACAAGGAAATCTTCTTCATCAGTTGCTTCTGCCCCTGAAGTTGCCTCCCAAGACTGCCAATCAATTGAAGTTGGAGAGTTTGGTGATGATGAAGAAATGAATCTTGCTCTTGTTCCTAAAAAGTTTGGAAACTCAAGCTTCCTTGTTGACTCAATTCGAGTGGCAGAATTCCAAGGTCGGCCCATTGCTGATCATCCATCCATGAAACATGGACGGCCCCCGGGCGCTCTCACTCTCCCTCGGGAGCTTCTTGATGCATCAACGGTTGCAGAGGCAATCAGTGTCATCTCATGCTGGTACGAGGACAAGACTGAATGGGGCCAGAGAATTGGGTGGATTTATGGATCAGTAACTGAAGATGTGGTGACAGGTTACCGGATGCACAACCGTGGATGGAGATCTGTTTATTGTGTTACAAAGAGGGATGCTTTCAGAGGGACTGCCCCCATCAATCTTACTGACCGGCTGCATCAGGTGCTCCGATGGGCTACTGGCTCTGTTGAGATTTTCTTTTCTCGCAACAATGCTCTTCTGGCCAGCTCAAGGATGAAAATTCTGCAAAGGATCTTTTACCTGAATGTGGGAATGTACCCTTTCACTTCCTTTTTCCTCATTGTCTACTGCTTCCTTCCCGCGCTCTCCCTCTTTTCTGGTCAGTTCATTGTTCAGTCCCTCAACATAACCTTCCTGGCATACCTCCTGGGCATCACAATCACCCTCATTCTTCTCGCCGTGCTGGAGATCAAGTGGTCTGGCATTGCACTGGAAGAGTGGTGGAGGAACGAGCAGTTTTGGTTGATTGGAGGCACAAGTGCTCATCTAGCTGCTGTGCTGCAAGGCCTTCTGAAGGTGATAGCAGGAATAGAGATTTCCTTCACTTTGACATCGAAATCTGGTGGTGACGATGCAGATGATGAGTTTGTTGATCTCTACATCTTCAAATGGACGTCTCTGATGATACCACCCATCACCATCATGATGACAAACTTGATTGCAATTGCAGTTGCAACTTGTCGAACGATATACAGCGTGATACCGCAGTGGAGCCGGTTGCTTGGAGGCGTGTTCTTCAGTTTCTGGGTGTTGGCTCATTTGTATCCGTTTGCCAAAGGGCTCATGGGAAGAAGAGGGAAGACACCCACCATTGTGTTTGTGTGGTCTGGTCTTATGGCAATCACCATTTCTCTCCTTTGGGTGGCTATCAGCCCCCCATCAGGCACTAATCAAATTGGGGGCTCATTCCAGTTCCCTTAGTTTGTCTAGTTTACTAGTATTATTTTATTTGTTTTTTGTCCAACTAAATTCAACTTCAAGGCTGAACCCGTAGGAATTTTCATGTCTCAGTGAAATGTAAATTGTTTTAGCTATTTGTTTTTTTTTTTATTACTCATTTGGATTTGATGTTCAAATTGTGGGGTTTATTCAAATTTGATGTGGTCATACCAATATAAATTGTACCAATGTTTCAAAGCTCCATGGACATAGAAAATAGCAATGAATATACATAATGCAGAGCAAACAGTGAAAGACTACCAAGAAAACATGGCTTTCAGGATTTAAAATTGATCCATTAACCATATAATAGGAATTTCAACTGCCGAAAATTTAATGAGTATTTATTTGAATAACCCGTTAAACATTTCATGATTTGGAAATTAATGGGCAATTTATAGACAACCCATTAATTTGTTTTCGGGCTCTTGACATTTTATCAGTTAGCACATGAGCAAGGATCGATCAGTGGCCTTCTTGAAACATCACCAAAAGTGTCCGAGAATGACACCTCCTCCTTTCCTTAAGTCAAAGTAGGCAATATGATCCACTTTGTAATTGGAAATCAACCCAATGGAGCAATGAGGCGTCAACCTCTTTCTTGCTTCCTCTGTTTTGGGTGAAATTCTATAGTGTAGGTGCCATATATGGACCCCTCATGTTGATCTTCATATTAGCAACATGATCATTTCATTAAACTTAAGTGAAGTTACTATTCAAATGAATCTTGTGGCTAATATAAAGGTCCACACATCCATGGTTCATATATGACAGTGACACCCTCACCATAGAACGACTCCTTATTTTTTATGGCTCTTTTTCTTCTTCTTTTTTTTCGTCCATATGCACCCAAAACACATGATGAAGAAATCATCCGAGAGGGGGATGTGCGAATGGCCTCTCTACTCTCTTCTTCTTTTTTTTTTGTTATTTTCCCTTTTTGTTTGTTTGTAGCACAGTTTGTATCCAAACTCAGTCATGTAATCGTGCAGCCTAGAGAAGTTCATTAGAGTAGTTTAAGAAGTTTGTGACAACTGGATGGTATCTCTTTTTTCTCTCAGTACCCCAATCTTCTAGCATGGGACTGATCATAATTGTAGCTAAACTTATTGCTATGGGAGGTATCGGAGTGGAAAGAAAATCCATGACACTGAAGACAAAAGTCGAGCACAGAGTGAATAATAGAACATACCTCGACGAATTTCTTCCAGCAAGTGAATTCATTCCATAAGGGTGCTTGCTTGATGACGGTGCTTAACTTCTCAGATAGCAAAATTACAGCTCTCATGGTCTTACATATGAAACATTTCATTGAAAACAAGTAGACACCTGCCTTTCCTCATGAAAACTACACCCTAACTGTCTTTTCATGATTCTCATTAGAGTGATTCTGTAAAGCGCATGCCTTTCTGTCTAGATATCGTTATTCAACTGATACAAGACCAATAATACTTCCTCCATTACAATTTACACCTGGTGATCCTCTCACATAGAATTCAAGAAGAACCCCATCGATTTCAATCATGCTACAGCTCGGGACCTCCTTTTTTATCCCTGTTTCTTTCATTAAGGATTTGATTCTCTTTACGTCATCAAATCTACTAGCTTTGAGATATCTATCACAAAAGTTCACATAAAAAGCATGGTTCAGAGGTTCCAAATCAATTAAATATTGCGCCACCCTTTCTCCTAACTCGACCTTTCCATGTATTTGACAGCCTCCGAGCAATGCACCCAAAACAAATGTATCTGGCTTCATTGGCATGCTTCTTATAAGCATATCAACCCGGCACGACTAAGCATATCAACCATGCTTGCATAGTGATAGAGCTGCGGTTCAATTAAGTAAACACGCTTCATCACACGAAAACACCAGCGACCTTTCTCTACTAAACCAGAATGAGCACAAGCTGACAATAGCCCAACAAATGTCACATGGTTCGGCTTCACCCCAGTTGTTTCCATTTGTTTAAAAATATCAAAAGCCTCATTGCCAAACCCATGGAGAGCCAGCACTGAAATCATAGTTGTCCATGCCAAAGTATCCTTGTTGGGCATTTCCTGAAAGACCTCATACGCTTTGTCTACACATCCGCACAATGACCACATTACTCGCCAGGCAACTTCTCCTCAGGTACCCATGCACCCATATCCCAGGATCAAATGCACCAAGATGAGCACAAGCTGCAAGGACACTGGAAATCGTGATCTTATAATTATCCGGTCTAACCATATCACCACTGGTGATCTGGCCTCCTTTGGCCGACCACCTTGAACAAACAAGGTCAAACAATATGTACTACAATCACATTGATCGTATAACAAAAGTTCAGCAGAATACCTCTTATGTATCAATCACATACTCGAGAATCTATTGTATCTGAAGATTCGATATAAACCCTTCTATGTCCTGGGTCATATACAATAGATACTCGAGAATCTATTGTATCTACGATCAGACCCCAAAACACAAATTGCATTGGGTGTAAGCATAGTCTAAAATATCGATAATATCGATGAAATATCGAGGATATTATCGTTTTTTCGAATCACGGATATTTCGAAATATATCCATGCACATATCGTATAAATGTTGAGAATATCGACGATAATATCGGAAAATATCTACGTCGATAATTTCGCTCACACTTCAGCAATATTTTGTTACAATATCGCTATAATATTGCTAAAATATCAAAAATATCGATGTAATGAAAAAAAGGAAAAAAAAATGGAAAAAAACACAAAGGGGATTCAAGGTGTTTCCTCTTGTAAAATTAGTCATCCTTGGTTTGCTTTGTATTGTGGCGTTCAAGTGGTAAGTTCTTTTTTCTTATGAATATTGAGACATGGACAGGCAAGGAATGATGGACCTTACAATTCTTGCTTCGACAAAGTTCACACATATATTATTTTTTTTTTTTTTTGTTTGGACGTATAAAAATGAGACTCTTGGAACCAATTTCCTCTTAATTTGTATAAAAATGGGGGCCATTCTGCACTGTTTACCCTTGCTACTTTCAAGTGAGGTCCTAAGAGGGAAGAATGTCGTTTCTAGTATTAACACAAACACTTTTTGCAAGTATAAAATTTTTACATGAGAATGAATCTTTGACCTTCCCTTTTCAAGTTTCAAGTTTTCAACTATTCACCACGTTTCAACTTATATCACTTACCCCACCATTCAACCACTCACCTAATACACATAGAGATGAAGATAGTGAAAAATTTGAACCTCATAGGAACTCTATGTGGTACTAAGTCACTTATGTATCTTACTATGCAACGTATAAATGTAAAATATTGTAGTAAATCATTATATATAAATGATTGTGGTGTTTTTAATATTCTTTCATTAAGTACTACATATTTTTCTACACTCACAGTGTTTGTCAGCTCACTATATAATCAACTTAAATTAGTTAAATGCATCATGCAATGCATTTCCTTCCAATTTTTTGTGATAAACTAATAGATACTTGACTAAATAAGCATCCTCCAAAGTTTCAATAAAAATTTCCAAGTTTTTCTAACAATTTCCGTGGTTTTTATTCAATTTTTATCAATATCAATAATATCCCGATATTTCCATCGAAATTTCCGTGTTTTGGACTACCGATATTTCTGATATCACCAATATTTTAGACCTTGGGTGTAAGTCAAACCGCACTTCTCTTTCTTTTCCACTTTTCTCTTTTGTAGAGAATCTCTCGTCAGAGAACTTTGAGATTGATCCTGAAGAATCTATAGGGTCAAACTTTAATGTATAATCTTCTTCTACACCACTCATATGTCCTGCATGGAACCAGTAAACAAATAATTCAGATGGAATCACAAATTCCATATTACGATTAGGATCAAAATGGTTTGCTTCTGGTCATTGGTTAGGGAAAGGTAGATACGGTTAAAATAATAATATTAAATAGATCTAACTATGATCACAATTATGTATCCCAAACCAAACTATAAGCACATAGCAAGAACATCCTCTCAGACAAAGCTATATGGCCACAACTGACAAAAGGGATCAGGGAAATTAGTAATTGCTTGTATATATGGCCTCCACCTTCCATTCCACCTATATAAAATCACACTATTTCCCTTGCTTAGTCACAAAGCAGAACAACTTTGTACAACAAAAATAACTTCAGTATTATAGCTCTACCTCTACCATTATTTTCAAATATGACAAAACCTACGTATATCCTTGGCTAGCCTATGTTTTGCATGACAGGGCTCTACTGCATGATCAGAGAGGCTGCAAATTTCATTAAGCCAAAGCAATCGTAGGGCAACTCTTGTTTGGCAGGTCAATGAAATTGATTGTACATTTGTAGCTGCATCAGTCACCGGTGCCTGCCAAGAAAGAGGAGCCTTATGACTGCTTTGCTTATTTGACAAATATACTTCTTCTAGTATGCATAGATGCTCCTGCTTGTGTTTCAATGATGGACCGGCACGAGTTATATAAGGGCTCAAAGACTCCAATAGATGGAATAAACCAGTAAGCACACATGGCATATCCTGAGGATTATGCAGTGAAAATCCATCAAGGGCTGCTTTTCAAGGATTTTGTTGGAGCCAGGGCTCATTCTGCTGCTAGATTTTTCTCCTCCTTATCCGAGCCTTGGAAGCTGCCCTTCTGATATGAACCCTTAAATTGCTTGTATTATTTTGGATTTTCTTATTGAAATACAGGCTAATGTTGCTACAGGTTGGAAGGCATGTAATCTATGGAACGCTGCGTGAGACGGGTTATCGAAATGCTGGAAGATGACTTTAAGCTCACTATGGCCCTCTGTGGCTGCCCTGGTGTTACGGATATTACCAGGAGCCATGTGAGAACAGAATGCGACAAACTCCACTCCTTGCTTTAATTTGTTTTAGAAGCATCAAAATGAAATTATGCAGAGAGATGGATGAAACGAGAATGAGGCCATCAATTATTTGGGAAACTGCTTCAATTAACAGGTATTGGAATTCAACTTGTTTTTTCTTCTCTCTCATATTGTAATTCAACTTCATTAAACGGCAGGTTAAATTTATATTTACTATGGAAGTGATAGCATAACATGTGTTTACGTGTCACCGGAGAGAACCATCTTTCGGAAGTCAATTTCCTATGCAAGGTGCATAGCTTTGATCAGCATTTCAACTCGATACATTCAAGGTGCTAGGCGGGAGGCCACTGCTGCGATTTCATCCTAATCGTAAGGAGTAGCCGCCGGGGAGTTGGGCGCCGCCTAGGCCACCTAGCACCCTCCTAGGCCGCCTAGCGCCCGCCTAGGCCGCCTAGCGCCCGCCTAGCCCGCCTAGCCCGCCTGGGCTGGTCTGGGCTGGCGTTTTGCCGTTGAGACGTCGATGCTTAAGGTGGCACTGAGGCGCTACATGAAGAAAGACCGAGAAAGAGAGATGAAGTCGAAACAGCGAGAGGAAGGAGTGCAGGCTGCGCTGGGAAGAAGAAGACATATAACCTAATTTTTAATATAACTAACGGGTTGGGTTTTGTAAAATGGGCTTAAACATTGTAATAAAACGGCCCTATATTAAAAAAAGTAAACTTTTTTTAGCAGTTTTTATATTATTTAAAATATCAAAGATACAAAAAATACAAAAGTAAAAGTTGTATAATATCAAGGTTTGCAAATGTTAAATTTATTAACCACCATAATAATTACGGCTACTTGAATCTCATCGAATATTTAAATAATATTTACTGCCAAAGTATTTACATATATAATGCAGTTTGCACCATTAATATGATATTATCTTACAAGGAACTGAACACGTTCCATTTAATAGGGCAACATCATAGTAGTGGGAAAAATAAAAACAAAGAAAAGGTTTCAATGTCCATGCAAAGATTCTATATGTTACCTCCATTATGAAACTAGAACCTGCATGAAGAAGATGAATTGGAGCCATTATTGCGCTCAACTTTTCTTCAATGCTTAAATCTGAATATTCGCCTTCCATCAGTCCTAACAACCATACTTCTCCTGGATGGCTCTCATCAATTTTGGTGTATACTATCACCACGTTATCTTTACTTTTGCCATAGTTCATATAAGTACAATTTTTTCATTTGGGAATTTCCTGAATTGCACCCAGAATCATCATCACTACTACATGTACCACTGTCACCGAGGTCATCATCAATTGCTCCAGAGTCTTCGGTATCTAATTGGGATTCCTCCACTTTCTTTTCAGAAGAATTAATACGTGCACAATATGTGGATGATGAAATCTTTTCAAATAATGTAATTTATCACTTGAAAGAGTTGAACCAATTAAAGACTCTAGTTCCTCTATTCCACTAGAAAGGTTCAATTCAGAAATTTGCAAAACAAAAACAAAGTCCATCACTAATTCAAGTGTAATATCACATGAGATTATGATAACAATATTTTCAAGAAAATTACCTGCAATGACTTCGCCAACTCAAAATCTTTCAACCCATGAATTCCTCGCTCCAGCAGAACTCCAAACAATTCACCCTTCAAAGTACCAGAAAGTAAATAAAGGCTCCTACGCATGTCTAGTCATTAAAGCAAATAATTCTAGAGACAAGCGGAGACAAATAAACATATGCTCAGCAGATGTTATTTAGGAATGCACAATAATGCCAACAAGCAAAACTGAAGAAACTATTGTAAAGATATCAACGGTCCTCACTCTGCCACATGTCAGAAGATTGAAGAAGAGAGTTGTTGAAATATTGTTAAGACTGTTAGACAGTTTTTAGCAAAAGAGTTAGTGTTCTGTTAAAGAAGTTAGAGAGGTTAGGAGGTTAGAAACATATATACAAAGCTTTGATAAGCTAATATAAAAACTATCACTGTACTGTGTTGAAAATTATCAATGAATGAATACATCAGTTCTTCTCCTAAGATTTTCTGCTTCTCTCTGTTAAATCTCTGTTCAATATTGCTATTCTGACAACTATTTCCTTTAACATTCAATCACTACATGTTATATGTAAAACCTAAAATTTCTGATTTTGGTCCTTAAGTATGGAAAATGAATCTATCCAACTGGGGCTCTGCCTCAAGGTAGAAACAGATTATTCGGGGTAATGACAGATCTTAAATGACTATTGCCAATAAGGCTTTGAATGCTCAAGGTTTTGGTTGATGAGCACATATTATTGGGCATCTATAGCACTTAACTTGCAGAATACAGATGTGTTGATAATTAAATACATTTACTAGAGAGGAAATGGAGCTTAGAAAAATCAATTGCAACTATGGGAGTTTAATTAGAAGACCTTGCTAAGGGCATCCCTTCACATTGCACCTTGCTTTGAACCAAAACCAGCGGCAACCAGTACTTGACGCAGTATTTCTGTCCATGTTAAAGGGTTTAGCGATCCCTTCCAGAATTCCAGAGTGGGTTCTTGATTTTCAACCTGCCAAATCATTTGATAGAGATGCTTAGTTATTGAGTACTTCCATTCGATTTTTTCATAAAAATATGAAAAAACAATTGATTTAAGAGATGAGCAAAAAAGTCTCAAATGTTTGACAAAAATAAGTATCTCTAATGAACTATACCACAAAAAGCAAGTGGATCTTCTAAAAGTGCATATGGATGGAGTACCAATAGTCTGATTATGATTTTGTTCAGAAAATTTCTTGTCGCCTAAGCGTATCTATCAGACATTCTGGAATGGACACCTTCTCTGTAGTCACACCAAACTTTTGATTATTAGCTGATATCTTCTTTCCTATATTCTTTAAATGTATATGATATCATTTTGCTACTTTCAGCGGTATTTAACTTCCCTGTAAAGAAACATGTCAACAGTCTTATAGATTGCATTCACTTTTTGTTACCAACAAAGTTCCAAACATATGAGCCTTTAGAAAACTACTGCGACATATATGTACCCAAATGAAATGGTCAATATGACTGTACAACATTATCATAAGTTAAATGAACTGTAAATGTCTGTGATCTGCACAATTATATGCTGTTTGTTCATAACTCACCGAGTGAATAAATGCAAGAAAATTGCATGATTTGCTCAAATGAGGTATATAGATCCACAGCCAAGCTCGGCTTCAACGTTAGATAGAAGAAGCTTCGGAAGGGCCACATGAATTTTCCAAGTAGCAAGGAATCCTAGAAGGCATTTTACGAAACAAAGATGTTGAGCAAGTAGAAGACACAATAAATCCGATGTTGGATCAAAGATAAGATATAACCTTGTCCTGAAATGCTTGGGCAAACTCATCAATCGTTAAGGAGCTTATATCTACCTACCATAACAGCATAAGTATAAAGGAAATGGAAAACCTGCCCAAGAAAGTCAACCCAGAATATATTTGAGTACGAATAACTAAAACAAAATGTAGCAATCTGAATTGATGACCCCCAGACACATTTATAACCCCACCCACAAACAAAAAAAAAAAAAAAAAAAAAAAAAAACAGCAATCTAGAGTGGTGCTTTAACACTGCACATCTTTTCACTCGCCAGTTTCCAAAAGGAATCTTAAAGTTGACAAGATAATAATAAATTCCTACACTCTGTACGAACTACACAAAAGAGAGTTACAACTTACAATTAGATTCCAATATCAAATATAGACCACATTCCATATGTCTCTAGTACTTTATATATCTTTTTCTTGAATCATAGTTTGCATAACATCTCTGCAAGAACAACCTATGACTTCAATCTATGCAATGAGAGCGTCGATGAAAAAGATTGGTAAGGGTAATGAGAGACCATTAGGTAGTATTAGCGAGCACAAAATAATTATTCCAAGATTTTATAGGTCGTATAATCATGAATAATAAAACAGACCTCATAAATAAGAAAAAGCAAATGCAATAATAGATGGAGTGTATGACATCTTTCACAAACGATGTCCCATATTTGCAAAAGAACTTAACAAAATCTGGCCACAAACAGTTTGCAATTCATATACCTTGAACAGTTTCTTGACAATCTCTGGAGAAGAATGCCAAGGTTGCATACAGAATGGATGCTTCATCTTCACAGAATTTGGAGGAAACTTGGCCAGAAAATCTGAAATCCCAAAAACAGTTTGCAATTCATATACCTTGAACAGTTTCTTGACAATCTCTGGAGAAGAATCCCAAGGTTGCATACAGAATGGATGCTTCATCTTCACAGTATTTGGACGAAACTTGGCCAGAAAATCTGAAATCCCAAAAATTCCTTATCCACAGCTCAAAATACCATACATGCAGACACATACATATTACCGCATTTCATTTTAGAGTGGAAAATTTGTTCCGTTCTTCCTTCAAACCAACCTTTGCAAAGCGAACAGGCATGATCTCCATTAGTAGTAAAATGATCAGAGCACCCCAGTGCATTTGGCCATCCTTGTAATTCTCTCAGCTCCAGCTCTTCATCATCCACAAGCATTGCAATCTTATCCGAGTGTTCTTGGGAACCTGCTCCTTCCAAAGCAAGTTCACATTTTTCTTCGCTTGGCAGAATCTGATTCTCATTGTTAGATTCCACCTTGCATCCAAAAGCAAAATGAATGTTGCTAAATCTGCTACCTTAAACCACATATTTGCAAGAACAATTTTTTCACTTACCACTCTTCTTTTGAAGAAATATTTCCTCTTTTCTTGTACCTTATTTCGTACCCGTCCCTGTTTCTGTAAATGCAACAAATGTCAGACAACTTTCCAAAGGTAACCACTCAGATCGACCTTTAAGATGATCATCCCAAAAGACTTTCTCACATATCTGCAAGCAATACAGACTAAATCACATTTTTGTTGTTGCAATCTTCTGTTCCGAGTTACTGGTTTTTGCTGTACACAAGTTAGTGAAACCCATGTCAACAGGAAAATCTCTAGCATCAGGATTGGTTGTCCGCCAGACCATCATCAAACCTTTTCCAACTCAGGGTTTTTTTTTAATTTATAATAAACAGAGTATAGCTCTATACTGCGGTTTTATTATAAAAACAATTAGTATAGCCGCGCGGCTATACTGTTTTTGACACGTGGGGAAATCGGTGGTAATATAAATAGTATAGTAGCCGCTAGGCTATACTCGTGCTTTTTTAATAAAAAGAGTATAGCCGGGCGGCTATTTATTTTTAAAAAGTATAGCCGCGCGGCTATACTTTTTTGGACACATGGCAAAATGGGCTCCAGCTTCAGGCGGGGCCCTTTTCTATAAATAGTATAGTCGCCCAGCTGTACTCCGGGTTTCGTTTTAAAAAGCGTATTGCCACCCGGCTATAGTCTCGATATTTTTTTTCAAAGCTGCTTTACTTGGGTCATTTTTTTGTAAATATTATAGCTAGACGACTATACACTTTACATAAGACACCATTACCATTTTGAGTTTACCAGTAGTTTTGGAAGAGTTCCATTAAAATGATTTTCAGAATAGATTTTCTATTTAAACCCCACACTTCTCTTAGTTCACCCCTTGTTCTAAGCTCACCCCAACTTTTAATTTAAATTTTTACAATTTCTAAGTAAACCCCATTATCTTCCCAAACTACCCTTAAATACACCCCAAGCTGAAAAAATAAGAAATAAAAGAGATTTTCTATTTAAACCCCACAAGCAACCTTTAGAGGAAAAAATTTTTTTTTTTTTTTTTTTTTTTTTTTTTTTGGTGGGTTTGGGGTTGTATGAGTTAGGAAAGTGGGGCTGCTCGGTGTTTAAAAGTTGAAGACATGGAAAATTGGTTTTCCAGGGGGGAAAAGCTTATTACTTGTGTTGCTTGTGTCACTAATATTTTCTGATGATTATATATGTTTTAAAAAAAGCAATCAACAAAGGGAAGAGAATAAGATCATTATAGCGAAACAATCAACAAATCTTTCCATCAGCTTTCGCACAGATTTCAAAGTGGTAGGCTCGTCAATGTTCAACGTCTTTAAAAGAGAAAAGTAATCTGGCATATGTAGAAGAGTTTGTATTTTTTTAAAACTTAATTTGAAGAGTTGTGGGGTGTGTGGTGTGTGTGTATAGATGTATTAGGGTTAAGTATTAAGTTGGATGACCTTTTTTGTCTTTTTACACAATAATAAAATTTACAGCTTAATGATTTAAGTATTAGGGTGAACTAAGAGAAGTGTGGGGTTAAATAGAAAAAATCTTTTCAGAAATGCTTGCCTCTTCTAGGAATGTTAGATTTCCCAAGGACACTGGAATTGGACCTGATATTGAAGTACTCAAAAGAGCAAGGAGGCGTAAATGTCTGAAATTTCCCAGCTGAAAAATAATTTGTTGACAGCTTCAGTGACTCCATTTCACCTGAACTACACCTTGACAAGTTTCCCAATATTTCTGATACGCTTCCATTGAAATAGTTCCTTGACAGACCAAGAACCGTCAAGTTACAAAGATTTCCCAATGAGTTTGGGATTTTCCCTTTAAGTTGATTAGCAGACAAGTCAAGATTGACAATGGCTGTGAAGTTTCCAATGGAACTTGAAATTTCACCTCGCAAGAGATTCAAATAAAGGGATAGGGACTCAATATTGCTACAAGTGCACAACCATTGAGGTATATATGGTACCCCAGATGATGTTCCACCTGAGATTAAGAACTTCAAGCCTTGTCATGTTTGCAACACCAACTGGTATTTGATTGAGTTCGCAACTGGACATATGCAAATCTACCAACATAGAGGGGAGTGTGTTTGTCACCTGAAACCAATCAGATGCTTTGCTAAGATCTACACGACTCGTGTCCAGGTTCTGCAAGCTCGAAAGACCAGAAAGCCATTGGAGATTTTCAACCTTCATCCAGTAGTAGCTTTTACTCTGGAGTCCTAGAAAGCGTAGACTCGAGAGATTTCCCAATTGATGCGGAATTATTCCAGCGAACTTTGAGTCTGAGAGGTTAAGATATCTTAAACTTCTAAGAGAACCTAAGAAGCTAGGAATCTGTATTCCTCCAAAATCATTGTTGCTTAGATCCAAGTAGCTCAGATGCTTTAAATTTAGTTAACCTTGCCACCCAAAGAGTTTTCTTGATACAAACTGTAATTCAGATACTCATCTGAATAATAATTCCCACGGTGCAGCTCACCAACATGACCGGTTAGATTGTTGCAGACAACTCCAGTCCAATTGCAAGAATCTCCCTCACAAACCCAAGATAAAAGCCTATTTGAAGGATCCTTAAGATCTTGCCTGAACATTAGAAGTGCTTGTCTCTCATTTTGTTTACAAGGCACTCCCAAATTTCCATTGCATAAGCTAATGGTAGTAATGGTTGCAATGCTTAGAAATCTGAAAACTGAAACAATTCTCATGGCTTTGTCCATGAGGTTATGTCTTAATGGGTGATGTGTGTGAGCAATATAACTCATTTAGAATGGTGCAATATATACACATACTACTACACTAGAACTGAGAGTGAAGGTCCAAACTCAATATTTTTTTCAAAATCATTTTCAAAAACGGTGAACAAAGTCGTTGAGTATGTAGACTAGTAATAAGTTATGGGTTTATCCAGAGAAAGAAGACAGAAAAAAATAGAAAAGAAAGTGTGGGATGACTTGATTAAAAAAACAAAAGCAAAATAAAAGATTAGCATAACCTCTTCGGCTGGCGGGGACTGAATTCAAACTTTGTAAGAACGTATAACTAGGTAAAGTTTCAAAAGTTGAAAACACATAACAGACATGAAGAAAATGAAACAAACAAACAAATAATTCAGATGGAATCACAAATTCTGTATTACGATTAGGATCAAAATGGTTTGCTTCTGGTCATTGGTTAGGGAAAGGTAGATACGGTTAAAATAATAATATTAAATAGATCTAACTATGATCACAGTTATGTATCCCAAACCAAACTATAAGCACATAGCAAGAAGATCCTCTCAGACAAAGCTATATGGCCACAACTGACAAAAGGGATCAGGGAAATTAGTAATTGCTTGTATATATGGCTTCCACCTTCCATTCCACCTAAATAAAATCACACTATTTCCCTGCATTGTGCAAAGACACAAGCTAAAGTCACTTTGCCTGCTTGCTTAGTCACAAAGCAGAACAACTTTGTACAACAAAAATAACTTCAGTATTATAGCTCTACCTCTACCATTATTTTTCTTTATTGATCCATGGACTAATCTGTCATGCAGAATCCTTTGCCCCATGTACCTGCACCACATGCACAACAAGCGAAACCAAAATGCAGGTTTAAGCAGCAATTAGTATAAGATTTTCGTGAAGATTGTGTATATATGATATGTTTTCCAAGTATATATTTGCCTTCCAAGCATCATGACAGTAGCTTCAGGATTAGCACCCGGGGTGTGATAAAACGTTGAACCATCAATAACCCTCAGAGAATCAACACCAAGAACTCCATATCCTTTATCAACAACCCTCCCAACTTGACACCCTCCATGATAGTGCCATATGGTCTGTTGGAAATTTTGGAAATAACATATATTATTAAAGCCTTAAATTTTGGAAATTTTGCGAAATACATACAGTTTAGGAAATTCTTGCAATGAATCTAGATGGGAATTCTGAATTTCCACAATCATCATACCTTTGGTGCAAATAAACCATCATATAGAAAATAGGGAGCAGAATCTTCAAAACAATAACAAAAAAGGAATCTTGGGTGGGAATCACAAACAACGATTGCAAAAAATGGGCAGCCCAGCGCCTAGCCGCTGCCTAGGCCGATTTTTCCAACACTGTTTAAAACTCCTACAAACTATTTCTTCAGTTGTTCTCAAATGATCCATAACTCTAATTAACGAGCACAAAATGACATACACAAGGGAATCACAAACAACGATTGTGAAAAATCGGTCGCCGAGCGCCTACTCGCCTAGGCGGCCGCCTAGGCAGATTTTCCCAACACAGTTTAAAACTCCCACATACTATTTCAGCTGCTCTCAAATGATCCATAACTCTAATTAACAAGCACAAAATGACATACATATGGGAATCACAAACAACGATTGCGAAAAATCGGCCGCCGAGCGCCTAGGCGGCCGCCTAGCCCCATTTTTTTCCAACACTGTTTAAAACTCCCACAAACTATTTCAGCTGTTCTCAGATGATCCATAACTCTACTTACCAAGCACAAAATGACATATATGCATATATATGCATAGTTCGAGTATGAAATTACCTAGATGGCATCGATGTCATCCTCAGGTGAGAGCTGCTGGTCTCTCGACGAGCTCTCTTTTCCTCAGCTTTCGCTGCTTTCTCTTTGCCTTTTCCTGGCTTCTTCGTCTTCTTCGTCTTCTTCCCCATGTCTGGAAACACTGCCAAAGAGGCCCACACTCGGCGCGAGGAAGAAGAGAGAGTTATCTAGACGACGCTAATATTTAAAAATAGTATAGCCGCTCGGCTCTACTATTTGTGACGCATTCGCCAGTAGGGTCCTTTTTGTTTATGAACAGTATAGCCGTTCGGCTATATGCGGTTTTTGTTTTTAATTAAAAAAGTACTTAATAAAAAGAGGAAAGCCGCGCGGCTATACATAATTCTGAGTGGTTTATTCTTCTTTCTAGGATGGTATTTATGTGTACAAGTATATACAACAAAACGAAAGTAATTACAATCCCATCTAATACGGGAATCCTATAATTTTACAAGATTACAATTCCTAATTTAAATCAATTAAATGATTTGCGCCAACATTCTCTCTTCAAAGGTACATGTGAAAAAAAAAATCAAGCTCTTTTGAGACTTTCTAATAACATAAACTTCTTTCTTAAGTCTGATTACCGTGCCATAGTTTGCAAAGATTTTTTTGACGATATACTCAACATTTGCAGGATCTGTTGTGATGTGGTGATAACATAATTTATGAACAAGTTAAGCGCCTTATAAGTTTTGTGTTTGTATCCAAACTCAGTCATGTAATCGTGCAGCCTAAAGAAGTTCATTAGCGTAGTTTAAGAAGTTTGTGACCACATGATGGTATCTCTTTTTGCTCTCAGTACCCAATCTTCTAGCATGGGACTGATCATAATTGTACCTAAACTTATTGCTATGGGAGGTACGGAGTGGAAAGAAAATCCATGACACTGAAGACAAAAGTCGAGCACAAAGTGAATATTAGAGCATACCTCGAGGAATTTCTTCCAGCAAGTGAATTCATTCCATAAGGGTGCTTGCTTGATGACGGCGCTTAACTTCTTAGATAGCAAAATTACAGCTCTCATGGTCTTACATACGAAACATTTCATTGAAAACAAGTAGACACCTGCCTTTCCTCATGAAAACTACACACTAACTGTCTTTTCATGATTCTCATTAGAGTGATTCTGTAAAGCGCATGCCTTTCTGTCTAGATATCGTTATTCAACTGATACAAGACCAATAATACTTCCTCCATTACAATTTACACCTGGTGATCCTCTCACATAGAATTCAAGAAGAACCCCATCGATTTCAATCATGCTACAGCTCGGGACCTCCTTTTTTATCCCTGTTTCTTTCATTAAGGATTTGATTCTCTTTACGTCATCAAATCTACTAGCTTTGAGATATCTATCACAAAAGTTCACATAAAAAGCATGGTTCAGAGGTTCCAAATCAATTAAATATTGCGTCACCCGTTCTCCTAACTCGACCTTTCCATGTATTTGACAGCCTCCGAGCAATGCACCCAAAACAAATGTATCTGGCTTCATTGGCATGCTTCTTATAAGCATATCAACCCGGCACGACTAAGCATATCAACCATGCTTGCATAGTGATAGAGCTGCGGTTCAATTAAGTAAACACGCTTCATCACACGAAAACACCAGCGACCTTTCTCTACTAAACCAGAATGAGCACAAGCTGACAATAGCCCAACAAATGTCACATGGTTCGGCTTCACCCCAGTTGTTTCCATCTGTTTAAAAATATCAAAAGCCTCATTGCCAAACCCATGGAGAGCCAGCACTGAAATCATAGTTGTCCATGCCAAAGTATCCTTGTTGGGCATTTCCTGAAAGACCTCATACGCTTTGTCTACACATCCGCACAATGACCACATTACTCGCCAGGCAAATTCTCCTCAGGTACCCATGCACCCATATCCCAGGATCAAATGCACCAAGATGAGCACAAGCTGCAAGGACACTGGAAATCGTGATCTTATAATTATCCGGTCTAACCATATCACCACTGGTGATCTGGCCTCCTTTGGCCGACCACCTTGAACAAACAAGGTCAAGCAATATGTACTACAATCACATTGATCGCATAACAAAAGTTCAGCAGAATACCTCTTATGTATCAATCACCTCCCAGTGACCATCTTCTGAAGATTCGATATAAACCCTTCTACGTCCTGGGTCATATACAATAGATACTTGAGAATCTATTGTATCTACGATCAGACCCCAAAAACACAGATTGCATTGGGTGTAAGCATAGTCTAAAATATCGATAATATCGACGAAATATCGAGGATATTATCGTTTTTTCGAATCACGGATATTCGAAATATATCCATGCACATATCGTATAAATATTGAGAATATCGACGATAATATCGGAAAATATCTACGTCGATAATTTCGCTCACACTTCAGCAATATTTTGTTACAATATCGCTATAATATTGCTAAAATATCGAAAATATCGATGTAATGAAAAAATGGAAAAAAAAATTGAAAAAAACACAAAGGAAATTCAAGGTGTTTCCTCTTGTAAAATTAGTCATCCTTGGTTTGCTTTGTACTGTGGCGTCCAAGTGGTAAGTTCTTTTTTCTTATGAATATTGAGACATGGACAGGCAAGGAATGATGGACCTTACAATTCTTACTTCGACAAAGTTCACACATGTATATCATTATTTTTTTTTGGGACGTATAAAAATGAGACTCTTGAAACCAATTTCTTCTTAATTTGTATAAAAATGGGGGCCATTCTGCACTGTTTACCCTTGCTGCTTTCAAGTGAGGTCCTAAGAGGGAAGAATGTCGTTTATAGTATTAACACAAACACTTTTTGCAAGTATAAAATTTTTACATGAGAATGAATCTTTGACCTTCCCTTTTCAAGTTTCAAGTTTTCAATTATTCACCACGTTTCAACTTATATCACTTACCCCACCATTCAACCACTCACCTAATACACATAGAGATGAAGATAGTGAAAATTTTGAACCTCATAGGAACTCTATGTGGTACTAAGTCACTTATGTATCTTACTATGCAATGTATAAATGTAAAATATTGTAGTAAATCATTATATATAAATGATTGTGGTGTTTTTAATTTTCTTTCATTAAGTACTACATATTTTCTACACTCACAGTGTTTGTCAGCTCACTATATAATCAACTTAAATTAGTTAAATGCATCATGCAATGCATTTCCTTCCAATTTTTTGTGATAAACTAATAGATACTTGACTAAATAAGCATCCTCCAAAGTTTCAATAAAAATTTCCAAGTTTTTCTAACAATTTCCGTGGTTTTTATTCAATTTTTATCAATATCAATAATATCCCGATATTTCCATCGAAATTTCTGTGATTTTGGACTACCGATATTTCTGATATCACCAATATTTTAGACCTTGGGTGTAAGTCAAACCGCACTTCTCTTTCTTTTCCACTTTTCTCTTTTGTAGAGAATCTCTCGTCAGAGAACTTTGAGATTGATCCTGAAGAATCTATAGGGTCAAACTTTAATGTATAATCTTCTTCTACACCACTCATATGTCCTGCATGGAAACAGTAAACAAATAATTCAGATGGAATCACAAATTCCATATTACGATTAGGATCAAAATGGTTTGCTTCTGGTCATTGGTTAGGGAAAGGTAGATACGGTTAAAATAATAATATTAAATAGATCTAACTATGATCACAATTATGTATCCCAAACCAAACTATAAGCACATAGCAAGAACATCCTCTCAGACAAAGCTATATGGCCACAACTGACAAAAGGGATCAGGGAAATTAGTAATTGCTTGTATATATGGCCTCCACCTTCCATTCCACCTATATAAAATCACACTATTTCCCTTGCTTAGTCACAAAGCAGAACAACTTTGTACAACAAAAATAACTTCAGTATTATAGCTCTACCTCTACCATTATTTTCAAATATGACAAAACCTACGTATATCCTTGGCTAGCCTATGTTTTGCATGACAGGGCTCTACTGCATGATCAGACAGGCTGCAAATTTCATTAAGCCAAAGCAATCGTAGGGCAACTCTTGTTTGGCAGGTCAATGAAATTGATTGTACATTTGTAGCTGCATCAGTCACCAGTGCCTGCCAAGAAAGAGGAGCCTTATGACTGCTTTGCTTATTTGACAAATATACTTCTTCTAGTATGCGTCACAAAGATGGACCGTAAAGTCTCGGAGAAGGACATTTCGAGAAACAAGAGATATCTAACTATGATCACAATTATGTATCCCAAACCAAACTATAAGCACATAGCAAGAACATCTTCTCAGACAAAGCCATATGGACACAACTGACAAAAGGGATCAGGGAAATTAGTAATTGCTTGTATATATGGCGTCCACCTATACAAATCACACGATTTCCCTGCATTGTGCAAAGCCACATGGTAAACTCACTTTGCCTGCTTGCTTATTAGTCACAAAGCAGAACACCTTTGTACAACAAAAATAACTTCAGTATTAAAGCTCTACCTCTACCATTATTTTCAAATATGACAAAACCTACGTATATCCTTGGCTAGCCTAGCCTAATATTATACCTTGCCGTATATGGTTTGCATGACAGGGCTCTACTGCATGATCAGACAGGCTGCAAATTTCATTAAGCCAAAGCAATCGTAGGGCAACACTTCTTTGGCAGGTCAATGAAAGTGATTGTACATTTGTAGCTGCATCAGTCACCAGTGCCTGCCAAGAAAGAGGAGCCCTATGACTGCTTTTCTTACTTGAGTACTTCTTCTACTATGTATAGCTTCTTCAAGTATACTTTTTCAATGATGGCCCGGCACAGGTTATATAAGGGCTCAAAAGACTCCGAGAGATGGAATAAACCAGTAAGCACAAATGGCATATCCTAAGGATTATGCTGTGAACATCCATCAAGGGCTGCTTTTCAAGGATTTTGTTGGGGCCAGGGCTCATTCTGCTGCTAGATTCTTCTCCTCCTTATCCGAGCCTTGAAAGCGCTCTTTCCTAGCATATGAGATTCTTCCACTCTCTGTGTCCATGAAAATGTGCAATGAAGTTGAAGCAGGAAAAAAGTAGATGAAAGGAGATGCCTCCCCATATTATTATAAGGGGCTGAGAAAAAATGACTAACAGCATATCCTAATCTTATTCGTCTTCTTTTCTTTTTTGCCTACGTGTGTATATTAGTAATTTCTGTCTTGAATACAAAAGAGTCTCACTTTTATAGTGAGCCATCATTATAGGATCTCCAAATTAGTTTGACTTTAGTTAATCTATTGCACTTTCAGTCCTTCTGTGGGTATCTCTTTCTAACCATGCCATGATTGTGTGCAATGCCTCATTCGTTAATTTGGTAATCATCTTTCAAATCTTTCTTTTGCGAACGATGTACAAAAAAATCATCACAACTAAAGAAAAATGAGGCCTACCTGAAGGACTTCATGAAGCTAGGGCAGCCCATGTGATCAAAAGTTCTGAAAGTGCTTGCAGTTGTGTTGTGTCATCCTCACCTCCTTACTAGTTTCCTTCCTAATTACGCTCTTAACAAAATAAACAAAAACTAACTAATTATTTTTAGAGCTAATTTAGTTTTATTAGTAAGGCGTATATTCAAGCACAGGAAGGCTAATCTAGTTAAGCTGAGTACAGAAAGTTTTGCTTGAACCATACCAGATCTGATCAATTCAACACCAAATGTGATGATAGGTAAATAAACATGACATCAACTATATAGATTTTAAAATTTTAGGTTCCAATCTCTACAATATTAATCAAATGTCTCAGAGACATATATATTCCAGTAATCACTAATTGACTTTATGTTTGGGAAACATAAGTGACCAGATCAATTTTCCTTTTTTGATCCGTGGACTAATAATCTGTCATGCAGAATCCTTTGTCCCATGTACCTGCACCACATGCACAACAAACGAAACCAAAATGCAGGTTTAAGCAGCAATTAGTATAAGATTTTCGTGAAGATTATGTATATATGATATGTTTTCCAAGTATACTTGCCTTCCAAGCATCATGACAGTAGCTTCAGGATTAGCACCCGGGGTGTGATAAAACGTTGAACCATCAATAACCCTCAGAGAATCAATACCAAGAACTCTATATCCTTTATCAACAACCCTCCCACCTTGACACCCTCCATGATAGTGTCATATGGTCTGTTGGAAATTTTGGAAATAACATATATTCTTAAAGCCTTAAGTTTAGGAAATTCTTGCAACGAATCTAGATGAGAATTCTGAATTTCCACAATCATCATACCTTTGGTGAAAACAAACTGTCAGATAGAAAATAGGGAGCAGAATCTTCAAAACAATAACAAAAAAGGAATCTTGGGTGGGAATCACAAACAACGATTGCAAAAAAAAGGGCTGCCTAGGCCGATTTTTCGAACACTGTTTAAAACTCCTACAAACAATTTCAGTTGTTCTCAAATGATCCATAACTCTGACAAGCACAAAATGACATACGTATGGGAATCACAGACAACGATTGTGAAAAATCGGCCGCCGAGCGCCTAGCCGCCTAGGCAGATTTTTCCAACACAATTTAAAACTCCCACAAACTATTTCAGCTGCTCTCATATGATCCATAACTCTAATTAACTAGCACAAAATGACATACATATGGGAATCACAGACAACGATTGCGAAAAATCGGCCGCCGAGGGCCTAGGCGGCCGCCTAGCCCCGTTTTTTTTCCAACACTGTTTAAAACTCCCACAAACTATTTCAGCTGTTCTCAGATGATCCATAACTCTACTTACCAAGCACAAAATGACATATATGTATATATATGCATAGTTCGAGTATGAAATTACCAAAATGGCATCGATGACATCCTCAGGTGAGAGCTGCTAGTCTCTCGGCGAGCTCTCTTTTCCTCAGCTTTCGCTGCTTTCTCTTTGCCTTTTCTTCGTCTTCTTCGTCTTCTTCCCCATGTCTGGAAACACTGCCAAAGAGTCCCAGACTCGGCGCGAGGAAGAAGAGAGAGTTATCTGGACGATGCTAATACTACAATTTTTTATTTAAAAATAGTATAGCCGCTCGGCTCTACTATTTGTGACGCATGTCAACTAGCGCCACGCGGGTCCTTTTTGTTTATGAACAGTATAGCTGTTCGGCTATATGCGGTTTTTGTTTTTAACAAAAACGTACTTAATAAAAATAGTAAAGCCGCCCGGCTATACATAATTCTGAGAGGTTTATTCTTCTTTCTAGGATGGTATTTATGTGTACAAGTATATACAACAAAAGGAAAGTAATTACAATCCCATCTAATACGGGAATCCTATAATTGTACAAGATTACAATTCCTAATTTAAATCAATTAAATTATTTGCGCCAACATTCTCTCTTCAAATGTACGTGTGAAAAAAAAAATCAAGCTATTTTGAGACTTTCTAATAACATAAACTTCTTGCTTAAGTCTGATTACCGTGCCATAGTTTGCAAAGATTTTTTTGAGGATGTACTCAACATTTGCAGGGTCTGTGGTGATGTGGTGATAACATAATTTATGAACAAGTTAAGCGCCTTATAAGTTTTGTGTTTGTATCCAAACTCAATCGATAATCGTGCAGCCTAGAGAAGTTCATTATAGTAGTTTAAGAAGATTGTGACCACATGATGGTATCTCTTTTTGTTATCAGTACCCAATCTTCTAGCATGGGACTGATCATAATTGTAGCTAAACTTATCGCTATGGGAGGTACGGAGTGGAAAGAAAATCCATGACACTGAAGACAAAAGTCGAGCACAGAGTGAATAATAGAGCATACCTCGAGGAATTTCTTCCAGCAAGTGAATTCATTCCATAAGGGTGCTTGCTTGATGACGGTGCTTAACTTCTCAGATAGCAAAATTACAGCTCTCATGGTCTTACATATGAAACATTTCATTGAAAACAAGTAGACACCTGCCTTTCCTCATGAAAACTACACCCTAACTGTCTTTTCATGATTCTCATTAGAGTGATTCTGTAAAGCGCATGCCTTTCTGTCTAGATATCGTTATTCAACTGATACAAGACCAATAATACTTCCTCCATTACAATTTACACCAGGTGATCCTCTCACATAGAATTCAAGAAGAACCCCATCGATTTCAATCATGCTACAGCTCGGGACCTCCTTTTTTATCCCTGTTTCTTTCATTAAGGATTTGATTCTCTTTACGTCATCAAATCTACTAGCTTTGAGATATATCACACAAGTTCACATAAAAAGCATGGTTCAGAGGTTCCAAATCAATTAAATATTGCACCACCCTTTCTCCTAACTCGACCTTTCCATGTATTTGACAGCCTCCGAGCAATGCACCCAAAACAAATGTATCTGGCTTCATTGGCATGCTTCTTATAAGCATATCAACCCGGCACGACTAAGCATATCAACCATGCTTGCATAGTGATATAGCTGCGGTTCAATTAAGTAAACACGCTTCATCACACGAAAACACCAGCGACCTTTCTCTACTAAACCAGAATGAGCACAAGCTGACAATAGCCCAACAAATGTCACATGGTTCGGCTTCACCCCAGTTGTTTCCACCTGTTTAAAAATATCAAAAGCCTCATTGCCAAACCCATGGAGAGCCAGCACTGAAATCATAGTTGTCCATGCCAAAGTATCCTTGTTGGGCATTTCCTGAAAGACCTCATACGCTTTGTCTACACATCCGCACAATTACCACATTACTCGCCAGGCAACTTCTCCTCAGGTACCCATGCACCCATATCCCAGGATCAAATGCACCAAGATGAGCACAAGCTGCAAGGACACTGGAAATCGTGATCTTATAATTATCCGGTCTAACCATATCACCACTGGTGATCTGGCCTCCTTTGGCCGACCACCTTGAACAAACAAGGTCAAGCAATATGTACTACAATCACATTGATCGTATAACAAAAGTTCAGCAGAATACCTCTTATGTATCAATCACCTCCCAGTGACCATCTTCTGAAGATTCGATATAAACCCTTCTATGTCCTGGGTCATATACAATAGATACTCGAGAATCTATTGTATCTACGATCAGACCCCAAAAACACAAATTGCATTGGGTGTAAGCATAGTCTAAAATATCGATAATATCGATGAAATATCGAGGATATTATCGTTTTTTCGAATCACGGATATTTCGAAATATATCCATGCACATATCGTATAAATATTGAGAATATCGACGATAATATCGGAAAATATCTACGTCGATAATTTCGCTCACACTTCAGCAATATTTTGTTACAATATCGCTATAATATTGCTAAAATATCAAAATATCGATGTAATGAAAAAAAGGAAAAAAAACACAAAGGGGATTCAAGGTGTTTCCTCTTGTAAAATTAGTCATCCTTGGTTTGCTTTGTATTGTGGCGTTCAAGTGGTAAGTTCTTTTTTCTTATGAATATTGAGACATGGACAGGCAAGGAATGATGGACCTTACAATTCTTACTTCGACAAAGTTCACACATGTATATCATTATTTTTTTTTTGGGACGTATAAAAATGAGACTCTTGGAACCAATTTCCTCTTAATTTGTATAAAAATGGGGGCCATTCTGCACTGTTTACCCTTGCTACTTTCAAGTGAGGTCCTAAGAGGGAAGAATGTCGTTTCTAGTATTAACACAAACACTTTTTGCAAGTATAAAATTTTTACATGAGAATGAATCTTTGACCTTCCCTTTTCAAGTTTCAAGTTTTCAACTATTCACCACGTTTCAACTTATATCACTTACCCCACCATTCAACCACTCACCTAATACACATAGAGATGAAGATAGTGAAAAATTTGAACCTCATAGGAACTCTATGTGGTACTAAGTCACTTATGTATCTTACTATGCAACGTATAAATGTAAAATATTGTAGTAAATCATTATATATAAATGATTGTGGTGTTTTTAATCTTCTTTCATTAAGTACTACATATTTTCTACACTCACAGTGTTTGTCAGCTCACTATATAATCAACTTAAATTAGTTAAATGCATCATGCAATGCATTTCCTTCCAATTTTTTGTGATAAACTAATAGATACTTGACTAAATAAGCATCCTCCAAAGTTTCAATAAAAATTTCCAAGTTTTTCTAACAATTTCCGTGGTTTTTATTCAATTTTTATCAATATCAATAATATCCCGATATTTCCATCGAAATTTCCGTGTTTTTGGACTACCGATATTTCTGATATCACCAATATTTTAGACCTTGGGTGTAAGTCAAACCGCACTTCTCTTTCTTTTCCACTTTTCTCTTTTGTAGAGAATCTCTCGTCAGAGAACTTTGAGATTGATCCTGAAGAATCTATAGGGTCAAACTTTAATGTATAATCTTCTTCTACACCACTCATATGTCCTGCATGGAACCAGTAAACAAATAATTCAGATGGAATCACAAATTCCATATTACGATTAGGATCAAAATGGTTTGCTTCTGGTCATTGGTTAGGGAAAGGTAGATACGGTTAAAATAATAATATTAAATAGATCTAACTATGATCACAATTATGTATCCCAAACCAAACTATAAGCACATAGCAAGAACATCCTCTCAGACAAAGCTATATGGCCACAACTGACAAAAGGGATCAGGGAAATTAGTAATTGCTTGTATATATGGCCTCCACCTTCCATTCCACCTATATAAAATCACACTATTTCCCTTGCTTAGTCACAAAGCAGAACAACTTTGTACAACAAAAATAACTTCAGTATTATAGCTCTACCTCTACCATTATTTTCAAATATGACAAAACCTACGTATATCCTTGGCTAGCCTATGTTTTGCATGACAGGGCTCTACTGCATGATCAGAGAGGCTGCAAATTTCATTAAGCCAAAGCAATCGTAGGGCAACTCTTGTTTGGCAGGTCAATGAAATTGATTGTACATTTGTAGCTGCATCAGTCACCGGTGCCTGCCAAGAAAGAGGAGCCTTATGACTGCTTTGCTTATTTGACAAATATACTTCTTCTAGTATGCATAGATGCTCCTGCTTGTGTTTCAATGATGGACCGGCACGAGTTATATAAGGGCTCAAAGACTCCAATAGATGGAATAAACCAGTAAGCACACATGGCATATCCTGAGGATTATGCAGTGAAAATCCATCAAGGGCTGCTTTTCAAGGATTTTGTTGGAGCCAGGGCTCATTCTGCTGCTAGATTTTTCTCCTCCTTATCCGAGCCTTGGAAGCTGCCCTTCTGATATGAACCCTTAAATTGCTTGTATTATTTTGGATTTTCTTATTGAAATACAGGCTAATGTTGCTACAGGTTGGAAGGCATGTAATCTATGGAACGCTGCGTGAGACGGGTTATCGAAATGCTGGAAGATGACTTTAAGCTCACTATGGCCCTCTGTGGCTGCCCTGGTGTTACGGATATTACCAGGAGCCATGTGAGAACAGAATGCGACAAACTCCACTCCTTGCTTTAATTTGTTTTAGAAGCATCAAAATGAAATTATGCAGAGAGATGGATGAAACGAGAATGAGGCCATCAATTATTTGGGAAACTGCTTCAATTAACAGGTATTGGAATTCAACTTGTTTTTTCTTCTCTCTCATATTGTAATTCAACTTCATTAAACGGCAGGTTAAATTTATATTTACTATGGAAGTGATAGCATAACATGTGTTTACGTGTCACCGGAGAGAACCATCTTTCGGAAGTCAATTTCCTATGCAAGGTGCATAGCTTTGATCAGCATTTCAACTCGATACATTCAAGGTGCTAGGCGGGAGGCCACTGCTGCGATTTCATCCTAATCGTAAGGAGTAGCCGCCGGGGAGTTGGGCGCCGCCTAGGCCACCTAGCACCCTCCTAGGCCGCCTAGCGCCCGCCTAGGCCGCCTAGCGCCCGCCTAGCCCGCCTAGCCCGCCTGGGCTGGTCTGGGCTGGCGTTTTGCCGTTGAGACGTCGATGCTTAAGGTGGCACTGAGGCGCTACATGAAGAAAGACCGAGAAAGAGAGATGAAGTCGAAACAGCGAGAGGAAGGAGTGCAGGCTGCGCTGGGAAGAAGAAGACATATAACCTAATTTTTAATATAACTAACGGGTTGGGTTTTGTAAAATGGGCTTAAACATTGTAATAAAACGGCCCTATATTAAAAAAAGTAAACTTTTTTTAGCAGTTTTTATATTATTTAAAATATCAAAGATACAAAAAATACAAAAGTAAAAGTTGTATAATATCAAGGTTTGCAAATGTTAAATTTATTAACCACCATAATAATTACGGCTACTTGAATCTCATCGAATATTTAAATAATATTTACTGCCAAAGTATTTACATATATAATGCAGTTTGCACCATTAATATGATATTATCTTACAAGGAACTGAACACGTTCCATTTAATAGGGCAACATCATAGTAGTGGGAAAAATAAAAACAAAGAAAAGGTTTCAATGTCCATGCAAAGATTCTATATGCAAAGATTCTATATGTTACCTCCTTCCAAAGCAAGTTCACATTTTTCTTCGCTTGGCAGAATCTGATTCTCATTGTTAGATTCGACCTTGCATCCAAAAGCAAAATGAATGTTGCTAAATCTGCTACCTTAAACCACATATTTGCAAGAACAATTTTTTCACTTACCACTCTTCTTTTGAAGAAATATTTCCTCTTTTCTTGTACCTTATTTCGTACCCGTCCCTATTTCTGTAAAGGCAACAAATGTCAGACAACTTTCCAGGTAACCACTCAGATCGACCTTTAAGATGATCATCCCAAAAGACTTTCTCACATATCTGCAAGCAATACAGACTAAATCACATTTTTGTTGTTGCAATCTTCTGTTCCGAGTTACTGGTTTTCGCTATACACAAGTTAGTGAAACCCATGTCAACAGGAAAATCTCTAGCATCAGGATTGGTTGTCCGCCAGACCGTCATCAAACCTTTTCCAACTCAGGGTTTTTTTTTAAATTTATAATAAACAGAGTATAGCTCTATACTACGGTTTTATTATAAAAACAATTAGTATAGCCACGCGGCTATACTGTTTTTGACACGTGGCGGAATTGGTGGTAATATAAATAGTATAGCAGCCGCCGGGCTATACTCGTGCTTTTTTAATAAAAAGAGTATAGCCCGGCGGCTATTTATTTTAAAAAAATATAGTTGCGCGGCTATACAATTTTGGACACATGGCAAAATGGGCTCCAGCTTCAGGCGGGGCCCTTTTCTATAAATAGTATAGTCGCCCGGCTGTACTCCGGGTTTTGTTTTAAAAAGCGTATTGCCACCCGGCTATAGTCTCGATATTTGTTTTCAAAGCTCCTTTACTTGGGTCGTTTTTTTATAAATATTATAGCTAGACGACTATACACTTTACATAAGACACCATTACCATTTTGAGTTTACTAGTAGTTTTGGAAGAGTTCCATTAAAATGATTTTCAGAATATATTTTCTATTTAAACCCCACACTTTTCTTAGTTCACCCCTTGTTCTAAGATCACCCCAACTTTTAATTTAAATTTTTACAATTTCTAAGTAAACCCCATTATCTTCCCAAACTACCCTTAAATACACCCCAAGCTGAAAAAATAAGAAATAAAAGAGATTTTCTATTTAAACCCCACAAGCTACCTTTAGGAGGAAAATAAGTTTTTTTTTTTTTTTTTTTTTTTTTTTTTAGTGGGTTTGGGGTTGTATGAGTTAGGAAAGTGGGGCTGCTCGGTGTTTAAAAGTTGAAGACATGGAAAATTGGTTTTCCAGGGGGGAAAAGCTTATTACTTGTGTTGCTTCTGTCACTAATATTTTCTGATGATTATATATGTTTTAAAAAAAGCAATCAACAAAGGGAAGAGAATAAGATCATTATAGCAAAACAATCAACAAATCTTTCCATCAGCTTTCGCACAGATTTCAAAGTGGTAGGCTCGTCAATGTTCAACGTCTTTAAAAGAGAAAAGTAATCTGGCATATGTAGAGGAGTTTGTATTTTTTTAAAACTTAATTTGAAGAGTTGTGGGGTGTGTGGTGTGTGTGTATAGATGTATTAGGGTTAAGTATTAAGTTGGATGACCTTTTTTGTCTTTTTACACAATAATAAAATTTACAGCTTAATGATTTAAGTATTAGGGTGAACTAAGAGAAGTGTGGGGTTTAAATAGAAAAAATCTTTTCAGAAATGCTTGCCTCTTCTAGGAATGTTAGATTTCCCAAGGACACTGGAATTGGACCTGATATTGAAGTACTCAAAAGAGCAAGGAGGCGTAAATGTCTGAAATTTCCCAGCTGAAAAATAATTTGTTGACAGCTTCAGTGACTCCATTTCACCTGAACTACACCTTGACAAGTTTCCCAATATTTCTGATACGCTTCCATTGAAATAGTTCCTTGACAGACCAAGAACCGTCAAGTTACAAAGATTTCCCAATGAGTTTGGGATTTTCCCTTTAAGTTGATTAGCAGACAAGTCAAGATTGACAATGGCTGTGAAGTTTCCAATGGAACTTGAAATTTCACCTCGCAAGAGATTCAAATAAAGGGATAGGGACTCAATATTGCTACAAGTGCACAACCATTGAGGTATATATGGTACCCCAGATGATGTTCCACCTGAGATTAAGAACTTCAAGCCTTGTCATGTTTGCAACACCAACTGGTATTTGATTGAGTTCGCAACTGGACATATGCAAATCTACCAACATAGAGGGGAGTGTGTTTGTCACCTGAAACCAATCAGATGCTTTGCTAAGATCTACACGACTCGTGTCCAGGTTCTGCAAGCTCGAAAGACCAGAAAGCCATTGGAGATTTTCAACCTTCATCCAGTAGTAGCTTTTACTCTGGAGTCCTAGAAAGTGTAGACTCGAGAGATTTCCCAATTTATGCGGAATTATTCCAGCGAACTTTGAGTCTGAGAGGTTAAGATATCTTAAACTTCTAAGAGAACCTAAGAAGCTAGGAATCTGTATTCCTCCAAAATCATTGTTGCTTAGATCCAAGTAGCTCAGATGCTTTAAATTTAGTTTACCTTGCCACCCAAAGAGTTTTCTTGATACAAACTGTAATTCAGATACTCATCTGAATAATAATTCCCACAGTGCAGCTCACCAACATGACCGGTTAGATTGTCGCAGACAACTCCAGTCCAATTGCAAGAATCTCCCTCACAAACCCAAGATAAAAGCCTATTTGAAGGATCCTTAAGATCTTGCCTGAACATTAGAAGTGCTTGTCTCTCATTTTGTTTACAAGGCACTCCCAAATTTCCATTGCATAAGCTAATGGTAGTAATGGTTGCAATGCTTAGAAATCTGAAAACTGAAACAATTCTCATGGCTTTGTCCATGAGGTTATATCTTAATAGGTGATGTGTGTGAGCAATATAACTCATTTAGAATGGTGCAATATATACACATACTACTACACTAGAACTGAGAGTGAAGGTCCAAACTCAATATTTTTTTCAAAATCATTTTCAAAAATGGTGAACAAAGTCGTTGAGTATGTAGACTAGTAATAAGTTATGGGTTTATCCAGAGAAAGAAGACAGAAAAAAATAGAAAAGAAAGTGTGGGATGACTTGATTAAAAAAACAAAAGCAAAATAAAAGATTAGCATAACCTCTTCGGCTAGCGGGGACTGAATTCAAACTTTGTAAGAACGTATAACTAGGTAAAGTTTCAAAAGTTGAAAACACATAACAGACATGAAGAAAATGAAACAAACAAACAAATAATTCAGATGGAATCACAAATTCTGTATTACGATTAGGATCAAAATGGTTTGCTTCTGGTCATTGGTTAGGTAAAGGTAGATACGGTTAAAATAATAATATTAAATAGATCTAACTATGATCACAGTTATGTATCCCAAACCAAACTATAAGCACATAGCAAGAACATCCTCTCAGACAAAGCTATATGGCCACAACTGACAAAAGGGATCAGGGAAATTAGTAATTGCTTGTATATATGGCTTCCACCTTCCATTCCACCTAAATAAAATCACACTATTTCCCTGCATTGTGCAAAGACACAAGCTAAAGTCACTTTGCCTGCTTGCTTAGTCACAAAGCAGAACAACTTTGTACAACAAAAATAAATTCAGTATTATAGCTCTACCTCTACCATTATTTTTCTTTATTGATCCATGGACTAATCTGTCATGCAGAATCCTTTGCCCCATGTACCTGCACCACATGCACAACAAGCGAAACCAAAATGCAGGTTTAAGCAGCAATTAGTATAAGATTTTCGTGAAGATTGTGTATATATGATATGTTTTCCAAGTATATATTTGCCTTCCAAGCATCATGACAGTAGCTTCAGGATTAGCACCCGGGGTGTGATAAAACGTTGAAACATGAATAACCCTCAGAGAATCAACACCAAGAACTCCATATCCTTTATCAACAACCCTCCCAACTTGACACCCTCCATGATAGTGCCATATGGTCTGTTGGAAATTTTGGAAATAACATATATTATTAAAGCCTTAAATTTTGGAAATTTTGCGAAATACATACAGTTTAGGAAATTCTTGCAATGAATCTAGATGGGAATTCTGAATTTCCACAATCATCATACCTTTGGTGCAAATAAACCATCATATAGAAAATAGGGAGCAGAATCTTCAAAACAATAACAAAAAAGGAATCTTGGGTGGGAATCACAAACAACGATTGCAAAAAATGGGCAGCCCAGCGCCTAGCCGCTGCCTAGGCCGATTTTTCCAACACTGTTTAAAACTCCTACAAACTATTTCTTCAGTTGTTCTCAAATGATCCATAACTCTAATTAACGAGCACAAAATGACATACACAAGGGAATTACAAACAACGATTGTGAAAAATCGGTCGCCGAGCGCCTACTCGCCTAGGCGGCCGCCTAGGCAGATTTTCCCAACACAGTTTAAAACTCCCACATACTATTTCAGCTGCTCTCAAATGATCCATAACTCTAATTAACAAGCACAAAATGACATACATATGGGAATCACAAACAACGATTGCGAAAAATCGGCCGCCGAGCGCCTAGGCGGCCGCCTAGCCCCATTTTTTTCCAACACTGTTTAAAACTCCCACAAACTATTTCAGCTGTTCTCAGATGATCCATAACTCTACTTACCAAGCACAAAATGACATATATGCATATATATGCATAGTTCGAGTATGAAATTACCTAGATGGCATCGATGTCATCCTCAGGTGAGAGCTGCTAGTCTCTCGACGAGCTCTCTTTCCTCAGCTTTCGCTGCTTTCTCTTTGCCTTTTCCTGGCTTCTTCGTCTTCTTCTCCATGTCTGGAAACACTGCCAAAGAGGCCCAGACTCGGCGCGAGGAAGAAGAGAGAGTTATCTAGACGACGCTAATATTTAAAAATAGTATAGCCGCGCGGCTCTACTAATTGTGACGCATGTGAGCGAGCGACAGGCGTGTCCTTTTTGTTTATGAACAGTATAGCCGTCCGGCTATATGCGGTTTTTGTTTTTAATTAAAAAACGTACTTAATAAAAAGAGTAAAGCCGCGCGGCTATACATAATTCTGAGTGGTTTATTCTTCTTTCTAGGATGGTATTTATGTGTACAAGTATATACAACAAAAGGAAAGTAATTACAATCCCATCTAATACGGGAATCCTATAATTTTACAAGAGTACAATTCCTAATTTAAATCAATTAAATGATTTGCGCCAACATTCTCTCTTCAAAGGTGATAATACCTGTAGGATGTCTATATATGCCTAGAGAAGGTTAAACAGGCTAATTCGAATTTTTTGCAATAAATAATAATAAACTTTTGAAGCAGGATTGATATGGCTGTAATGTGCAGAGCTTAAATTAAAAGAACACACAGAGAATTATTTTACGTAGTAAAACCCCACCTCTGGGGAAAATCCACGGGACTTCTCAGTCCAACACAAATCCACTATAGAACGATGATTACAAGAAGTACTCACACACTTATCCTATACACACTCTAGATAATGTTTACCGACTTCTTCATAACTCAACTTCTGTCACAGGATGATCTTCGACACTCCTTATGTTGAACGCAATACTGGCCACGATTGCTTCAAGCTCACCGGAGAAAAACCGCCACCACGGTCTTGGTGCCCCCAACCGTATGAGTCACCGACATGCATATGAATGCAATATGAATGATTAAAGTGTTTGATAAATCACCAAGTAAACATTGAACACTTGATGATTTATCTCAAATATGCGCACAGCAGCTTTTCTTAGAATTCTATATGCTGAAAACAAATATCTCAAAAGCTGTACAAATAAAAGAATGGCACATGATCTTTTATACAAGACTTGTTCTCTCTCATGGGAGAGAAACCCAATAGGCCACGAATATTAAACTTCCTATTGCACCACAACCTATCATCAATAAGAGATTTGATTCACCTTGGACTCAAAGTAATGACGCCTCTCTTTAAACCAAATTAACTAAGAGGTAAGCAACGTGCAAAGTCACAATAGGAAAAGATAATATTTTAACTTCAATTAAAATAGAGTTGAACTAGGAAAGTAATCTCAAGAGATAAAATCTAATCTTATTAAAAATAAGATTAAGATAAAAATACTTTGAGTGAAAATAACTCAAACTAGGAATCCTATAATGAATGCATGATTATGTCATGATTTACCTGAAATCAGATTCCTCATATCGGTCAAGTCATGCTTTGGAAACCTGAGATTGAATGTGTTGCGCCAAAACGTCTAGTAAACGATATTCACACACTAACTCCCAACCTATGCTAGAGTCTAGGAAATGACAATACAAATTTCATACTAACAAAAGGTACATGTGAAAAAAAAATCAAGCTCTTTTGAGACTTTCTAATAACATAAACTTCTTTCTTAAGTCTGATTACCGTGCCATAGTTTGCAAAGATTTTTTTGACGAAGTACTCAACATTTGCAGGATCTGTGGTGATGTGGTGATAACATAATTTATGAACAAGTTAAGCGCCGTATAAGTTTTGTGTTTGTATCCAAACTCAGTCATGTAATCGTGCAGCCTAGAGAAGTTCATTAGCGTAGTTTAAGAAGTTTGTGACCACATGATGGTATCTCTTTTTGCTCTCAGTACCCAATCTTCTAGCATGGGACTGATCATAATTGTAGCTAAACTTATTGCTATGGGAGGTACGGAGTGGAAAGAAAATCCATGACACTGAAGACAAAAGTCGAGCACAAAGTGAATATTAGAGCATACCTCGAGGAATTTCTTCCAGCAAGTGAATTCATTCCATAAGGGTGCTTGCTTGATGACGGTGCTTAACTTCTCAGATAGCAAAATTACAGCTCTCATGGTCTTACATATGAAACATTTCATTGAAAACAAGTAGACACCTGCCTTTCCTCATGAAAACTACACCCTAACCGTCTTTTCATGATTCTCATTAGAGTGATTCTGTAAAGCGCATGCCTTTCTGTCTAGATATCGTTATTCAACTGATACAAGACCAATAATACTTCCTCCATTACAATTTACACCTGGTGATCCTCTCACATATAATTCAAGAAGAACCCCATCGATTCAATCATGCTACAGCCCGGGACCTCCTTTTTTATCCCTGTTTCTTTCATTAAGGATTTGATTCTCTTTACGTCATCAAATCTACTAGCTTTGACATATATATCACACAAGTTCACATAAAAAGCATGGTTCAGAGGTTCCAAATCAATTAAATATTGCTCCACCCTTTCTCCTAACTCGACCTTTCCATGTATTTGACAGCCTCCGAGCAAGGCACCCAAAACAAATGAATCTAGCTTCATTGGCATGCTTCTTATAAGCGTATCAACCCGGCACGACTAAGCATATCAACCATGCTTGCATAGTGATAAAGCTGCGGTTCAATTAAGTAAACACGCTTCATCACACGAAAACACCAGCGACCTTTCTCTACTAAACCAGAATGAGCACAAGCCGACAATAGCCCAACAAATGTCACATGGTTCGGCTTCACCCCAGTTGTTTCCATCTGTCTAAAAATATCAAAAGCCTCATTGCCAAACCTATGGAGAGCCAGCACTGAAATCATAGATGTCCATGCCAAAGTATCCTTGTTGGGCATTTCCTGAAAGACCTCATACGCTTTGTCCACACATCCGCACAATGGCCACATCACTTCCCTTTTTTCTTTTTTTTTGGTTGAAGATGATCTTTCATTAACGAAGGACAAAGTATAGGGAAAGTCCTAACTAGTAAGCAGGACAATCAGAAACAACCGAATACATAAACAAAGCAATTGCAAAGAAGCAAATAACAAAGATGCCACCCACACAAAGGCTACAACGTCCAACATTGCGAACGCAAGCAAGTGACTAAGAAGAGGGGCAAGGAAGGCCATCATTGTTGAGAACATGCACCAGCGAAGATGGTGGTCTGATGACCCAAGTCATAGGGCTCATCCCCGCACTTGCTAGAGTCGCAGTGTGATCTACTACCACATTACCTTTTCTTGGCCACCAAGGCCAGTTAGCATCAATAAAATTTGGATGGCCAAGCTGCTCCTTAATCTTGTAGAGGAAAGGATACAACTCCCACCGTCCTCTTGAAATATTTCCTTGCACTCCACGAATCACCTCTCTACAATCCATCTCAAACTGAACCTGACGAAATTGATGCTTAATAGCAAAGGAACACGCCTTTACATCAGCCATTGCTTCTACTTCCAATGCCAAATTTGCAGTACAGGACACACCTTGGCTGCAATAAAAGATCCGAGATGATTTCTAGCAATTAATCCAATGCCACCTCGTTGTGATTCGACATACCAGGCTGTATTAATGTTTATTTTTATTTTCGGGGTTAAAGGGGGGCACCAAGTGTCAATTCTCTGCTCGGGAGAGACGGACAACCTTCTAATTGCCACAGTGTGAGCTTTTGCCTTCAAAAAATCAGTGATAGCAGAAGAGGATGCAATCACAGTCGCCGTCGGGGATGGAATACAACCTTCCATGACCTCCTTACAATGCGACTTCCAGATGTTCCAGCAGGTGAAGTCCAAAGAGGATGCAATTCGAGCTCTGTCCATCTTATCCAGCCCATCTTGAAAGAGAATATCATGAAATCACCCATTCAATGTTGTGATCTCATTTTTGCAAATTCGAATGTTCAGACTATTGCCAAACCAAACTAGAGTAACCCATGGACAAAGAAGCAAGCATGTTCCACAGACTCCACACCAGAGCTGCGAAGTCTACTGGGGCGGAGCTAGAATTGTAAAATTGGGGGGCCGAAGGAGAAAATACAAGTATATAAAACATCTTAAGTATTCAATACTTACATGTTTAGAGCTAAATATTTTTAATTGAGTTGAGTCATGTCTAATTTGTTTTAGAGGAAATTTTAACTTAAATTCTAAGTTGTTTATTACAAATTCTATATATTATATATAATATAATAGAGGAGTGATAAAAATATGGGGGGGGGCCAGGGCCACTCCAGGTCTAGGAGTGGCTCCGCCACTAAGTCTACATGTAGGTGAAACAATGGTTTTCCTTTTTAAAAGGCTCTCACTTGTTGCCAGGCTATTCCTCAAAGCACGAGGACAATCAATTTTTCAAATAAATTTCCTCATCACAGGATCAATGGAAGAAGATGATGAAGCGCCATCACTACCCCTACTAGTGGAGCACCGATGAAGCCAATGATAACCTAACTTAACAGTATACTTCCCCGATTTCTCCTACGACCATATCAATCTATCACTAGCAGTATTTGACCCACTCGGGATCCTCACAATGGCCTTAATTGGCCATAATGGAATTAAACTCATTACACAGGGAATTTGGGATGCGAAAAATGCTCATGGAATAGGCTGATGCTTTCTCAGATCTTTGCAATTAACTAAGCATCCATCAACGTTTCTCATGCCTCCACACTCCACAATAAAATGGCCTAGCTGAACATAAACACTGCCACATTGCCACCATGATATGCATCCTCCTTACCACTTCACACACTCCCCACAATCTCTGGGTCGAAGCTGCCCTTACATCTCATCAACCTCCTACCTACTCCCAATCTTCATTGGGACAACCCATATGCTCGTCTCTTTCGACATCGTCCCTCTTACTCTCATCTCTGAGTGTTTGGGTGTTCTTTTTTCTCATATCTTGGACCTTATATTGCCAATAAACTCACTACTGCACCCTTGAATGTGCTTTCCTTGGATTCAATTCTCACCACAAAGTTTACCGTTGCTTACATCCTTCCACGAATCGTGATTACACGTCCCGTCATGTTTTATTTAACGAAACACATTTTCCATTTGAACATTTACAGGTATCATCTCCTTCAGATTATGTGGATCTTGAATTCCACCCAATTCTACCCTCCTCAGCACCTGGGCCCACACTGACCACTTCTGCCTCAGACCAAGGCCCACTCACTCAAGGCACCTCCCTAGTGCGTCTCTTTCCACCTGCAGTAGTCACCAGCCCACGTCCAACTATGCCCAGCACCAACCATGCCTAGCAACACCCCTTAGTCCACTCTACGAGCCTCCTTCCGTGCTAGCCCAACCCATGCTCTAAATATATTCCAGACGCCCTCATATCCCCACCTCTCCACTTGTGCAAGCCTCTCTCTGTACAATTCGGTTCCCACACTAAGCCCACGCCCCCACAAGACCTTCCTCCTCCATCAGCAGCTCCAAACCTCCCAGGGCCTACCCATGTTCCTCGCATGCGCACCCTTCTTCAGGATGGCATTCAAAAGCCTAAGCTTCACACCGACGACATTGTTAAATACCTCTTTCCCCGTGCCTTATTAATTGATGTTGATCATACTGAACCAACTTGTTTTTCACATGCTACTAAGCATATTGAGGTGTAATGCTATGACTGAAGAGGTCAATGCACTTCTCAAAAATAATACCTAGTCCTTAGGTCATTCCTCTCCTTTCAGAACTTGATTGGGTGTAAGTGGGTTTTTCGAATTAAGCACCACTCTGAAGGGCTTCATTGAACTCTACATAGCATGTCTAGTTGCCAAAGGTTTTCATCAACACCCAAGCATAGACTATTATGAAACCTTTAGTCTTGTTGTCAAGCTTGCCACCATTTGCACCATTCTCAGTCTTGCAGTTTCTCGTGGTTTTCGTCAACTTGATGTCAAAAATGCATTTCTACATGGGTTTCTTCAGGAAGATGTCTATATGGTTCAACCCCCCGGGTTTCATTGATCACACTCGTCCTTCTCATGTTTGCAAGCTCCAAAAGGAACTCCATGGCCTCAAACAAGCACCTCGTGCTTAGTTCCATCACATCAGTACCTTTCTTCTCTCTATGGGTTTTTCAGGAAGCCAAGCTGACACTTAATTATTTATTTTTCAACATGCCTCCCAAACCATCTTTCTTCTTCTATACGTAGACGACATCTTGGTAACTGGTAGTGATCCCACCCATCTTCAACAATTCATCTCTCTTTTAGGTGGCCACTTTGACATCAAAGACCTTAGTCCGTTGAGCTTTTTCTTGGGTTTACAGGTTGTTAATAAGGAACATACACTGCACATCAATCAACTCAAATATGCCCATGATCTTTTAAAGAAAACCAATCTTCTCAACTCCAAACCAGCATCTACCCCTTTGGTTGCCAAGGTTCTCCTCTCTGTCTCTGATGGTGCTCTCATCTCCAACCTAACCGAGTATCGTGAGCTTGTTGGCAGTTTATAGTATCTCACTCGCCCTAACATATCCTTTGATGTCAACAACGTTGCTCAGTTCATGAATGCCCCTTGCAACTCTCACCTTCTTGCAGACAAACAAATACTTCATTACATCAAGGGCACTATTGATCTCGGCCTCACACCTTCACTCCCCAATCTGCAGCAGCTTATCTCTCCCTGTAGTCCAGACATCAAGGTGTCCTAATTCTTGTCCATCAACCACTAGATATGCGATTACTCTTGGAACCAACCTCATCTCCTGGTGTTCCAAGAAACAACCCACTGTCTCGCGCTCTAGTACAAAATCAAAATACTGCGTCCTCTCTCATGCTTGTGCTGAAACCACTTGGCTTTGCTCACTCCTTCATGAATTGGGTGTGCATCTTTGATTCCCAATCCTACTCTACTGTGACAACCTCAGCACCACTTACATGGTTGCCAACTCAATTTTCCATGCCTGCACACCTCTCACATTGAGTTGGACTACCACTTTGTCCATGAAAAGATTGCTCTAGGAAGTCATCAAGTTTGCTTTGTTCCCTCTGTCGACCAACTTGTGGACATGTTTACAAAGGCCCTTCACAAACCACGCCATCAACACATGTCTTCCAAACTTGTTCATCCTGCGACGCCCAGTTTGCGAAGGGTGTTAACGTAGCTTTCCTTTCTTAACACACACGGAAGTCAACCTTACAATCTCCTCCTAGCAATTAGCTTTACTGCTGTAAATAGAATTGTATTTATGTCTATATTATTTCCTACCTTAAGTAGACTTCTTGTATTTGTATAAATAGGGACTTTGTGTAATTTGTTTATTACAAGGAAATACATTCTCTACAGCAGACATCAATGAAAATGAAAAAGTGCTCTGTTTATAGGATTGATTATACAAACAGAAGCAAGAAAACTTCGCAGCACGAAACATGTATCCATATTTCTCATCCTCCGAGCTGGCGAGCTTTCACAAAATCTGTATTAAAGGTAAAAATAAAATAACCATTAACCCACCCATAACAAACAAATAAAAAACCCACCACTACCTCCAGAATATCCTAGTGAACTGAATGAATGGCTTCTTGATTTAAGACATGCAGAATCATTACTTCTGTTTCTGGAAAAATAATTAAAGAGGTCTTGGCTTCTAAAGGTTATACACAACCATATCAAGGTTAGAATTTATGATAAACGTTCCTGGTGGTTGAGTGCATAGCAAGTCTAGTGCAGATCCCAATGTTGATCTTTTGCTTCGAACTTAAGAGGTTATCAACAACCATTCCTTAGGTGGCAAATTTTAATGAGTTTGTGAATGATTTTGTAGGATCTTCAAAAAGTGGGTACCAATTTAAAATGAATCCCAATGTTCTGGGATTTTATACAGTTAATTCAAATTTTTTTTTTTCTTGTTGCCCAATTATACATGCATAGTGAGATTTAGAGTGTGAGGCGGAGGCGGCACATGCTTAGCCTAGCCTGAAGGTCGACCATGTCATGACTGGAAGGATAAAAGATAACAAAAACAAAATAGTTCGAATGCGATGGATATGTTGGATAACCATTTCTAGTTAGACAATTTGGTATGATAAAATTTGAGTGTTGTTAAACGAACTCTAAAATTACTTTGATTTTACTGAAGAAATATGATCGTGTAGATATTACTCTGATTTTGAAGACCACTTCTAGAAAATTAACAGTCCATGAACTAACTGAACTTCTCTATTCAATGGCTTCAGTTTCATCACAGTTTGTCCATCTTAGTTTCATAAGTCATGATGACCTATAATCTTAGTTTCATAAGTCAATGATGACCTATAATCTTAATCTTGTTTAGCTGTGCTCTGCTTAGTTTATTTTTCATTTCCAATTACACTTATGTAGTTGAAGTCTTTTGTTGCTTATTAGGGTATTTTTGGTAGTTAAATAGAGTGTACTTAGTTAATTTTATATTTTGATTTAAATATTAGGGTATACTTAGATCGTAATTAGGTGTACTCAGTTAATAGATTGTAATTACGTGTACTCAGTTAATTTTAGAGTTCATTTAATAACACCCTAAAATTTTAGAGTGCTGCTAAACGAACCCTAAAATTAACTGAGTACACCCTATGATCTAAGTGCACCTTAATATTTTAATCAAAATGTAAAATTAACTTAGTACACCCTATTTAACTACTAAAAATAACCCTTGTACACCCTAATACCCTTTATCACACAACACCCTAATACCAATCTTAAACTAGATTTCTCTTTTTACATGAATTCCTGCCCTCTTGTCAAATTTTGGGTTCGCCTCAAAATCTATTTAATTTCGTAAGCTGTTGTGGGAGTAGATTTGCTAGCTCCTACAATTCAAAACTTGATTCTTGTAAATCCTTGTGATTTTCTGTAAACTATGTAGAGGAGACTCAACATCTCTGTCAAATAACTAGTGAAATGCATCATCACAAGTCCAAAATCCTTGAGAATTTTGGATGCTTCCAAGTTAGAAGAAATGTTTAAACCTTGGGATTTTAAAGTCATCCACTTCAACTTTACTTTATTGATGATGTTGAGCTAAGAAGTCATACTGGAACAAACCTTTTCATTCAAATATGGCTGCCCATCTTTTCCATCAGGAAGAATCAAGTACATGGAGAATTTTCGACACTTGTCTTTTGCTATATTTGTAAGGAAGCTCTAAGCCTTTGAAACATCAAAGACTCTTAAAATTATACAAAAACTTCTTTGCATTGGATTAGGTTGAATATGGTGAGTAGGATGTACTTATTAAAATTATATTTGTTTCACAATTCCATATATCCTTTTAGTCATTTTTTATTAGGGTAAATTAGTAATTCAATAAATACCTTGGTAGTAAGGTGCACTCAGTTAATTTTAGGATTCGTTTAACAGCACTCAAATTTTATATATTGCTGGAAATATGAATTTGGATATCATATTAAAACAATATCAATCGACCTAATGATTGGCACTTTTTTTTTTAGGTACGCGCTCATCAAATTAAATTTATTTCATGTGTAACATATCCACGAAATCCAACGCAAAAAAAAATATATGAATAGGAAAACACCAGATTTGTGTCTAACCAAAAAAGACCCCACCAAAAGTGGTTGCTCATATATAACTCATGATGCTAACTTTTATACTAATTTTCAACAACAAATTAAGGTTTGAACTTAATTTGGAGAGAGAAAAAGGGAATGACGCCCCACCAACCTATGTAGGTACAGTATTGTATAGTATGGTATAAGCTAGGCTTGAATTTACATGCATGCATGAGTTGTACGAATAAAATATAATGGCAATGACCGAAAGGTTAATAGGGCGTAACGTCCGAATCAGGGAGGACCCGATTGCGATTGCGGGTTCTCCGCTTGGACTGCCGCTTGTGGCTGCCGCCAAACTTCAACCTGCCGGTGTCCTTAAAGCGCGCCCTCTCGGCCGCAATGGTGACGCACTCGGGCGGTGGCACGGGATACCGCAACGAATCATAGCAATAAGAGTAGTACATGTACCGCTGCCTGAACCTGCGCATGGCGGCCCGCCGCTGAGGTGTGATGACGGAGTAGTCCTGGGTGGCGAGGAGGGCGTATTTCTCGGCGCATGCTTCAGGGGCTGGGATTTGCTGGATGGGGTCGGCAGGGCAGCCATCCAGGACCAGGTCTTTGAATTCGGCTACGAAAGGGGCATATTTGTAATTCACCTTGTATTTCCCTCCTGATGTGGCCCAATTGCTAGCATCCCATATAGTCGCATACAACGACATTGGCTTTGATGGGTAGTCACCCCCCATTTCTTCCCTTCTCACCACCTCTCTAATTGGAACGTCATCCACATAAAATCTGATACATTAACAAATTTTTAGTAATTAATTAATTATAAGGGAAGATTTACTTGCATCATCTGAAATTGATACGTCAATCATGGCCCTCATTTAATTGAACAAATTTTACAAATCATGGCATTAATTTAGTTGAATAAATTGATTGATTATATCAATTCCACACAAAAAAAAATTACATTTCTTCATCAGTTAATGTGTGTGTGTGTATATATATATATATATATATATATATATAAAGGCATCATCAATCAATTTGTTCAATTAAAATTAGGCAATGATTGAGTCAATATGGTTTATAGAAAACTTCGGATCTGCATGGGTCAGTTTGGCAGCCTACCAAAAATTTGGTACACCATCTAAAAAGTATAGGAGGATGCTTTCTTTATCCTTACATATCAAGTAATTAAAAGGCAAAGAATCAACATTCAAAATACCAGAAAATGTCATTGATTAATGCAAATATTAAGAATTGATATTATTAATAAATGAAGAAAATATAGTAAATTCACATTTTTTTCATATTAAAAATATTTTAAAAAATCAGATAAAGAGTCGTATTTTTATGAAACACAACTATCCATATCTTTTTATATTCTAAAAAGGTTAAAATCAATTTAAAAATCAATTGGCTCTCGCTGGCTAGCTAGCATGAATTATATAAGGGCTTCTTGTTGCAGTTTCATTCAAATATTTTGAAGTCAAATTGAGTTCAAAGTAACAAAAATGTTTTATAGTCTAGTATTGCTACAATTTTGTAAAAATACATGAAAACTAGTGTGTGTATATATATATATATATATATATCTCTCTATTATATACGACAAAATTATTGTGTGTGTACGCGCACGTATATAAAAATGATTCTTGTTGTTTCTTTGAGAGCATAAAAGAAAATTATTCTTGTGTTAGATGTGACATGTAGGGTTATTATAAGATTTTAAACAAAGTAAATATGATCACATTTATCCATACTTTTTTTATTTAATCAACCATCTAATTAGTGTGACCTAAGCATAACACATGTTGGACTTTTTCTCGAGAAGGTAGAAGCAACCCAGACGCAATCCCAAAGCGTGTATGGCTGCTCGTGAGGTCAAATGAGCATACAACAAAGTCTACAAAGCATACCACGTAAACAAGAATGCGAGAACCTTCCCAAAACAGAAGGAACAATCAAAGCAAAACATGGCATAGAAAAAGGCAAAACAATATATATATATATATATATATATATATATATATAGAAAATAACACAAATTCTAGAAGGAAATTAATAAATATTAATAATAGAAATATGGGAAGAAAAAAAAACAAACTCACATGGTGATTTGAGGGGTCCAAAGAATGCTATATCGGTGGAAGTCCCTGGTAGGGTCGAACCACAGCCGGTAACGCTCTTCCCGGCCGCGGTTAGTGCTGCCATTTCCGTAGACGTTGGTTTGGAATCTCCATGGCTTCCCTTCTGTGTTCCCTAAGAATTCTATGTCTAACTCGTCGTGGCTCTTCTCGAATACGTCCGCGTTTGAGGTCTGTTTGTTCAGTTTGATCACGATCATATAAATAAACAAATTAATTCATTTCCAGGATATGTGGCAACAAAATTTCTTAACTGATGAAAAAGTATATGATTTTTGTATAAAACTCCCCTAATTTCTTCCCAACCAGAAGGGATTCCAATTTCCAAAATATAATAAGAGAACTTACGTAGAAGGCAACACAGATACCGGCAGTGTAATCGGATGGCAACTTAATGTTGGCGCTAAAGAAGCCATGGTTGTAGAGGTTAGAGGAGATGAAGCCAGACCCTTAAGTAAATTAATTAACCAAATTAATCAATATGAAGAATGAAAGAGAGAAGAAAATGAATAAAGGTCGAATTGTATAATATTATACTAGCTTTTCTGCACGCGCAAATGAACACAACTAACCTGTAAAGCGGTCGAGGAGAAGACGAACACCTTTCCCGTCGGGGGAGCGGACAAGATTGCCGTCACCGAAGAGAGGGCTGTATCCTTGGTTGAAGGGGATGGTGGTGAGGTTACTGAAAGCTGCGTCCACGTTGCCAATATTAGCCATACACGTGAATATGATTAAGAAACTGATGATCAGAGGGTGGAGAAAGAGAGAAATCCCATTAAACCAAAATCTACAACGTTTTATTGTCCCCTCCATAATTTTCTTTTCTTTTTTCTTTGTAATAATTCAAATTTTGATCTGTATTGCCTTTTGTTTTAATTCTCTCTCTTTCTCCTCTCTCTCATCCGATCCCACCTCCTTTGCTTTCTCTCCGAGTTTGTTTATATGCAATTCGCAAGAGGAGGAGCTAAGAGGCCACCAAACCAAGAGGCCAAGAGGGATTTAATGCAAAGGTTACGAGAGAAACAGATAGAAAGAGAAAGAGAAGAAAAGAAAGACAGAATATATGGTCCTCGGCTGCTGATCAGGCTTTGAATTAATTATTTAACTAATTAATTGGCGGATGTACGATAATGCCCTTCGTTGGCTGGGATATTATCCGATTGGCCATCAGAGATCAAGTCGAAGAAATTCTAGAGCGTATTTTAAACAAATGGAGCAACTTCATTAGATATTCGTACAACTAAGAAATCAACATCACGCCAATGGTTTTTAGCCAAGCGAAAAACGGCACTTGCAGACCAAAGATCTTAGGTTCAAACCTCTATAACATCATAAATGTGTGTGTGTGTGACACTATCGCTTGTACTAAATATATATATATATATATATCAACATCACATCCAAAGTATCAAGTCTAAACGGAAAACAAAACTAGAATAGACAAAAGTCGAACACACAACTCCTAACCCACATCACTACAAAGGGCTTCTTATTGAAAACGCCATAAGGGAGTATTCACTAACCCAAAAGAAAATTGGATAGGAAAAGGAGGGGCAGTTACGCTTCTTCTACCCCTAACCTCCCCCTCCCTTATTGATTTTATCCTTTGGGGCCAAGAGAGAGAGAGAGAGCGGCTAAGATTTTTGGATTTTTCAATTTCCTAGAGAAATGGGGAAACACATATTGAAAAAATTATAGTTTGATTGTCACATCGATGCATTATGTTACGTACTAATACATATGTTGTAATATAAGTTGACAACATAATTGATATATCATAGACCTATGTATAATTTGAATAAATAAATACACATGTAATAACATGAAAGAATTGATAACACAATGTACCCATAGTTTCATCGAAGAGATATCATATACAAAATGTAGTTGGTGCCTGGTGGTCACAACTTACAGAATCATTTGTTTTTATGTTTAACTTTAGGATTTGCATACATTAAACTTTTAAAATAAAATAAATGTCGGGTTGTTACATAATAATGAATGATTAATATAAACAGTACGACGTGATTAGATATATAACAAAATTTAACAACTACAAATTCATGCGGTGCCTAAGTTATATCGCTGAACCTGGAGGGGTCCTTTCGCTTTCCAAGTCAAGGGAATAATGTAATAACAACTAACACTTCTGCCAATTAAAAGAATAAAGTTGATACTCCATCCAACGATTCGTCTAAGTGCATCCACAATGACTCCATGCAATAATTGAATTATAGTTTTACTTGCAATGGTATAGTTAAATATCTTCATATCAATAGTTATATTTCTTACATGTTTTTTTTTTAATAATTGAACTATTAAACAACCATTGCGCATGCTCTTAACGGCATATTATATTAATTAACATATTTTTTCTATTTTTTTATTGGCTTGCTCTTAATGGCATATGTACATATTTTTTACAAACAGTAAATGTTTGTTTCAAATATTTAACAATTATTTGCGTATTTTATCATTATTTTTCACGTACAATTAAAAAAACTACAAATAAACAAATTTAGGCATAATTACAAGTTTTTATATAATGGCCGAATTTTTCATTGTATCTTTTAAAGAAATTTAGCGAATAATAGATGTGCGTATTTTACACATATTGTTAGCGTGAGTCAACTCTCCTAGTATGGTTAGGATTGTGGTGATTATTGTATAATCAGGATTTCTGTAATTATTAGAATTCATTGTAATTAGCTTTTCTTACTCACTAAGCCAACTTGTATCCTTAGATATTGATCCTTCAAAAGAGATGAATACGCGTTAAAATTAAATTCATACTATATTTGTATTTAGCTAAGTATAATATATATAGTATAGAAATATTTGTTCATTAATTAATTAATTGTTATTTGCTAAGCAGACAGAATACAAGAATAAATATGGGTGTGAGCCCGAGCTAGCGTATAATATATGAAAGAATAAAATAAAAAATAATAATAAGAAGAAGTCGTAATCAATAGGTAGGCTACCTATAAAAAGTTTGATTTCTTAAACTGCTTAGCCAAATGTTCCCATCATCAAACTCAATAATTTAGGCTAAGTTTATCTACCCAAGCCTTTAATGTGACGCAGGAAAGGGACATCTGTTAGGCTATGAAGGGAGTAGCGTAGGAGTAGAAGGTTGATGACATCTTCGTATATATGGCCCATCATAAAACAAGAGACTTTTTTGTATAATATTCGTGTTATATACGTATGTACATATTTTCGTTTTCCATACATGTATGAAAATACTCAATAATATACACTTTTAAAAAAAAATCAAATATATAATACATACATTATACACATAAGTACATATGTATTCTTCACGTTTAATACACGTATTTTTCACATATTATTAAATAAAAAAATTTATATTACAAATTTTAACAAAATTATATTCAAATATTATATAGTGGCCAAACTTTTCATTTGGATTTTTCAAAAATTCTGCCGAATAAAACACGTACATATTTTATTTGTACTTATCCCGTTCCGTATTTTACTAACATTCTAACATATGACCTCAATTGGATTGATAATTGCTCTTAATTACATGACGTAACGTTAGAAGCCGCCAACGGGGTCTATCTCAATTGAAAATGGCATTGACTTATAGACCAGTAGTCTCATGTTTAAACTCTCATGGCACCTTAGTTTAGACTATTACTTATATTAAAAAAGAACGTAATTACATGCATCTTTTTTTTTGGTCAAAAATAATTACAAGCCTTTTACCACCTATATCTATATGCATTTACTTTTTGTCATATTATCATATAGGTTTAAATACTTTTTTCGTCATTAGGTTTTACATGAAATTTCAATTTGGTCACTGAGAAACAAATTTAGCTAAATTGATCACTGTATTAATCAAAGCTTACAATTTATAAATTTGCAGTTAGTTTCCGTTAAGTTGTTGGATTAAATACCTTTATGGTCACTAGGTTTTACGCGAAAAAACTGCATGTTGTACTTTCAATTGAAAATCGTAACACACTAATAATCAATTAGAAAATGACAAGTGGTTAATTGATGGGTCTTTTTCCCCTCCAAATAAATGTTATATTAGAATGGGTCTTTTTCCCCTCCAAATAAATGTTATATTAGAATGAGTCTATTTATGAAACCCCCATCTTTCCCCCCTCCTTTTTATTTTTATTTTTTAAAATTTAATTTTTTTTTAAAGGTACATTGTGATAGTATACAAAGGAGGGGGGATTTCTCATACACCCATACACACAACTATGATGCCGTGAGGATTCAATCTTGAGACCTCTAGTCTGCAAGTCAAAGGCTTTTTTCACTAGATTAGACCGGTTGGCTTTTTATTTATTTTTATAAATAATGAGTTTAAGTTATACACGAGATTTTAGGATACTAACCTGCCCCTCCCAAAATTGACCGAATCAAATTTTTTGTTAATTTTTTTTTTTAATGAGGAGCAGGTCAATTTGGGTATGAAATACATTAAAAAAGATAAATAAATAAATATACGGAGCAAGTGAAATGATGGTCACAGTTTGTTTAAATAACGGGGCGGTTGGGTGTGGAATAATTAAGCGTTTGTTTAAAAGAAGGGGTAGTTGCTTTGGTAAGCTCTAGATGTCCATGAAGGAAGTTTCAATTGCACTCCTTGATGTTTGGTCTAATTACAATCAGATCTTAGATGTTTCTTTTGTAAACCATTTGATGTTGGGTCTAATTACACATACTGTTGTTTCATTCCCTTACAAATATCTGCAAAAAAGTACTTGAATTTGGATGTATTTGTCCATTCAATTAAACGATTGTTATTTTATATTTTCTTGAAGCACCATGTTCGTCAATTTTGTTGGACACAACTAAGATGTCTTGACGATTTCTAATTTGTCTATTTTTTTAATTATATATATATATTTATTTTTTACAAGGATGATTTTTGATTGAAAATTTTAAAAATAGACAATTCAGATTGTGAAAATAAAATTCATATTGGGCTTCAAAAGGAGTCCCTCAAATAATTATTTGAGGATCCCTCAAAAGAACAAATGTATTATATTTTAGAACTAATTCGCCTAAAATTAATTAAATATAATATTATAATTGGCGTATTGCCATATCGTATTCTCATACTTATACTGATATCCGTGCAACATAGCATGTTAGTATACTCGGATTGTGTAATCGCTGCCATCTTAAAAATTTGACGAAGACACTAGAAATCACCAACATTGGTGGTGTCGAGTCGCACGCCCGAGGCCCAGCAAGCACCAGGTAATATGTGCATCACTATTTACATCTTTCCTGCAGTTACATTTGGAATAAAGTAGGTCAAATTGGCGACACATCTAGACTGTAACTTTTGTAACAAGAGGTGACTAACAATTATATTTACAGGAAACTCATTACACCATGGCTCAATACTCTAAAACGTATAAGCAGCAGCCTCGCCTCTGGGCGTAAATAAATAAACATTTAGCTTTTGAGAAAGTGATAATTGGATTCAATGTAGGTTTCAGCATCCCATAGGAATGATCCGAAAGCAACAGCTTCCAAGACAAGCATTGTCAATCCAGAGAAAGTAAGCGCAATCACTTCATCGTTAGAGGCATCAATTGAACCATCATCAGTAATCCTGATGTCAGGTCTCCCAAATAGTGCTTGTGTCTGATTTTCAATCAAAGAAATTGCTTCCTTTGATCTTATAGTAGCGTATCTCTGGAGAGTCTCTGCATCCAAGTACATCACATAGGATCTCAGTCGATACGACTTGTCGTCACCATTGTTCATGTAACTACCTCCATCACTATCACTACCACCGTCTGGAGGTATCCGGATCAAGGAATCCGGATCCCATAGCTGGTTTGCTGGTGCTGCATCTGGAGTGAAACCATCAGGAAGGGTGTTCATGGTTCTCTCAAGCTGAAACCGCTGATCAACTCTCTTGAGAAAATATCCGTACATTATTGAAGCAGCATACAACTTTCCAAGTTTGATTTTGCTAATCTCAACGATCGCAGAAAGAGGGCCCACAAGTCGCTCTCCAAGTACAAGGGATAAGTGGCTCTGTATCATCTCCAATGCTTCAGGAGAATGAACAGATTCTAGTTTCTTTTCTTGCATTGGCCAGAAATCCACTCTTCCAGTGGGATCTGAGGTCGCTGATATCTTCGGGATCATTGAAATATCATTCTCTATGAATTTCTGCACTATCAAGCAGTATATTATCTCTTCCAATGCCATGCGTCTTTCTTTCTCTTTGACTTGAGCTATTCGCCTAAAATTCATGATTTTATTTAAGAAGTTACTCCATATCCTCCAACACCAAAACAATGAATCAAACAATAGTTGGGGAAAACAAATAAAGAGCAAGCACCAGTATGCGAAGAGATTGTTAGATGATATGTTTCAAACTGCGTACAGTATGGAGAGATGCATGATAACAGCATTTCTTTTTCTTTTTCTTTTTTTTCTTTTTTTTTTTTTGTTGAGGAAATAACAGCATCTCTTCTTAGACACCTAATCACGTCTACTTAAAATTGACTTTCAAGAGAAGAAAGAAAATTTGGAGCTATGATTCAGCCTGAAAGAGGTGATGGTGATGGTAGGTCAGAAATGCAGTACAAATTAATGAAGGTAAGATACTGATGGAGGCCTAATGTAAGTCAAGACTCAAGGTGGTGAGTGGGTGTGACACCAACTGATCACTGGTGAGGATGGTGACATTCTAGTGCTAGTACTGTAATGTGGCTAATGGAGGGGAAGCATATGCAGGTTGTTTTTTGGTAGTTTGCGGAGTCTCTGATTGGATGTCATCCAATTGCTCTCATCGAAATGGTGGATGGACCGGCAATAGGCTCCGGGAGGGCAGTGATACATCAGCTTTGCAACTGCAGGAAAGGTAATTGTGTTCTTAGATTGATTGATGGTAGTGCCACAATCTAAGGGTAAGCATTGGCACAAAGTTCTTAGATTGATTGATCTTAGTGAAATTATATCATATTCCTGCTGGTACCTATCACATCTTAAAGTACTAGCATTGAGGTGTTAGCATTGTGCTAAATTGTACCCATCAGTTGTCATACACATGTAAACACAAGCACATGCATACAAATCGAACCGCACTCTATATTTAAACAAAAATGGTTCAAGTCAAATTATAGAAAAGAGAAAATAAATTAAAACAAGTATTCTTTTCTCTAAATCTCACATCCCAGTTCAGTACGACTAGAAAAGTTTACTTGGCATGTGTCAAGTGTACTTCAGCTACCTAGGACGCTCTTGCCATCAATAATTATTTTTAAATAAAAATTAAGTTTAAACCCGGAAATAACTAGAGCAGCACATAACATGGTACAACCTGTAGTGTAAACTACTAAATCTCAAAGATTCAAAGCAAAGGTAGGCAACTACATAGATGTCAAACTTTATCTTGTATCAAGAAGGTGAGAATAAGATGGGATGATAGAAACAGTGCAGACCTAATGAAATCTTTTGCAATATTTATTTTTCTTTTCAATTACTACTGACACAACTGAGGGTTCAACTGCCGAATTCAGTATGACCACTGGTCTGCATCCTGTGGAGTTTTACAGTATCAAGCTAATAGACCCAAAGACAAATTAATTGCAGGTGGACCAAGCCCGAAGAAAGTATTTATTCTCTCCCATTAGTTAATGATCTGCCAATTCCACTCATGTTTTCAATGCCACAAGTATCATTATCCCATAAAACTAAAAATCGTGCCAAACCAAATACTTATAATCCCTGCTAATTTGAAAATGAAACTGCTCCCATATCACGTTGTTACCCCCACATTGATCAGCAATGCTGCTGCTATGAAGTCAGTTGGGTGGTAAGATAAAGTCCGTATGCAGCATTAGGTTACCATGTGTAATGTAGGAAAACACAAGGTGGCTATTGCTTATGATTATGATGGCCTTTAAATGATAGAACTTTTGCTTAATTACTCTAAGCCACCCAAACACCCCCACCCCAAATGTACTCTCTCTCTCCATTTTTTTTTCAGCTTTTGTTTTTAACTTTGAAATTGAATTAGCAATTTTTAACATTTTTTAAATAATTTAATTTCTAGAGAAATAGTATTAAGTCACAGTAAATAATAGAACTCGAAGAAATCTTAAAACACATTGAAGCTAAGATCCAAATAAGTTCACTCTTATTAACCCCTATTAACTCTCAGATTAATTATTTGACTTACATTATAACTATTTTAAAATTAAATGACTCTTACACTACCAAAAAGGCCTTACTGTTAGATTTGGGGCAATGGGCTTAGTGGTGGGCGTCCAAAGAGGATCTTTAAACAATTCCATCAGTGTGCATCAAATTCTGAGTTGTTTCAACATGTAAAAATTTACCAATTACCGTCCATTCAAGAACAAAACTAAAATAACTACTCTTGAGAGATCACAGTACTTACTTGTAGAGGGGATCTTCATATGAAGCAGAAGTTTCTTTTCTCTGGGCATCTCTATCTTTTTGAAGGTTCTCAAGCTGCTGATCAATGGCTGCAGATAGTAGATGTGGATGATTTTGCAATATTTGGGCCAAAAGCTGGCCGGCAGGGGATTCAAATTGAAGAGGAGCAACTGGCACCAAATTATCACTTGAATCCTTTGATGCTCTCACAATCAACCCTCTTGCTCTGCACTTATACAGTCCGTTTCCCAGCTTTGGGATGCAAGATGAAGGACAGCTCTAGAAAAGAAAAGAAAAGAAAAATATTTTGTTAAAGCGCCAACCATTCATAACCTTGCCTTAGTGCCCACCCTGGATATGGCAATACGGTGCAGAAATATTCATACAACTCTCTTCATTGGATTTCAGCAGTCAAATTCAGTGCGTATACATATACATATATTAAATCAATGCCAAAATCAAGATAATCAGTGTTACTTGGAAACTGACATACATAATGGTGAATAGCCCCTATCTTGGGGCAACTAGCTTATAAAAATGATACCATGCAAGTACATGTGGGGATACAAATGCATAGAAGGATTAGAAATTGGTAAATATATGGGGATACAAATTCAATGAAGACATGGGAAAAATAATACTCTAAATCCAATTCTGGAGCAACGTATCAATCAAATATATCATTTTCTTTACAAAATGAAGGCAAAACAGATGCTCATCCTTAGCAGCTAGGCAGTTGACAGCAGTTTTTTTTCTACCCGTCTATGCATCTCTCATTATTCTCTGTTTTTCATCTTCCGCTCCTTCCATTCTAGTTTTATTTATGGATCCTTTTGCCATTTTTGGTCCAGTTTGGGTAATGCAAGTATCATCCACAGGTAAACTTTGCTCTCTTTATTAATAACTCTTAACTTTAATAAATTACATTGTCACGTGGGGATTGGCTGGAATTTGGGTTCGAAACACTTGCAACTTCGGGTTTATGTTTCAATTTTTGTTTCTCAAGGAGATTGTCAACTTTCGACGGTGATACCTAGACTGTAGTAAACAGTTCCACTTTATGAAGATAAGTTCTCATGACTCACAACACTACTGGTAAGTTGAGTATGTCGGAAGAATGATATGATTAAAGAAGGGGTCTAAATCATAAAAGAAAATGTTAATGATTAAAGAAGGGGTCTAAATCATAATAGAAAATGTTAAGGTTAAATTAACCACCTCCTTTCCCAGTAAGTGTGGCCACCTCCTGAAGCCTGCACCAATTTTGGGTACTGGTTCTAACCTTTCCCATAGTTGCTTGAAACCCTAAATACTATTTGGTTCTTCCCATTCGATTGGCACTTCAGTTGCTTTAAATACTGGCATTAATGAAATCAAATGCCTGCTTTAAGGAAATATGTGAGATTTACCCAGATATGAACCATCACAAAGTTGTGCAACATTTTGTGAACAAAACAACAATATCTCACAACCATCAGTTATTTTACCAATGACATTGCATTAAGCATGTATTTTCTTACTCATCTGCAACTCAGCTTCACTTATAGTAAAAAACAAACTGAGCCACATCCAGTCAAAGCTACTCCACTTCTCCTTTTTTATAACACCGATTCAGATTTCCCCTAATCAATCCTACCACCCAACCTTTTTTTAAAAGAAACAAAGAGAGGAAAGTTTATTTAAGAAAAGAAGCTGTGCAACACCATGGATAATCTTTCCACCATAAATATACAAGAGAAAACAATAATTCATTCTACAACTAGTTTAGCAAACCAAAACAATTCAAGACACTACAGCTTTCCAGTCTAAAACAATGTCCAAAATAGAAGTGTTCCTAAAATCAGGAGAAACAGATGCCCAAAGTGCCGCCCGATAATTAACCTTCTCCCACACCTACTCCACCTTTAACATCTTCAAAGATCCTTTGTTTTCTTTCCGACCAAATAGCCTAAATGATCGCCATCAACATACGGCCCCATTATACTTTAGCCTTCCTTCCACCACCCAAAACTATAAATTTCTCACCCAGCCAAAAAAAAAAAGAAGAAGAAGAAGCAGTCTTTTGGTGCCACCCAACTATCATTAATGTTGCGGCAACCATTTCAGTTTATGGCTCAGATCATGAGTCTTTTAGGTAAGATTATTATGGTTTACTTAGTACATTTGGTATCTTTTTGTTTTTTTCTTCAGTAAGTTTATGGTATGTAGAACAGGTAAATTCATCTATAAACCCTGTGGTAAAGAAAAATATAACAGAAAAATCAGAAGATCCAGAAAGAAAGAGAGAGGAAACTGTTGGCAGGCAAAGAAATTAAGTATATAGATTGCTCTCTCTTCCTCTCTCTTTTTGCACTAGACAAGACAGAACATAGGCATAAAAAGGCATAAATCAGTTGACAACATTGACAAAGTCGATGAGGGTATGCGCAATAGAAAAAGGATCTTGACAAAAATAGAAAAATTCAACATAGCACAAAAGAAAAAAAAACATAGAGAGATGAGTGTGTTAAGGATGTCCTTATTTTTCCTTAAAATATGTACATCCTATTTCTGGGATATAAACCAATGACTGGAACTGCTTAGTTTTCAGATTTTCTATCAACGATTATCCATGCAAAAATTCAGTTAAATTGAAAAAAATTTAGCCATTTGATTATCCACATTTTCGTTTCAGTTTTATCTAACGTTTTTGCAGGGATAACTCTTCATAACCTAAATAAATTATAGAAAAAATAAAACTAAAACCCAATCTGATTGATAAATATTGGGAGCACAAACAATTGAATGACTGAAGAATTAACTTCAAATGAACAAACAGTTCGCACGCAGTCTGAAGACGTACGGCTCCATTTATTTCAAAAAATAAAAAGAAAATATGTTCCTAAGGAAGTAAAATTTTATCATTGTTAATTTATTCGCGAAATAGCTTTTCAATAAACCAAATGGAGATAGATAATTGTATATCAGTCACAAATTTGCCTACACTTTCTAGGCAACCAAACAGGGTAAAAGAAAATATCTGATCTGGGTTGTGTCCAATCTATCCCAAAGAAACGAAAGGCTAAAAAAAAATCCAAACATCATTAATTAAAATCTAAAAAATTCCTTTCAATTTCTCACGCTTGTTTAGCAACCAAAGGCTTAAACACGAGAGCAAAACATGAATGAGAGTGGACGAGAGCTTACTCTGAAAAAAGCACCAGAAAGAAATGACTTGGAGTTAGAGAGCGTATGCGAATGGAAGTGTCTGAATTCTGGCCAGCTAAGACCACCGCCTGAGGGAATCAACAACGAAACGTCGCCAATAACACCTGAAACCTGCATTTTGTATGTCCCCGAGACAGAGAGAGAGAGAGAGAGAGAGAGTTGTGTGATAGTAGAAGTCTTGGTGGTTAAAAGCAGTTTGTTTGGGTTCTCTTCTTTTTCCTTTTCTTCTAACCTCTCCGCGCGTAAGCGCGTGCAACTTAAAAACCTTTTTGTTTTTATTTTTTGTTTTTGCAATTGTATTTCTCGATAACCGTCACAACGATTTCTTATTTTAAAGTCGAGTCATATTTTTCTAGTTTTATAAGTCCGAAAAATTGCTTAACGTCATATGTTTTTTCTTTAGTTTATGCTAGCTGCTTTTAGTTTTAATTTTCTGTTTTATTTTTCTGATGTAGGGTGATGATTTTTGTCGGTGGCATTGCGGTTTCTGTGTGCAGATACATATAGAGCATCTTCACCCGTAAGGGCTTAGTCTAGGACAAGGGCAAGCAAGGGCTGTCACTATTCACGTGAATAGTGTCAGCCTTGCCATTTGCGGTTCCATTCATGAAGGCTAAGTGGCGTTGTTCAGGCTTCCTCTTCTTTCTCTCTTTTCTTGTTGCGAACCAGCCATCTACGGAAAAGGTAACCTTTCCTGAAGAACAGCACACAGGTCTTGGATACGAGCACTAGTATAATTTCATTGCTCAGCCATCTTCCCCAAACTAGCCATGATAGTTGTTTCCAGTCGACAAGTATGACTGGCCAGGGAAGTGGTTTAAAGATAGTTGGGAAAACTTTGCTCTTAACCCCCAAGATATTCAACAGCCAACATAAAAATAAAATTTCAATTCCAAAAGCTCAAAGGAAAAGCGAGCAGCTTATTAGGAGTTACCGAGGTAGAAATCACTTATCTTCTGTTCATACCAACCATGGGTATTATCAAAGCCAAACTTGCCAAAATCGAACCACTAGCCAACGAGAAAGATAAATATTCAGTCCTGCTACCACGGTGTCCTTCAATATGCAGGAATTAGTTACTCGCCGGAAAATACATGAATGATTATGGAAATAATTTGAGTAGCATCCAAAATCTACTTTTAAAATTGGTTCCCAACATCTATGGCATATAGAGCGTCTTAAAATTGTTGGTGCAGAAATTAAATTAAGAGAATAATATTACTTGGAAAATATAATATGTAGCTATGAACGATTCAGACTAAGTTGCTCTTTTTAAGACGTTTCACGGCTCTGCCTAATTTGTGCAAGCAGTTCAGAAAAGGCCACTACAACCCCAGGATGAAACAGCCCCAGAACCTCCTATGTCTAGGTTTTTCCTTACACTAAGGAAGGACCCGAATACAAACACCTTTCTGACTATGTTGCTCAGAATCTCAATAAAGTAAATAAAAGGAAGAGAGAATTTCATAGGAGGGAAGAGGAAGAAGGATGTAGCTTTTCTGTATGTTTTCTTATGCAAGATATATCTAATATATATATATATATATATATAATATTCAATAAAATAGATGTTGGAGACTTTAAAAACAAGCCGTTGAGACAAAACAGCCAGTACTAAAGAAATTTAACTCCCACTATTAAAGTTAATTCAATGTAATTATTGAATAATTTTATTTTAAAATAAACATACCAGTTTCATCAAATTTATTGTTCTTTTTTGAGTTCCCTCAGAAGTCACAACTTTGAGCTTTCTTGAATGGATTAAATCTAGGCTTAATTACACCAATGCCCCTTGAAATTTCGATCAAATCTCACTTTGCCCCCCCAAACTCAAAATGGCCCACTTTCATTCCTTGATCGAGGTTTGGTGACTCACTTTGCCACATGCCGTCAACTCCATTCAAAAATCTGTTAACTTTGATAAAGTGACAGAAGTGTTTTTGTAATTTTGTACACATAAATTATTATCCACCAATTAAGTGGGTGACGTGGCAAGTGGAGGGCACCTCCACATAGTTAAAAACATTGAAATATATCGAAGTTTTCTTAAACATTTCAACCCTCACCTCTACGCTCTTCTCTCTATTTCTCTTCTTCAAGAACCAAAATCCAAAACAAATTGAACACCCAACCCAAAACAAGTAAATATTGAACACAACTCTCTCCTTCTAAACCCATAAAATTCAAAATTTTCTATTTAAACCCCACACTTCTCTTTATTCACCACAATACTTAAATCATTAAACGGTTAAGTTTTATTATTGTGTAAAAAGACAAAAAAGGCCATCCAACTTAATATTTAACCATAATACATCTATACACACCCCAGCGAAACATGTTCAAGTGCATGGCTCGATATCGCACCACCGCTCCTACTCCCCACCGCCTTGTCCATCAAATCCAGAGGACTGTCACCAACTAATACATCGTCATGGTCCAGCTGCTTAAACAATGAGACATTGGGATTTGGTGAATTGGCTGTTTGCAACATTAAAAAAATCAAGGTCCTACCTTTGGGTTCAGGAATTGTTCTTTTGGGTATAGGAGGTGGGTTCCAATTCCTTTTTCCAAATTTCCCAAAATTGTGGGGTTTGTAAAGGTGGGTTCTTTTGCAATTGAATTGGGCAAACTACAAAACTGACGAAATAGGAACTTAATAAGGTATTAGATCAATCCGGGGGTTAAGTAGGGTTTAGGGTAGTTTGGGAAGATAGTGAGGTTTTCTTGGAAATTGTGAAAATTTGAATTAGAAGTTGGAATGAACTTAGAACATGAATGAACAAAGAGAAGTGTGGGGTTTAAATAGAAAAACTATCCTAAACCTTTTTCTATCTCCACCCACTTCCTCTTTCGCCTCTGTTTTTTTGGGGTGGAGAGTTGACCTTAGTTTCATGAGGCATTGGTGTAAATAAGCCTTAAATCTATCATGTGCATCAAAACCCAGGTAATGTAATGGTAACAGAGCATTTTGGTAAGGTAACTGAAAAATCTATATAGACTATAATTAGCCATACATGTCATAAACATACAGGGAAGTCAATCAAATCATACTATATCACAAATCAGATGTAGATTTTGAGATCACAACATAAGACATCTGCAAACTACCATCATGGCTCGTGTGTCCTCCAGCCCCTGCATCAGTGAAAACTTGCCTCCTTTGTCCATATACTAATCGAAGCACCATGGTGTAAACCCCAGAAAATCAGAATCACTGAAGAACCAACTTATATGATCAAGAGGAACATGAAATGTCCATAAATTTCCTAGTGATAAATAAGAAAATAATGAAATGTTTGTGGAAGAGGATACGAAAAATTTAAAACAGAACATAAGTATGGATATAATGGTTACCTGAAAGGCAGAATATGAGTACGGAAAACCATCCCTTACACATTATGGCATACAGGGATTCATCAGTACGGTGGTGGAACAATCACCTGCTAAAAATCCTGACACTACTTTCTCATTTTTCTGTCACAGATATTGTCGAATTTGATTGAGGCAAGGATTCCAGGCCATCAGTGGCTTGGCTTCACTCAACTGCTGTCAAGAATTTCTGGTGGACATTTATGTGCCGGATTCTGTGGAGATGTTTGGCAGAAACATTCTGGCCAAGAATTTGTATAGAAAGACTCAGGTGGGATCCGCTTGTGGGGCCCGCCAAGGTTGGTCTTGAACATGGCTTGCCTAACAGCTTCTTCAAAACCTGCTGTCCGTCCCTTCTCTCGATCAATGAAGATTGGGGCAAGTGCTTTCCTGTCGGGTCTAATTGTGGTTCGGAAGCCATAATAAAGGCGGTGACCAAGGAGATTGTTTGCAAAGTTGCTAGGGCCATCATATGTAGGCATAAAAATATCAGAGAGGAGACAAACCATGTAGTCCACTGCAGACCCTAACAACCCCTGGGTGTTTTCTGCTAGCTCGTCTGAGGGATCTACAGAACTGTGGTTCTCAAGGTGAGGGAACAAAGCCCGAAAAGGTTTCATGAATCTCTCCCCACCAAATAGGTCACCAGCAGCTAAGTATATCCTGGTAGAATTGTTAAACCCCATTGCACGTAAAATAAGACCGACCTGCATAGAAAGGGGGCATAATTTTATTAGGATTTCATATAGGAAATGTCATATATTGCCTGTTATCTTGAAATGGTAAGTGAAGCTTAACAAGACACTGATGCAAGGTAACAGCCATCTTATAATCTTAATCTTGATGACTCTTTCTCACTGGCAGTACAAAAAACCTTTTTCACCGATAGATAAAGAAACATTAACAAGAAAGACAATATTACCTCTTTTGGAGTTAATGGGCATTTTCCAATGGCTCTCCTTTCCTTGTAGACAAGCTTCTTTGGCGCAAAATTTTCTTTTCGATACTTCTTCAAAATCTCCTGCTCTTTGGAGTTGAAAATATCAAAGCACCTGCAGAAATAATTTCACCAGATGTTAAGAAGTCATCATATAACATTATTTTTCAAAATCTGAACTCATGAACTGTTTCAAAATATGAACTGATCAAAGATTGTTCACCTTGTCTATCTAGTGGCTTTGAAATACGAGAATTCTTGGCATGATGTAAAGGAGAACACTCCAGTCATTCCTCATTTTATGTAAGAATTCTGCCAGGAACTTACCTTAAGTGACTATATAGATAGGTCACTCTTGTGCTTGGAATCTTAGTTTTGGCCTATCGATACTAAACTAAAAGATTAAAGTTCAATTTGTTGTGCTAAATTACTGGTCAGTTTTTTCTTTTACTTCTGTTCTCTCCTTGTTCTACATCAGTAGTATCAAAGCAATCTATATCCTACGTCACTCAGGGCATTAGTTGTGCTGGAAACTATGGCCCCCTCACCCTAAATGTTTTACAAAAGTACCTTCAAATGCTCGACTTAATTTAGCGCAATGCATGTGTTTGTACACAAGCGTATTTATATATGTGAATATGTGTGTGATTTGCTTTGATTTTTCACTTCTATCATATTTTTGTCTTGTAAGCAGATATCTCACCATATGCAACAAATCAACTAATTATTTTACATCTCTGACCTATCCCCCCCAACATGCACATGCAAATGAGAACTTCGCAAAATAGTTAGAACGTACCCAGCAAATGCCAGCATATCCATCTCAAAACGAAGATGTATGGACATGAAGTGACCTTGTGCGCGAAGCTTATCTACTATTGATTGACTTAACTCCATAATATTTGTCTTAAACCTCAAAGCATGATAGTTAACTCTACACCTCAACCGTTGATACTCAGGGTTGTCAATTTCTTCTGCCAAACGATGTGAAAATGGAGTAAGATAAATAGCACCATGCTCCTTCATTTTCACAAGAGCGTCTGTAGTATACCAACTGATAGGAGCATCTCTAGGGGGACGAAGCTGAGACAAGGTTTAGAGGAAGAGAAGTAAACATTTTGAACCTATTAAAGAAATCACATTGATTTATGATTATGAATGCGATGAAAACATATACGGATGTTTTACCTGTACAGCTTTTATCTTCTTGGTCTTCCCATTTTGGCGAATTTCTGGTATTTTTTCCACAATTTTTACATCATACCTCAATGACTTCATAAAATGCTCAACATCATAGATACCGTGGAAACCACTGCACGTGTTAAATATGTGGTTACAATCATGTAATATTTTATGGAGTTCATAGAAACCAGCATTCAAATAACAATGAGAGCACAGTAGACACATTACTCACAGTTCCTCAGAACAAATACCTTGGTTTTTCCCAAGAAAATATATTATTTAAAGTATGAAGGGATATATTTATAGGAAATTATGCCAAAAGTTCTACAGGAAAATACATTCATGCAGTTATGTTGAAGCTTTAAGTTTCCATTCAATAATGCTAGAAGTTGGAATTTAACTGCTCTAGTTACATTCAGGCCAATGAAAAGGTCAATATATGATTAAACCTATTTCCTTGTGAACCACTGGACAAAAGTAGCTGAGCTACCCTACAGAAAGACCAATGATAGGTCTTCTTTTGGTGTGCTTGAGATCTCAGGTTAAGAGAAGGAGCACTGCATTGTGATGTTATCCCATCTAATGAGCTCTTAGGTTGGTTTGGGTGTGGCTACCATCATGTAATGCCTTATCTGTGGAGGTTCTTGTGGTGGAGGGGAGAAGACAAGGATGTGAAGTAGGTGTGGTTTGCTAGCCAAACTTTGGATGATATTTTTTTTATAGGGCATATGTTAGACACTGGATGGAAAGGAATAGCTTAATCATTGAGGGGATGAAGGAGAGTCCATGGATTGCTTATGGAATAAGGCTGGTTCACATTCCTGGAAGTATGAAGAACATAATTTGAGAGAACCCTTGAATCCACTTGTGGCAACAAAACCAGAAAAACTCAATATTGGTCTTTAACTATTGAAATATACCTTAAAAAAAACCCCAAGAGAAGAGTCCTCCTAGATCAACTAACAGAACAAACTGAAAAAGCTAAGGCCATGGTAATGAATTTTAAGTACCTATGATGAAAAGAAGAAAGGTAAGCCTTATCAATACAAATCTGGAAACATCTAATTCCTCCATGTTCATTAAAATGTTACAAACTAGTAGCTGAGGCTGCTAATTAAATGTGGCACATCTACCCTGTAGCTACATGAAATTTACAATTCCATCTACCCTGTCTCTTTTGGCTTAATAACCTCAATCAGAAAATACAAGTTAAGAATGAATTTGAATACACAAGGTGAAACATAATGTGTATATGCGAGTTGAGGGTCACGCAATCATTGAAAATAGATACCTATCATCATGCCAAAAAGAGTTTGCATCCAATTCAGGCAGGACAAGTGTGGCATTCATGATTCTTGCTGCAAGAACTGCATTGCAGATCTAAAACATCCAAGAGAATAACAAAAGGCAAATATTTCCCTCGTAAGAACATGGGTGACAAAAATGTAATTAATTACATATCATAAGGAAAAAGAAAAAGATACAAACCGCAGTGCGTTGTTGATTGAGACCACCATTACAGCGCACACGTAGGTAGCCGTTAGTCTCGCTTGGTGGAGCTGCCACAAAGTAGTAGCATCAGAACATAAAATGACGTTTCTAGAAACCAAAGCATTATAATTATTCAGGAAAAGAGTAAAGACATACGAGGCCAATCAGACCGTGGAGCTGATGATGGTCTCCAACCAACAGAATCAGCACTTCTCCAAAGTTCATCTAAACTCATCTGCATATACAATGGTAAGAGAACTCAGAGTCAAAGTTTCAACAAATAAATAGCAGGCAGCATCACTGTTACGGTAATTTTTAACAGAAGATGTCTGCCTCAAATGAAACTTTCAAAGAGTCTTTTGAACACAAAGAAAGATTAAGGTGACAAACTAAAAATGTTATCTCACCTTTGTTATCCGTATTGTACACATAAACATTACAAATTTACCTTAGCTTCCTTCTTCCCAATTAGAATACACCATAAAAAAACTCCTAGTAATTTTGAGATACGGATTTCTCATCTTCAGAAGTATCTAAGAAGGGTACTTTGCAATGTGATTTTTTGTCTTTGTAAAAAAAAATGTAAAATTGAATATGACCTGAGTACTTTATGCTCGATTGCATGATTTGTTACATAATCTCTCTTCATAAATCAGTTATCTTGATCGACCTGTTAGAGGATATTGGATCATCACTCTCATTGTCTTCTTCAGTCATTAGAAAGAGTGGACAAAGTATCAAATTTCGGTTATCAAAACCATTATCTTTACATTATGGATCCTGAATTTTCAACAATCACCCATAAAAATGATGATGTTCGGTTAATAGGTGGCAAAAGAAAACAACAAGGGCATTTAGTTCCATGCGTCATTTGCACGCATCCAAAAATAGAACTCCTAATTTCAATGTATCCAAGAATCAGTAGCATTTACCAATCTCTTCAACTAAGATGAATTAAAACTAACCCCACTGCATGAGGTGAAATGTATGTAAAATAAAATTTCTCAGAAACCAAACAGGCCAGACTTCCAAAACTAGAATCAAACAAAATCATTCAAAGCCTCAGCTTCCAACTAACCTTAGAGCGAGAGCCAGATCGAGCGCCGCCATTGCTCGTCGATGTAACAACAAAAGAAATGGTGCAGATCAAGACAACCACAACCGCGATCAATAGCCTCCCAATCATGCCCTTCACCCCTCCTCCTCCACCTCCTGCTGGCTTCGCATGCTGCCGTTGATGAAGCCCCTGTCTGCATCAAATCACCCAAGAAAAAAGTTTGGGGTCACTTGTGTCTGGTTACCGGGAAAGTTCAGAATCGGAGTGAGAAATGGGTACTTGAGTTACCTTCGCATTGCTTCAGCTTCTTTCTTACAGTTCAACAGCCACTTCCTTTCTTTAATTTCGGTGTCACTGAATCCTTCCTATCTCAATTCTCGACACACGGAAATATGTTTCAGTGTTGGCCGGGTCGGGTCGGGTCAACTAGTAAGTTACATGGCACCGAACTTGATCATTGTGGCCAACTCCACAATCTAATCTATCTCATGATTCGAATAGATCTTTATTGTGAGACTATTCTTGCCGAAAAAAATACTCAAACTGAAGAATGTTAGTTGTCTAACTATGATTAAATAAATAGACAAACATAATTTTTCAATTATAAAAAAAAATTCATGATAATAATTTTAAGTGATTAAATGAGTTCCGATTTGGATACAATTTTGTAGAGTTGATTTTTGAATGATGAACTAAAAATTCATCTGTTCAGATTAAGAAATTACATTGCAAACTAGACTAACACGAGTAGTTAATGTCATATTAACTTACTAACTGATTAGCGTTTTTTGTTACTTGCTTTAACTACCCATGCTATGGATGTGGGAGCATCAACTCGGTTCCTGTGGGCTTTTGATGAGCGGGATTTTATCTTTATTCGTGATGGATTGATTTGTCTAGAGCCCAGACTGATCTCGTGGTTTGTACCAACAAATTTTGCGTGTGTTTTACTTCGAAATCTTTCATGATTTCTTAGTTCATTACTGCTAAATTTCAAAATATTATGTAAGCAAGTTGAAGGCACCTGCTCATTGTGATTGGTGCTTGTAGCATAACACAGTATACAATTTGATATTTCTGTTTGAAGAACATGTGCTATTCAATATCCTGCTAAAACTGCAATGAGTTTATTTACTACAAAAATGATGACCTTTTCCAGCACTTGGGGGAATTTAACCATTTATAGGACAAACTTCAAGCTCCAAATGCCATGTTCATACAGCTTTTGGTCAAACTGATCAACAATTAACGATTCCAGATAAAACATGTTGTACAGAGAACATACTTTTTCACAGAACTATTTTGACTCTGATTACAGTACCACATACTTCTAATTTAACTATAGATCCAGTACAAAACAGAACAATTTTGCCTCTCCCTGATGTGTCATGCCTAAGTATGTCGCTTCTTTGCAACAGATTGCTCCACAAGATACCTGCATCAGAAAGCTCACTTACTTAGCAGAATTCCCATAAACCGTTCCAATTTTAAACAATCAGTTTAAAGGATCACCAAACACCAGATTATTTCAGAACCATCTACATCAAGCAACATAGATCTTGATCTCTATGAAAGGTAGGGAAGGTGGACAGTGTTCTTCCTGTGTACTGGCATGTGAAACCAATAAGTTTATACTGAGTGACATAAAAAAAAAATGTTTGCCATGTCACGTGTTTCTGTATAGTTCGTATAAAACTACCCCTCAACTAAGGGGTTGATTTCAAGTTAGTACCTAACCTGTAAAACATGACTGTTGTGGTACATATTTTGATCACCACACCAGACTTTTGAAAACCCTTCAAAATCAACCCTCAGTTGGGCTGACCATTAGTTAGAACCATTAAATGTCTTGTTGGCAGCTGGATCCTGTCCCATTTTTTCACTCATATGTGGAATTCAAGTTTGAGCCATATGGATGATTTAATACACATCAATAAAAAAATAATTAACAAGAACATCAAAACTTCTATAAATATTAATGACTAAAATTTGGGCCATCTCATGGGCAGCTCCACCTCAAAATCAAAACCCTCCCATTCCATTGTTCCCAGCGTCTTTCCCCTCCCTTCTACACTCTATTCCACAACCTCCAAGGAAGAGAGAGCCCATATGCTTCCTTTTAATAAGATCTCATCCTGCTCATGAGCAGGTTTTGATCGTCTTTTTGTGTTTTTAATGTATTTTTGGTTTGTATGCTATTTTTTAAATATTTCTCAACAGTTTTGCTACTTTTTAAAAAAAATCTTCTTGTCACCTGACATTAAGTAATCCAGATGGCGCAAACCCTGAATTCTATATAAGAGTAAAAAAGGGGACCCGAAACTACCAACGTTTAACACTTCTAACTGATAGTCAACCTAACAGAGGGTTGATTTTGAGTGTTTTCAAAAGTTTGGGGGACCGAAATGTCACATTTTAAAGATTGGGTACTACCTTCAAATCGACCCCTTAGTTGAGGGGTGGTTTTAGTAATTGACCCTAAAAAATTTCAGAGCTCAATGGATGTACCTCAATGCATAATCAAATGTGTCTATGAGCTCATTATATTGCTGGCCCTACATATATGTCCAGTGAAATGGTAGACGCAGAGAATGGTAATAAACACTAACTTGTCCAGATGGAATTGAACATTTAAAAGTTTTGTTCTCAACTCCTACTGAAATTCAAGAATAAGAGCAATAGATATAGACAAACTTGTAAAATATCATGTCAAATATGCAATGCAAATCACATAAAGCAATTAGTTTGGTAACCAAATCATATAAATGAGAGGCTGAAAACAAAGTGTAAGGAAATGGAATGTGAAAAGACTATTCAATACAGCTGTCACATGAAACAAAAGTAACTTGAGCTCAATTATAGAATAAAAACAATAAATTATTTGAGCTTAAATCATTTGAAGTAGGGAAATGATTACGTACTTGCCAGTAAAGAAACCTGCAGAATACCATGCATTAAATACAACAGTAAGATCTGTCTCTGAGCTAGTACTTTCAGCCATTTCCCCTTCACGCTTCTCATCCTTTTTATCTGTATTTTATGTAAAAAAGTAATTGATACAATCAGAGAGGATAAACTTCCATTTGCCAAAAACAACATGAAATTTATAAAGCCACCACAGCACCATCGTTCAGCCATGGCATGGACTGAAACAAAAACATACTTCAACTTCCCAAACCAAGGTTCATTTGTAGTGATTGTGAACTCATACAAGGTTATTGAGTAGATAATTAATGTATCAGACTTGACTTCTATCTTTTGTAGGGTAATGGTAAGGTTGAAATCAAAGAACAATATGTTTGCGTCATTGATTAAACAGCCATGGCCAACCAGTAAAACTAAAGCCTTTCAATATACAATCTTCTGTCCTAGGAGAATCATACAATATTACTACTTCAATAACGTACAGGGCTCAAAGATGATATATCCATAGCGTAGAAGCATATGTATGTACTTATGTTTTGTGTGTGGGTGTGTGTGGGTGTGTGTGGGTGTGTGTCTGTGTTTGTAAAGCGTAACAGCATAAGAGCAATAATATCAACAACATAAAATCAAATTATCTAGAAGGTGAGTAAATACAGATTTTACCAACACCATATATCAACAACTCTGGGCCTCTGGCCATCCAAATAGTTAATTTAGATAACCAAGGCATAGGACTATCTCACCAGATCAAGAGAAAATTATTACCTTCACTTATATTGACGAATGAAAATTATATTATACTTTTTCTTTCATAGCTATTTTTTTTAGGAGAACTTATAAACAAAGCTTCTAAGTGTTATCCCTGTTATTTCATGGCTACTTCTTTAAATGAACCATGTTCCGGAAGATATATTTATTAAGAAGACACGCATACCTTCACTTATATTAGAATCACCAGAAATTTTCATTTTCATCGATGATAATGCTCTTTCTGCAGTCCCCATTGCCGTCTTGACAATTTGATCATCTTCAAGAGAAAATGATTGCCCAGGGCTTGTTGCTAAACAAGCATCGGTACATGTTCCACCAGCACATGACCCACCCGGTAAACTAGCAGGAAATGAAGTGCATGGAGACATCAAGCATTGACGTAGATACGGGCAACATGAGCAGACAACAGCTGGATTAGAAGGTTGGCATGTAGGGACTGCATGCTGCTGAGAACTATAAGCAGTATCCCCCTGTACAATGGAACCAGAAACTTCACCAGAATATTGATAATTCCAACCACCAAACTGATGAAGCTGCTCTAGTAGCTTCTGTCTTTTCTCCTCAACCTCATAATACTGGTTGAGTAACTGGTTATAATCCGCTGCACCTTGTGAATATGAATAGTCATTTTGCACATCCTGAGCAACTTGTGAGTAGGGCTCAGGTACATGAAAATCTACATGATGGTTTTCTTTCACTTCTGAGATATTACTGGTCTCTCCAGCTTCTGCAGTAGTCTTCACTGTGTCATTACTATGGTTATCTGCATCCCCTTGTCTTTTTAAAGCACAAGAAATGGTCATATGCATCACAGGATTCAATAAACACTATTAGATACAATTTAAGGTTTGCATACCAAACTAGAAATTATTACCAGGTGAACTAAGCCATACATTGCTAGCGGACCCTATCTTATGCAAAACTATGGTTTTTCAAGCTTAATGAGTTCTATGCATGATATTCTATAAGTGATGGTTAGCTGACTTCTAGCCTTCCTCTGTTAACTTAGCTCTTTTATGCACTATATTAATTAGAAGAGTACATTACATGATACATAATCCCAACACAAAAGCAAGAATATGCACTGTCTTCAGTCAAATTTACATATATACAAGAACAAAAACAATAAACTGAAACACATTATAAAGATACTATCATTGCGCTCTTGACCAGAAACCAACAACAAAAAATATATAATGCAGACGAAAAGCGACTACTATTGCATTTTTGCAAACTTAAAAACATTTTGGCAGTATTTTCAAAGGTATGACGAAATTAGGTCTTGGGATGGACTTGAACAATGGAAATAGAGGTGAATGAAGATGCTGCTAACCTTAGTCTAAGACTACTGCCATGTTGGTTCTGCAGATATTTATCTTTTTTATTTTCATTATTTCCTATATAAAATAAGTAAGAAGCATAAGTCCCGCATCGATTGAAAGAAAGAAATATCCCTTCACCTGAATGATCCAATCCCTCAGTTTGTTAGATAGGGTTGGCTCTGGGACCAAAATCAGTTGTTTGAGAGGTGAAAATATTCAAGACAATAAAGCAGGGTCAAACAGAAAAAATATCACAAACCCCAATCCCACCAATCCGTAAGCACCTATATATGTAAGTTGTTCTAGAACTAAGCCTACCAGAGTCGAAGTTCCAACCACACTATCTCAAAAATTATTCTCCATCTTTTGATTATTTATACAAACCTCCATGCACACAATCTCTGAACACTTGTTCATTGAATTCAACAACTCACACCACTATATAGAAAAGTTCTTTTCAAAATCTAAAAAGAACCATCTAATGTTATATAAGAGGCCCAAAAATTTAAAACTATACGCAATAAAACAACTACAATACTATTCATTTTGTTTTAAGCTTTATGGGAAGATAATGGAAAAATATTCGTTTACAAATTACAGATAACAGGACCCAGCTCGTCAAAAAGAAAAAGACATTTAAAAGAAAATAAAATCTATCAGTCAGGGTAACTACACTACTTAACAAAACCAAAATTCTTCTTCTTTTAATGAGAATCCAAAATTCACAATCTACAAAAGAGAAAAGCTCTGCCAAGTCATAAGCTCACCTTTTAGCATCCTCACTTTCTTCAACCTCGGTAATGACTTGTTCTGCTGTGTTGATGGCAACTTTTTCTTCCTTGGTTGACGCCTCATTCGTTTTCTTGCCATGAATTTTCTGGAAATTAGGTGAGAGCAGATATTATAAAAACATAATTGTGAAAAAAATAATAATTAAATCAATTAGGCAGTCCATGATTCTCCAATTTTAGGTCTTTCAATAAAAATCAGTATCAAAATTGTGCCCAATAAAATGATCTTGAAGAAAGCACAGGTCTACAAATGAAAACAATTGCAGTCGAAGCTATGGAGGCAATTAAGTAAGTAGTGCTCTTCTCAGGATACTGAAGCAAAATACAGAAGCCAGAGAGAGAGAGAGAGAGAGAGAGAGAGAGGTGGAACCTTGTAGCTGGACATGGCATCGTCAAAAGCATTGATCAGAGCTGAATCGTCCCACAAGGTACCTTCCTGCTTCCCCATTTTTAACTCTCTTCTCTTTCTCAGTACCTCACGTAGACGCTAGGGCCTACTAGAAAGAGAGAAGAAAAAAAGAAGACCCCTTTGTCTCGCCCTCCCTCCCTCGGCCTTCTTTTCATGTTTTTAACCCCGAAATATAAATTAAGGGTAACTTTTGATTCCGCCCAAAATTAGGAACTATTTATGAAGGAGGACAAAATTCTAGTGTTTGGACACTAATGCCCTTATTCATTTTTAGATTGCCAAGTCATAGGCTTTTTGCTAGCCGAATGGACCCAAAAAATGGATTTTCTTGCTTTGATAAACTTTGGACTGATGCTGCTTTGCATCTGCTTCTTTGTTGCTGGGATGATCTCTTCACGTGAAATGAATTTGATGATGCTTCTTCTATCATAAGGCCTATACATGGAGTTATTATGTTTCACCAGTATACCCTCAAAGTGGTTTATGGATAGTATTTATCCAGATAGAGCACAAATAGTATTATTATTTCTCATAATGAACTGCTTAGTTCAGTAGAATCAATAAAAACAGAGACCCCCACCAAGCAAGATACAAAGGAGCAACAATAGCTGAGCAACATTCAATGATGATCGTCTGAACCTCCTTCACCAATCCAACTTTATCAAGATTTATTCAGAGACTACATCTAGAAGACCAGATAACACATATGAATTCAGGATATGCAAAACAGGACCAAAAGATTTTGATGAAATCTATAATCAAATAGCAGAAAAAATTGAAGCAAAAGATAACGACAACTCATACTGGAATAGCTTAGGAGAAGAAGAGCTACACAACATAGACAACATGATGGAAACATAATAACTCCATGTGTAGGCCTTATGATAGAAAATGAATCTAAATTATAACTATTTTCAATATAAAGTTGACTTAAATAACCATATTCTACTAAAAATGCTGGAGTAATTGTGATAGTTTTTTGGTTAAGCTCTAAATGTAGCTCTCTATATTCAACCATGTTAATTAGCTAAATAAATAGTATAATGAGAATAGCTTTTAGTAATAATTTTTATACCAGGATGTGGATTATTTTTTAAATTAAAAAGAAAAGCTTGAATGTATAATTGAAGAGATGTATTTTTCTCATATTCTAATCTAATCATATGACTCTTAATATCTTTGGGTAAAAATCTATACCTTTTTCTAGCTAGGGTTTGAAGAAAATATGAAATTTTATAGTTTTTTGCTTAAGGGAAAATTCTCTATTATGCTCAAGTAAGTTGGGCTCATTACCCTCTTTTTCTTATAAAATCATGCTTAAATTTTGACATCTTAAATTAATATATGTGTATGTTTGAAAAGGAATTCGAGCTAGTTCTAACGGAAGTGGTCTCGTGGGCCCGGGTGACCAATATGGGAAGTTTGACCTCTTGGTTGACCGTGAGTCTTCCGATGTAGTTTCACCCTTTGAGAAGTACTAGAATGACCTTATAAACGAGTCTTGATTGTTTATTGAGTTATTTTGATTATGTTGGGATTATAAGATTATTTTATAGTATTTTATGTAATTATTGGATATTATTTTGATATCTGACTATGGGATGATTGATTTGTTGTGAAAACAAGTTTTGGGACTTGACTGTGATTATTAGGAAGTGAGTGGACATTGTTTTAAATGAGCATTACTTTTCTAATATGGAATTGCATGCATAAATGAGATTTGATATATGTTTTGACTATGATTTTATCGGAATGTGAGATGGTTTTTTTTTAAGGGATTATTGTTGTTATTATGGTTATTATTAAAATATATGGATTGGGTGATATGGGGTTGGATTATGAAAGTGTTTTATGGATTGTCTTGCATATTTATATAATTTGGATTATTTTGATTATTAAGACTACGAATATTTTGGGATGTGGAATTTATGTTTTTGGGAGTTTGATATCTATGCTATGAATAAATATTTGGGTATATTGGAATCTTGAGAATTTGGAAAGAAAAAAAAATTGATTTAAGGGAGGGCATATTATTTTATATTATATATATATATAGGTTTGTGAAATGCACCATCATATGTACATCCCCGGCTCTTGGATACTGAAAACAATGGTTATTTGGAAACATTGGTCACTTGGTTACTTTGGAATCTGGGCACCTTTGATCAGGTGTGTCGTAGACCTTGACGGGCACTCTGCATGCGTAGGACTTTTCACAGACGCACCAATATTGAGGATTCTGCTTTGTGGTATGGTAAGCCTAGTCCCCCGGTTGGAGGGCTTGTTCCCTAGCCACATGGTTATTGAGGATTCTTCCATGTGGTGTAGTCAAACAATCCTCGTGTTGGATTGTTTTCCTTGGTACATGACGTGTACTATGCCTCCCCTGAGATACTGATACTTGGAAACAATGGATATGAATACTTGGATATGTTGGAACCTGGGCACCCTTGGCTGGGTGTTTCATAGGCCCTTGGTCGAGCAGTCTGCATGCGTAGAACTTTTCACAGACACACGAGTATTGAGGATTCTACTGTGTGGTTTGGTGAGCCCAGTCCCCCTGTTGGACGGCTCGTTCCCTAGCCACATGGTTATTGAGGATTCTTCCATGTGGTCCAGTCAAACAATCCCCGTGTTGGATTGTTTTCCCCCAGTACATGATGTGTACTATCATATGCACCTCCCCTTAGATACTAATACTTGGAAATAGTGGATATGGATACTTGGATATGTCGGAACCCGGACACCCTTGGCGGGGTGTTTCGTAGGCCCTTATGTTGGAATTTTAAAAGGTTTTAAAAATTTAACCGTTTATTTATTTAATTATTTTGGATGTTTTATTTTATTTATTGTGGGGGTTATAAATATTTAATATTCAGATTTTATTTCTGGTTGGTGAATACCTTAATTTTTTGGTTGGTGAACTTTTATGGTTGGTGAAGGTTACATGTTTTTGAATGCCTATAAAAGGCCACTCCTCCTTCACATTTCAAAACACACACAATACACTATCAGAATATCACATACACATTCTAATTCTCTCATTTTCTACTTTTACATATATTCTCTACTTTATATTATTATTATTTTGGGCAATGGTTATGTGACTTGGATACCTATATCTGTCTATGAACATGCTCATAGCGGATCTTGAGTTTGTGTACAAGGGGTCGTATCTTGAAGTCTTGTAGACTGTCAGCACCTGCACGTAGGGAGGCTACAAAGGCTTTAGGACATCGTCTTTGACGTGCTTCATTGTACCAAACTCACCTTCTTACTTATTATTTATTTTCCTTTTACTTACCTATTATTTTGTTTTCTTCAATTTCATTATACCTTCAAAGCTTTCCAATTTGTTTATATGTTATTTATAATATAAATGTTTTGTATTTGGTTTTACAGAAAGAGAAAACTTATTATTTTTTATAACACCTTAGTAGGGCAATCTGCGCGCGTAGGACTTTTCATAGATGCACGAGTATTGAAGATTCTGTTGTTCGGGCTGGTGAGCCTAGTCCCCTAGTTGGATGACTCATTCCTTAGCCACATGGTCAATTGAGGATTCTTCCATGTGGTTTAGTCAAACAATCCTCGTGTTGAATTGTTTTTCCCTGGTATATGATGATGGTGTGAGGTGTGCATATATATATATATATATTTATATATGTGGGAAAATATGTGGATTCATTTATGGATTGGGGTTTCTTGAGCATGTGCATGGTGAGTGCTCTACATAGGCGTGATCATAGTTTTGATGTTTGGAAAGTGTTGTTTTGCAACATACGCCTTGGATACGGTATGGTTGTAGGAAAGAAATGATTTTGGAAAAGTAACTTGAGTTTTAGAGTAATTGGTTAGTTTTAAAAGAGTTATGCATAGTATTTGTGAGTTTCTATAGGGAAATGGAAAAAAAGGAGTTGTTAAAATATTTAGTTATATGCCTTGTGGGGATTGAAGTTGAGAATGAATCTAAATTAAATTGTGGGTTTTACTTGGACAATATTTGTATGTTTCTAAATTGTGATTCTTTTTGTCGTAAGAACTACGTGTGACTTAATCCCTCACAAAAGGGTACGTAGGTAGCCTGGGGTTTAACCTAGGTGTAGCCGTAAAATAAACTGTTTTGAGCTATGCTTGTATTGTTCTAAGCGTAGAAATGAATTTGGGAAGGAGGAAGGTCTTTTTTTTTATTACTATTACGATATTTGTTACGGGTGCATGTATTTACAAAGGAGTTCAAAAGCAAGAATGTTTTAGAAAATGTTTGGTTATGAGGCCGGAGGGCTGTTTGTTTGTTGTGTGTGATGTACTTCGTACATGCTGAAGTTTGGTGATTTTAAACTGTGTTTTTGACAGGTTGAAAATTTTGGTAAAGTTCGTTTTTTAGGGGAGACTCTACTGAAATTTCAGTAGAAGTCTTGGCCCTTTTTTTCCTTTGTTTTAGGGGAAAATGATGTTTCTAATTAGTAAGTAGGCCCGACATCAGTTGGATGTCGGAAAAACTACAGGATCCGTCACGGATTCCGAGGAATTCAGGACGGGTCCTGTCACTTTTCAATTCTTATAACCTTTAATAGGCTAAACATGCATAGGGTTTACTGTTCTTAACTGGTGATTATGGTAATTAACAAAATTTTAATAGGTTATAAAACGTTGATTTTTTATCAGTTGTGTTGATTGACTTCTATCCTCAAGATACTTTACTGTCATAATTATATGGGTTAATAACAATTTTGGTCACTGGGGTTTGACTGGAAATCAATTTTAGTCACCGTGATTTTAATTTTTCCGATTTCGTCATTGTACTTGCAGTTGTTAACAAATCAAGTCCTCCATCAGTTTGACAGGGGCTTTATTTTCCTTTCGTCCTAACCCATCACCAGAAGCCGTGTAAAAGCCCATTTCTTGGTGTAAAAGCTTCGAATCTGAGAGCAAGAGAGTCTGAGAGCAATGCACAAAAAGGAAACGCATTCCATGTAAAATTTAATAAAAGCAATGGAAACAATTAATCAAAAACCATTCCAGTAGCAGAATCACCAGAGGTAGGATAATTGTACATAGAACAAAAAATTCATAAATGTACTGTTGCCTTATTTCAGATGCCTTTACATGCATAAACAAACAAAACTTTTAAAATATGGGCTGCTGTACTGTTGCTACGCTGTTGACATTGTTACTGTGCTGCTGCTGGACAAACACAAGAACTTCACATGGTCTCTTCACATGTTGCTTTGGTCTTCAGTGGAGGAGAGAGGCATAGGACTTGCATGTGTTTGATGTTTAAGATAAGGGGCTTTTTTGTTTTTTTGAAAATATTTTGGGTTTGTTTGAGAGCAGCCTGCTTCTTTTGGGTTTTTCACTAGATTTCCTATAAATTAACTTACTTAACTAAAAAATAGCCAATTTACCCATATACTTATTTATATCGCCAATTTTACCCATACTATTTGATTTTATGAAATTTCATCCAATATTCCGTTACGAACATTATTTGGAAAACTGTCGACGAACCTAGTTACGAACAACATTTAAACAATGAACAAGAACTTGAAGGATCAACATCGCTGCCATGAAGAGACGAGATTTGATCTAGTTCAGACTAGTGAAGCTCGAGATAGATGAGGTCAATATTTCACCTAATTCGATTTGTTTCCCAATGGTGCTTCTATTACTTTTGTATCCTGTGTTCGCATGATAATGAATTACTTACAAGAATGCTTGTATCCGGGCAGAGTAAACTATAAGCAAATTACAAGAAAGGTGATTTCTTTTTCCATGGTTTACTTAAAAGATAACGAGCATCTGCAGTAAAAGACAACGGTGAGATACATATACGAGGCTATGTCCAAACTCAACCAAAACATCTTCAAGGACAATCGTCCTACAATCGTTAATGTCTTGCAATTACTGTTAGAATCCACTAGGAGAAACATCATCTCCAGCTGATGGATCCCAACCAGGAGGCTTGATGTTTGGCCAGTCACCTCGGCAGCCCAACCTTATGTAGAGGCTCTTCTTACCTTCAAAATAGACCACGAACAAAAAGGATAGTCAGTAACAGGCATCAGACAGTCTACATACATAAAAACAACATCAGCTTTGTATTGTTTGGAATGCTTTTTGAGGCTTCTTGGGGTTGAACATCTATATTTGACCATTCATTTCAGCGTCATTCAAATGGGAGCGCACAAAATTAAGCAATACCAACTCTCACAGTTGCCACCTTTTTGAGGTTTCACAATCTTATTTAAGGTCAATGGCATAAGCGATGCAACTCTACTATAGAATACAGTTGTACCTCAGAGTGTTCATGGTCTTCAAAACAACAGGTCTTTGATGGAAGAAATATGTGCAGTTCTATTTACTTAGTCAGCCAAATTTGCTTAGTTACGTTCCACTTTTTTGTAATTTTTAAATCCAATCTTACCCTTGAACAAAACAGTGAACAATAATCTAAAAAAACGACGTTTCGGCTAGTAGGCTTCTCCCCCTTGGTACAGAGGCATTATCTACCGTGGCTTTCTTTTTCTTTTTTAAAACATAATAAAGTTCTTTTGGTTAGAAAAATAAAAAAGAATTGAGGGTTAATAAAATAAAAGATAGACAATTGTAAAACAGTAGCTTCATTATATATAATTTTTTCAAATAATTGAGTACATTTGGGGTCTAAAGAAAACCCCCAAAAGAGTAACAGCACATCTGACCAAAAAGAACAAATAGCGGCACAACTACTTTGTTTCCTGAGTGAGTGCACAGTAAACACAAAAAAATTTATAAACATTATGACAGTGAAAGAATCCTAATTCAGTTTTTAAGTTTCAGAGTAATTTTAGTTGTGTCAAAGATAAGGAAGATGTAATTAGACATCCACTACAGCTTCCCATCTTGCAAACCAAAGTCAGGATTAGATGTCCTGGTAAGAAGCCTATAAACAAGAATGGGTTTTTGTTAATTAACTTTCGATTTTTAGCATTTTGTTAGAAGAAGTTGCGTAAACTGCTTCAAGTTAGTCCTTAGAGGAACACACATTGTAGCATAGCAAGCTCAATGTCTAAAGGATAAACATCATTAATTTCTTCTTACCTGGAAGTTTCTTGTCTGATAGAATTAATTGTTTAAGGGCACTCAAGCATCCCTCAGCCACACTTTTAGTATGATCTGTATCCCAACCATGTAGCTTGACAACCACGTCTGCGTTTGAGTAAGCTAGTCTGCCATCTTTAAAATGACTCCTGGCCTCTTCCTTTGCTGAATCTTCATCTGTGTAGAGAAGTTATGAAGAAACATTCTGATTGAATTTAATAACAAAGAAATGAACTACCACTACAGATGTGGCTGATTAAATCTAGAGTTGAATTGGATGGTTCCAGCGCAGTTTATCTTTTTCTCATACTCATGAACTCTAGATGCTTCATTTTTGCCTTTACATTTTATCAATGCCTGACGGAAGTATTTATCTTTTGCGCCTCAATCCCAAAATTTGGTTTTTAACTACTCAATTAGTGAGACCAAATGTGTTTGATGCTCAATCAGTTCTATAGCTTGAGTTGAGATCACCTTTTGACATTGTAACAAGTATCTATAACTCAAATTGGAAGCTTCAGGTTTAATAAGCTGAGCCAGGCGCTTCAGCTGATGGAGGGGGCAGGTCCAGAAGGATTTCCCTTCATCTCCTCTGTGATAGTTAAAGTTTTTTTTTAGAGATACTCTAATGTTTTACAATCTAGCCAACACAGACCCACATGGTGGGTTCATACTAATAAATGCTCTGGTGTCATATGCAGAACTGTAAAATGGGTTACTTATCATAAATTAATTCTGTAGTAGATGTTAAAAAACTCTTTAAACGCAATACCCCAATACTTTCCCAAATACCAATCTGTTGGAAGCTCCATCAGCTGGCAATGTATCACATGGTCCTAGAGACGCAAAGTAAACAAGAACCATTATCTTCCAGAAATTATACAGATGGCTGGGTATGGACAGGGAAGTATAAGGGAATTTGGCATAAGAAAAGCCCATGTGTGACACACGGGCACCTAAGTTCATTAATTGTAATGTCTTATCATCATTGCTAAAGATGGTTTCCTGGTTCCAATGGCTAGAGCTATCTGTGGGTAAGAATGACTGCTTGCACATATATAGAGGTAGTTACATGTAAGAAAATGTACCCTTATACCGATCCTCCCAGGCCAAAGGTCTTCATCTACCAATATTAATGCAGGAGCAAAGTTTAAACAATGTACGGCTAGAAAAAAGGCTGTTTCTACAACTATCAGCATATTGCCCCATCCTACAAGTTCGCTGGCTATGACCCATATAAACAATGTAGGCCAACCTCATCGTATAAATACTTAGTTGGTGATAAGTCTGGAGGAGGTTCTTGAAAGAAGAAAATTAAGTATAACAGGAAATTGGAGTTCTGTCTATGATAAACTAAATTATTTTTGTTAAGTAAATTAAAGAATTACTGACTCCATTCATATGATGGAACTGAAACGCAACAAGCTTTGAAGTGTGAATAATGAAGAAGTGTCCATTCATTCATTATGCCACAAACACATGGATTGGCAAGCCATAAGAATGAATAGTGAAGATGATGCAGAATGCATATTATTATTTTCCTAATTCTATTTGGATTGGTTTTCCTAATTCTTAAAGATTCCTTGTTGTTGAATGATCACTTATTAGTTAATTTGCTTTCCTATTTCTTAAAGTTTACTTTTCCTTTTCCTAGACTAAAAATGGTTTTGCCTCTATAAATAGAGTTGTTTTTAATCTTTTAAGGCAGACTTGATTAATGAATAAATTTCCTTACTTTAAACTCTCTGATTCCTTCCCCTTCCCTTCATCTCTTCGATCTCTAATTCTCTCTTCGATCTCTTATTTCTTCTCTGTTCTATTGCTTAAGTGTTTACTCTAAAACCTATGGGCTGTTCTACATCAGAAGAAGTGTTCATTCATCATGTGTTCATTCAGTTTTGTGCGAATATAAAACAACAATTGGTTGACATTCAAACTTCTTAAGCTTTCGAGAACTATGGTACAATAACAAAATTTATCATGACATCAGAGCAGGAGATCCTAAGGTCGGACTCTTGCAATTATAACCACTCAATTTATGTTCAATCGCAAGTAGGAAGAGCTATTCTGACCGTTAAACAAATTTTGAACATTAGAGGCTGCAACTAAACAGTTCGATGCTTACTCAATTCTATGAGATAAGGCTCACATATCCTGACGAATAACTAATTTGCACTCCGCAATGAAAACCCGCTATGAACACAGATCCAAGCATAACTTGTACTGAAATTGAAAGACTCCTATATGCATGAAAATGATTATAAAAAAAAAGGAGAGATCCGTGAATTTGCAGTGAAGTATGGGACAAAAAGATACAAAATAATTGTTCGCCCCCTTCTTGTTATGACTTATACTTCTATAAACAATGGTAAACTGAAAAATTTATCACGGTTCTAGGGTGGAAAATCCTGAGTTTGGATTCAAGCAACCATAACCTCCCAATTTATGTTGAATTTTACGTGCGGATGGGAAGAGACCCACATATGAGGGAATGGTAAAATATAGAATATTTGTTGATCCACATCCTTATGACTTACACTTTTTTCTGTTCTTCTTACAAATACACATGACTTCTGCTTTTTTCCTTTTTTTTTTTCCAGTTACAATGTTTTTTTTTTTTTTTTTTTTTTTTTTTAATTATGCTTTTGAGAACAATGGTAAACGAACAAAACATATCAAGTTTATTGCAAACTCTAATCAGCCTGCATAGCTTCTTAATAATACTAGAAAATAACGTACAATCAATTACGTTAAGCATGACAGATAATGGCAGCAGTACCAGTTGCTTGTCAAAAGAAAATCAATGAAGAAATGATCAAAGAGAAATTACCTGTAGCTTCAGTTTGGGACAGCCAGACAGTAAATCCTGCATAAAGATGGCGCCATTTACCAGCCCTTCTAGCAGCTCCCTGCTGCCCTCCTAATGTTGCAACTACTGCTCGAACATGACTGCAATACCAACAAAGCCCATTAAAAGATACTCATTGTTTTCAAACCCCCCTCCAACCAACCCCCCACCCCCCAAAAAAATAAAAATAAAAATAATTCTATTGACATATAGTACCTACTTAAACTTTGTAATATAGCACTTTCTGCTTCTGATAGAGAGTCAGAACCTTCAGCCAGCAGCCCTGAAATTGATTAAACTTGTCAATAATAGGTGATAGTTTTTGTACAATATCAACTTATTTCAAGTCTTGTTTCATTCCAATAAAACAAATACAGGGCAACTAATAGCAATTAGATCATTTTTTTCGAATAGAGTGCTGGGTAAAGTAAACATCCACAAGTAGATCATAGGACGTGATTAACAGATAAATTAGGTAAATACAAATATTATCGAAAGCAGGTATTAATAACAGTGAGGACGACAAAATCATATGCAAATATGAAGACAGCATAGAGATCTGATGCAGAAAACACAGGTTGGATAGGAACAGAAGCAATTTTCCAACTTATTCATAAAAAACTTAGAGGATAATGAAAACAACACCAAAAAATCAAAAATCACTTTTAACGTTGTTTTGAGTTTAACCCTATGTCAGATAGTCAATTGATAATTCATAAGTACAGGAAAGAACTCAATCATATAGTAGAAAATTAAAAGGATTATTCCTGTTTTTTAGTGAAAAGAAAATCAAAGGTTGTAGACACATTTGGTTTGCACCAGAGGGGTCTAATACAGAATAATGAAAACTTTTGTTTCAGTTACAAGGGAGGCCAAAGGGGAGGGGAGATTCAAACTAAGACATTGCACGGGGAGGGGGGTTTAAATGCTCTCAACCACCAGAGCTACAAGTGCCCACCACAATAATGTAAACTCATTGTTGCATAAATTGTTTACACATTTGTACTACGTTAATGCTTGGTTAGCCATCACCCTCATTATTCACAACAGAATTGTTTTCTACTACAGTTATGAACTTATATTGCACATAACCTAAAATTTTGCTGATTCATTTAGTGCACACCCCAAGAAGAAAGATGACAAGGATGGTACTGACATTGGTCACAGAGTCACAGCTAGTTCAGGTTTCAATAATGTGCACATCATGACTCATGAGCTTGTAGATCAAACAAAGAAGGGATAGTGAGTTGAGGTTTGACAAATGAACCAAAAAAATACTCACATGAATCAATGCTCTGCTTGGCAAATGTTTCCAGCAACTCCTTCGTACTCAGTGGTGTATATCTAAAACCAAATGAACCAAAGAAAACTACTGAATATAGGAAGACTCAGAAAATCAAACCAAGGAAAATTTACAGGTATTTGAATATGGGGACAGAGCCTACCCTTACTAGCAGCTAGTTAAATAGTTATTCAGTTGTAACTACAAAATGGTAACAGAATCATTATAACTACAAGTGAAATTTGGGGAAGCTTGAAATTAACAATTAGATGTATCCCAATCTTTTCTTCAAAATAGTTTTGAACAAAAAGCAATACCCAAGACCAACTGCAAGTTCTTGAGCCACTTTCTGGTTGATTTCAGTTGAATCCCCAACAATGTAAATTGATGCTCCTTTCAGAAGTTGCATAGATCCCAGTGTCAGAGACTCCCAGGACTCCATAATATCAGGCCATTTCAAATCTGGATCCTGCTTTTTCAAGTTTATAACTAGCTCATCATCATCTATATACCTGCGCAAAACAAGAATTACCCATCTAAACAAGTGATCTACATTGTTATATAATTTCATGTGCTTTAAGTTTCACAAACCATATTGTTTCAGCAGGCTTTATTTTATCAAACAGATGATTAGTTTCCATAAGTGTGATAAGAGACCCAGAGTGCTGTACTTTTATTGTCAATGAGGTGCCATTTGCATCCACAAAAATATCTCTAGTGCTTTGGATATTTTGACCCCCAAGCTGTAATCTCAATTCCACCTCAGAAGAACCATCAAGAAACTGTAATGAGGTAAAATAAAATCCAACTGGTGTAAGAACAACAAAAAAAACATAAGTCACTCAAAGAAAAGGGATCATTAATCTATGTAAGAATTTTGCTTGAGTTCTTATTAGATTCTATCAACATATGTTCAAATAGAAGTTGCAAAGGAACTCATATTCTTGTGAGTAATTTGCAAAGGGAACTCATTTTCAGCAATTGTAACTCAAACATCTCCAGACTCAGCACTGAAGCAAAAACCTAGGATGAAAAATTATAATTTTTTAATAAAAAATTCAAAAACAGCAGAAAACTCCATTTTTTTTCCTTCTTTGAAAAAAAAATGTTCTCACAGAAGCAAGGGAGAGGGTACCTCGTAGTTCTTGCTGGGGACGGGGATGGTGGAGAGACTCTGGGAGGAGACTTTGGGACTATAAGAGGTCTTTAGGTGGCGGCCATTTCCGAACAAAAGGCGAGGACTTGGGAAATAAAGGTCGGTGAGTGAGAATGAGATACAACTCCGTTTGGGTTTGCAGAGTTTCTGGAGGGAAGAGAGATGTGAGGTATTGATTGGATTTTGCGAGAAACTGAAACCAGAGCAAGTGATGGTAGAAATTGTTGCATCCACCATTTCGGTTTTGGTTAAAGGAAAACAGAGAACTTGGATAAGAAAGTGGTGCTCTGAGTGGATGTTGAGATACGCCTGCTAAGCAAGAAAATGGGGTTTTTTAAAATATTTTATTTTATTTTACTTTATTTTTTATAAGAGAGAAATTTTGCAAGAAAACTATATCGGTCTTCAGACATAAATAAATAAATTTATAATAAAACTCATGGCAACGTCTACGGTAATTTTTTTTTTCTTTTTTTTTTAAGGGTTCGTGGAATTTTTTTTATTTTTTTTATTTTGGCCAATTGTTGGGAGGGGAGGAGGGATATCAGTTAAATTGGTTCTCTACAAATTTTTGCCAATATCAAGGTGGAATTTTAATGTTAACATGACTCTCTTTCCTTGCTCGTCAAACTATTTTTGTGGCTGAACTTCAAACCCCAAAAAATCTCTTCTACTGAACTTGGTCCTCTGCAAGTGGTGAAGTTGCTGAAATTGATGTCACAGCTTTAGACCATCTCCAACCATGTTGAGACTAAACTCAAATTTTCGCCATCTAAAATACAACTATTCATGTATTTTTTGGACTCAAATTAATTTTTTCCTCCAACCTTATTTAAATTGTTTAAAAATTGCTAACCTTTATTTTTGTCGTTAATTTTTCTTGACATTATTTTTGTTTCAACATTCATGATTTAATTTTTTGAACATTTTAACCTAAAAAAATCCAAAATCCAAAACATAATATAATTTCACTTTTAAGTACAACAAAAGAAAAAAAAATGCACATCAACTTAAATTTTTTTCCCGCAAAACAGAGCAACTTTAATATATATATAAAAAATGAAAGAAACAACAACTACAAATGGTGAGCTGCCACTTGTCATGTGGAAGCAAAGGGAGAGAAGCAACTTTCTACCACGCAAGGCCCGCTCCATTTTTCCTCTTCACGTGGGCTATGCAGCATGAGTTGGGGTCCACAAAAAATTTCCAATCCAGGCAAAACCCAGACTAGAATCCAAAATTCCGCCTATCTCAAATTTCCACCCCTTAAAATACATAAGTTGGAGATGGAATTTGGGTTCAAAACTCAAAATTTGAGTTTCCACCTCTTAAGTTGGAGATGGCCTTATGGTGAAGTTTTCCATCTCCTCCATTGGTTGGCAAATGTTTCCTAAGGTATAAAGCATTGGATATCATTGGGTTTGGAGTTTTCTAAGGTTTGTGCGTCTTCCAAAATGTTTTTGGAGCAATAGCAAGGGTCTCTAAGTTCAAAATTGTAGGTGACATTTTTTAGCAGGGTTTGTTGGAGGAGACTTTGTTGTATATCGATTTGTGAGTTACTGTATATCGATTTGGCAATTGATGGATATCGATCATGTAACAACCCGATCCTAAATCAATTTGTAATTATTAATTTATTTTGGTAAAAGACCATTATGCCCCTAGAATATTTTATTAGGTTAAAAGTTGACTTTTTGACTGGGAAGGAATTTGGGAATTTCGATTGTACCATTCGTAGAGCTCGATGATACGAGTTCGTAGACATGCGGCACGCCCGATTCTGAGTTGTAACGAAAGAGGAAATGTCTAGAAACAAAAAGGATGTAATGAGAATTTTAAAATGTGTTACTGTAGCAACAGTGCCACTACAGCCTTGGGCGCTACAGTACTCTGGTTCTATTTATTTTCTTCCCCCCTCTGGTTCGCGGGCAGCACCTCCCCTTCCCTCTGTTATTGTTCATCAGCTTGGTTTTTGGGCCATCTCATCCGGCCACCGTTTTGGGTGGCATCGGTCCCAAACGAACTAGCCCGACGCCCTCCTCCTACCCCACCCCTCCTCTGCCGTTAACAACAACACCAGTCGCCAGAAAAACTAATCCCTTCTTATTTTCTAACTGCCCTTTGTAAGAATGCAATTTGTCATGATGGTCAGTTTGCTTTTTCTGATGAACAACTCACTTGCTCCCTACTTATCTCTAAAAAAATGTAGTCTGCTTATCTCTTGGAAATGACACCTGCTTTGGTGCAGAATTTCTCTGTATATAGAAAGGGATTTTAATCTTCTTTTTGGCTGCGAAAAATGGAGAAGTCTTCCTGTAAGACCTGTTTTTATTAACTCTCATCACCTCCCATGTGTTAGTTGAAAAGTTTTGACTTTTTCCAATGTCAGAAAGTCACATGGGGATTTCTTGAGAGAAACCTTTTCATAAAGTTTTTGCTGACTTGCTTCCTCCTTGGGTAGAGTGATTTTTCTAAAACAAATGGTTAAATGATGTTTATTTAGAATAGCGCTAAATTTACAATATGCTAAAAGGGTTTGGGCTTATTTCAGCTTTCTTTGGTTTTTGACTCTTGATCCCTATAGAAAAAGCCCAAATGTTTTTTTCATGGGTCTCTTGACAAAAATGGATTGGCGTGCAGAGTTTTTGGCCCAAACACAAGGCAGACTTTGGCGGCTGTTTTAAAAATGGCATGGGCCTTTTCAATTTTGGGTATGATAATTAATTTCTTCAAACATGGAGCCTAAATTGTTTATCATTGTGGGCCAATAGTTTTGGGCTGGGCGTGCAGAATTTAAGCCCAAACAGCTTTTCATAGTATTAGTTTCTAATCAACAATGTTGTGCAATAGAAATAAGGCTGACAAGTGAAAAGAAAAGGATAGTTCAAAATATTTCAAGTGCCCTATTAGCATTTGGGCTGCCTTAGTTTTATCATATCTAGGTAGCTTTTGTACACCATATCTAATATTATTAGTTTGAAGATTAGCTATATGAAAGAAATAATTCATGCATGAGGCAGTGCAGTCTTTAAGTTAATTATAGTCCAACATGATTAAACTTGCTTGCAGGCCCAAATAGTATCCTCATAGGCCCATGCTTGTAGGCCCAAGAGAAGAGTCAGCTAGGAAGCTCTATAAATGGGAGAAGGCAGACAGTCAAAAGTTCACAACAAAGGCAGAAGAACACTTCAGCATTTCTTATTCTCTCTAGAAACAGGCTCTTTATTTACTTTCACTAATAGAAAGAATTAAATAGCGAGATTTAATTCATAAATCAACTCAGAGAAATTGAGTCTATTCACTCAGAAAACAAGAAGTGAACACCGTCCGATGAAATCATAGTCGTATAGTGTCAAACAATTGTAAGGTCCAAGTTAAATTACATAGGATTCTTCGTAGTTGCCAATTTCAATAGTCAATGGTGGGCCCCTTATCCCCTGTGGTCTCATCTTCTCAGCGACCAGCGACCAGCGACCATGCATGCATGCATGCATGCACAGATTAAATTTTAAACAGCATACGTCACATCGTGGCATTGAAAAGCAAGTAATTATGAATGAATGATTCAGTACAGGCTTTGGGCTAAAGATAAAATAAACTCTGAGTCAGTGTCAGAAACAAAGAAATAAGGGGAAGAGAGAGAGAGAGAGAGAGAAACATCACAGGTAACGTTTTCCGACAGTCAGCTTCACTCATAACCCCTGGATTTTACGAATATTACAATCTCCGCATCCCTCTCTCTCTCTCTCTCTCTCTCCTGTCAACTTCATTGACCTCCCAACAAAATTCCAACTCCCACTTTTGCTTTGCATTTTGAACAAATATATTTAATTATAAATTTAATCTACAACCGTATATATAATAATAATAATGTCCTCGTACAATTGTTGCATTATTTTTTGACTGCTGATCATATTCCTGACATTATATCATACTCTTTTTTGTGTGTAAACTGTGGACTTCGATCGTTGGGCTTCCTTTTGTAATTCTTTCTCTTTCTTCCTTCAAAAAAGAAAAAAATTATCTGTGACAGAGAGAGAGAGAGAGAGAGACTTTGCACGTTTGTATGGTAACAAACATGTAATCTTAAAAAAATATAATTGAATGAGATACTCAAACTTCAGCTTTGATGTGTGTGTATATATATATGGCCAATCTAAAGAGAGTGTGACACACTTTAGGAAAAATGTCGGCATTCTAATTCCAAACCCCTTATAAATAATTACTTATCAAAATCATTCATCTTTCCTTATATTTCTCATTTTTAAAAGATCATTAACTAAAAAAAAAAAAAAAAAAAAAAAAAAAAAAAAAAAAATGAAATTTAGTAATGAAATTGTGCAGACAAACAAACATTTGAAGGTCTCAATGACTGAGCCATCGTCTCTCTAAATACTTTCTGGAAGGGTTTTGATCCTTTGGTACATATATGCAAGAAAGCATAGGTTTGGAGCTCAGAGATCATTCACATTTCACTTATTTCTCAATCAACACACTTAAACATTTGATCAGTAGAAAAATAGGTTTAAATTTCAGCAGATAGGAAACATCAAAGGTTATCCAAACCCTACAACTTTTACTTTGCTCTTTTTCTTCTTGTGTTGTTTCAAACATTAAAATAATAAAATAAAATAAAAATGGTGGAGGGAGTTGCTGGGGCAGCCTGGAAGCCCAACGCAAGTAAGCCCATATAGTTAGTGCCCATTTTTAATTATGCTGTAGGATATTTTCATCACCTTAGTTTTGCTTTGCTTGTGAAATGTGGTCTAAAATAAACCAAGGTTTTCATCAGAGAAAGACAGTGGTTCCCTGTGACCCAATATTTTGTTCACAAACCTTATGATGTATTCTGTTATTTCTGGACACTTCTCGTCTCCCCTCTCCTTCTCTCCAACACCACGACAGGACGGAAGTTGCAGAACTCCTTGAATACAACAAGTCCAAAATATAACAAAGTCAAAAGTCAAAATTACATCTCAACCACTAGATCTATGATCTCTAAGCAGTGTCGTCACATACTCGTACCTATCATCACCCTCATCTAATGTCTTGAACACATGCACTTTTGATGAATCAATAAATAAATTAAGTAAAGAGATTCTATTTGAAATAGAAAATTCCATCTTTTTTAACTCATCTCCAACAAATTTACGATCATCATCTGCATTCTACTCCTTTAGGCTCTCAACCAACCTTTGCATTTTGGCGTCAGAGTTCTCCATCATACTCTCAAATGC